CAATAATAATGTTTATTTTTTAAATATTAAGGTAGCAATATCATTATCAATCTACAGAAATCAAGCCATGTCCAACCTTTGCATAGTGTAAAAACATAACATATTATGGCCATTTATGATTTACAGCTTAGCGTATTTGAAAACCTCCCACGTGTACTCATATAAAGTTTGATATTATTTGATTGAAAGCGATTTACGCAGTTTAAACTGTTAAAAGTTCTAAATTAGTATGCATATTTATGAATCGGTATAATTAAAAAATGATTAATGGCAGCACGTTATTCCGACCTGTGTGAGCTTGTTGTCACTCGAGGTATATATCGTTATTACTTTGATTCCACAACTAGGAACACCAATGGCAAGTAAAGTACAGTAGCCTACAGTACTGAAACGTAGACAACCAAATCATATTGTGTACTTCGACGGTTATGAACAATGAACAATTACACCCAAGGGGAAAATGAACCCTTGCCGTATTGCACCAACTGCCTTGCACCAAGACGAACATGCGATGTGTGTCCCTGAAGTTTGTGGCCCTGAGGTTTCCGGCCTCTACCAATCTGGGGGGGGGGGTAGATGGCTGAATGGGTCGCGCGCTGTATCATAAAATCTGTCATTGAGTCAACTGGCGTGGTTTCGATTTCCCGGTTGTACGTGACAAGAAGTAGGGTCACCTGTACAACCTCGTGGGTTTTCTCCGGGTCCTTCGGTTTCCTCCCACTGCTAAAGACCCCTCTGCACAAGCGAATTATTGAAATAAAATTAAACCATGTTAGTCCCGAAATGACCTAGTTTGTGTCGAGTGGACGTTAAACCCTCTCTCTCTCTCTCTCTCTCTCTCTCTCTCTCTCTCTCTCTCTCTCCCAATCTGCTCGTGTTGCTAGACATGTATCTCAGTATGTGCCTGACATGTACTACGTATGTTTACTGTTTACAACTAAAGCATTTGTTGCTTTGTTAACTGTCCCGCCAAAATTTACACTCGTCTGTTTAAGTAACAAGCCAGCATGTGAGGCTGATGTCCCCCGCCGAAATCCCCAAATAAATAGATGACACATATTAATTAATCGCACATCTATTTTTTTCAAAAGTATCGAGCAATCAAACTGATTATCAACTATACACTAAGTTTCATCACTCTCTATCAGATAGAATCAAAGTTGAAATGAAATGAAATGAAACGGGGTTTAACGTCCTACTGTTCTGCTCCTAAACTGGGTGCTATGAGGGAAATTTTTCCCGGGCAGCGGCACTACGGCCTACTCTTATATCGAATTCCAACTGCCAAGGGACCTTTTACGTGCACGCCAATGTGTACACGGGACCTCGGGTTTTCGTCCCATCCGAACGACTAGACAGCTGTCCTTGTCAGGCCCTCCGTCCTGCATCACTGACAAGGGGAAACCACGCTGGAAAATATGGATGAACTTTCTCGGCCAATGCAGGGATCGAACACCCGACCTCCAGGCTAGCGAGCCAGCGTCTTACCCACTTAGCCACGTGATCCCCAGAATCAAAGTTATCTTGTCCCAAAGCATCGACCAAGGAAATTGCTTATCTCTGCTTAGCTTTAGCTCAATATGTTAATCATTGAACTCAGTCAAGACGAACACCTGCATCAAGTTTAAACATTCTACCTCAATTAGAAGCAGAGTTGTTATGTTCCAAAGTCTTGACCAATCAAAATGCTTATTGCTCCTTAGCCTAAGCAGACAATTCTCATCATCGAACTTAATCAAGGTATTGATGTAATGAAACTATACACCAAGTTTCATCACTCTCACTTAATTAGAACTAAAGTTATCGTGTCCCAAAGCATCAACAAATCAAATTGCTTATCTCTACTTACCAGAAGCAGAAGATGCCCATCTTCGCACTCTATCAAGGCATTGAATTCATAAACTACTACACCATGTTTGAACATTCTAGCTCAATTAGAAGGAGAGTTATTGTGTTCCAAAGTTTCGGCCAATCAAATTGTTTATCGCTCTGCTTACCCTGAGCAGAAAATGCTCAATATCGAAATTAGTCAAGATATTGTTGTAATGAAACTATACACCAAGTTTCGTCACTCTGACTTAATTAGAACTAAAGTTATCGTGTCCCGAAGCATCAACCAATCAAATTGTCTATCTCTGCTTACGCTAAGCAGAAAATGCTCATCTTCGAACTCCATCAAGGCATTGACCTGATAAACACCTACACCAAGTTTGAACATTCTAGGTCTATTAGAAGGGGGGTTATTGTGTCCCAAAAAGTGTGACGGACAGACAGACAGACGGACGGCCGGACAGACAGACAGACAGACGGACGAACCCATTTTAATAGTCCCCTGCTTTCTTCGAAAGGCGGGGGACCAAATTTTTGAATTAAATAGTCCTTTCTCGGATCTTTATTAATTTCAAGAGGGTGTAACTAGAGTTCGTGTAGTTCGTTTAAATGAGTTTGAAATATTCTTTTTTTCTGATATAGTTCTTGATAATACAATCATTTTTCAGGAAAGTGAGATCATGCACCATAAGAAAAACATAAGCACGAAAGATTGTACAGAACAGAAGAAAGCACGGAAAAGATAATTTAGTGTTATATAAATATGTTTCTCGGGGTTATGTTAATAACATAACAAACTTCGCAGCACGGAAAGATACAAGGAAGAAATTAAATATATCAATTAATCTCGATATCAATATAGATAAGACAAAATAGAATAAGATTATAACCAGCCAATCTAATGATTAAAATAGGCCCACCATTTACTTCCGGTTTTACTATTTGACGGGTTATTGAATATTGTCATAAAGATCCAACTCCAGTTTTATTAGTTGATAAGTAGAACACACATGTCTTAAAGACGGTGCTGTATCCAATAATAGTTAAAATGGAAACTATACACAATATGAAAAACAAAGGCAAGTATGCTAGAATTTTAAAAAGCCCGAATTACTAGTACATGTATATTGTAACGTTCATAATACCAGCTTATTCTTCTCTTCTTTTTTGTTTATCTAATTATATATTTATGTCAGCTAATTCTGTAAGCAGTATGAATTATTCAAGATACTTCTCCTTTTTCTGGTGCGTGAGTGTTTTTTTACAATGAATTTTGCAACAATTTTGTTTATATAATTTCTCGGGTAATGAACCAATAACCGTTTGCTTTGTTCTGATAGGCTACTGCGGTTTAATCTCTGGAACAGATTTTTATCCATACATGGAAGAAATCATTTGCAATCTTTGCGTGTAGTAAACAAAAAAGCATTGTAACTCTGTGAACAGCTAATTATATCCTAAAAAACTCAACATTTGACATATACAGCGTTTGGAAAATCGAACTCAATTCGTTTATAAAGCGACGTTATTGAGATATATTATTCAAATGGCTTGCACGTAGAGTGACGGAGTTTGAGACGATAGAATTTCTAAGTTAATATAACAACTCGTAGATTAAAGGCTAATTGATAGCTTCAATGATCTAGGGTTAGGGTTAAGTCATCAAGGGTTCAAATTTAATTCATAGATACAGTATCTACTGGGTAATCTTTATCAGAAACATTGTCGTAATAAATAATCTCGTCCATACGAATAATGCACATAATATAAAGAACCACTTATACGGCCCGAGGTCCGTATTGGTGAATTTAGTACGAAATGTTTAACAGTTTTAGTAGCCTTTTTTGGTGGCTTTTTGATGACTGACGACCAGATAGCGCCATATATTATCGATAACGCTTTTTTTTCTTGCTATTGTCAGTCCCTACATTATACATTATACAACCATATATCTTTTCAAGGATGTCTCTCTGGTAAATCAAAAACAACTATCTATCACAGTCTCCAAAAGTGTTGAAAATATCGATAGGCGGTAGGCTTATTATTTTCAACTTACCCTTCGACCTTACAAAGGTCGAAACGAATATGTTTTATGTTTTGATTTAGTTCAATTAATAGTTTTCTTATACAATAAATAATAGGGTAACGGTGATAGAACAATAATAAATCGGTTGATATATGCACGAGTATCCTATTAATTTCATAGTCAATTAGCTTTGACATTCGGTGATAGTTCAAGCGAAAAATAGGATACTGTAAAATATGGAGTTGACCAAAAAAGCAAACAATTTTATGATAAAGTCGCTTGCATCAGTTTGGGATAATATATTTCAACAAGCGAATGCCATGCAAGCAAGATACGCCTACATTTTACAAGCGATGGACCAAGAACAAGCTAAAACCCCGATTTTTTGTACAATCAAGGGCCATAATCCTGGAAGTTACGGTTCGATATGTGCGAATATCGGAAGGAGCCAAGATCTGTGGGTTATAAATATACATTTCAAATTTCATCAAAATGGGAAAAAAATTGTGACCTTTAGAATTTCCAAAAGCTAAAAAAGTAATTTTTTCGCGCTTGTAATGTAAAGTTTTGTTAGATTACAAAATACAACCTTTCTTATTATATCTTACGGTTCAGTTTTATTTTGAACTTCAAGTACAAGCACTATCATTTGTATATTGTTTAACTATTATATGAAGCCTTACTTTCCAAATAAATAATTTACTTAAGATTACAGTAGCCTATCTTGTAAAATATAAGATTCGCTTGTAAAGTAGCGCCATGAGAAAGTATATGTTAAGACAAACAGTAAGGAAAAAAAATTCATTTCCATTAACGACATAAGATATTACGTTAATGTTGACATTTATCATTTACATGACATCGGGTTATCTTTCAATTTTTTAGATCGCATTACATAATTCTGTAAAGGTACCACGGTGGTTCAGTGTCTAAGATGTTAGTTCGAATCGTGCGTTGGCTGAGAAAGTCGATCGGGCAGTTTGTATTTCACCTCCCAAACTATAATGGGGAGATTTACTAGACATTATATTTCAAAAGAAATTCATTCAGCATTTGGTATATACTAACATACCGCCTTGCACATTTAAACAAAATATAACCTCCTTGATAACATTGTCAACCAGTGGATTTAAATGTCATTTACCTGACTGAGAAATGTCTGCACAATGTTTAAACTTTTTTCTGGTATTTCCTCATCGGATTGTCGTTCACGAAAAGGGAGGATCAATTCTCTCACAGCGATACTTTTCACAAGAAGGGTGCCGTTGGGTGCTGGGAGGATTAAGAAGGTACCTCTAGGTAACAACAGACTGTCTTGTTGCTTTCCACCTTTTTGTTTACTATTGGTCTCTGGCTGTAGTTTACCTAACATAACCAGGTCCTGAAATATACACAGTAAGTCCATGACAGACTTATGTTTCGAAGGTTACTGATCCAAGAGTTCAGTCCGGAGATTCATTGATCCGACAAGGGATATCATTTGTTTCCAGAATTGTGATTTGGGTTGTAAAAAAACAATACCTGTTCTAAATAATGAATAGACTTATTTAGACAATCGTTTAAGAGACAATATCTCTTTATATGTTTCTAAACATGACGTACATGCCTCATTTCATCCCGTCATTCACGAAAAGGTCCATGGTACACAAATCCCATGAATAATTGTATTCAAATAGTTAGCATATACCCTGTAAGGCGCGCATATCATTGTTATAGACCAGACAAAATTTAAATCAAAATAAACTAACAAAAAATATGCCATTATTAATTATTTCACATTTGAACAAAAATGTACTAGAGCATCATTTCAAAACCAATATTTGAGATTTGGTAGATATTATGGCGTAGGTATTTGCAGATCGTTATTAATGATTGCCATGAATCTGCAAGACACGGCAATATATCATAAATGACCTGTTTGAGCTGTCAATCAATATGGTAAAGATGTGATCCACTAACTCTATGATAAAAATTCATAACTGTTAAGTACAGTATCATCAATTAACTAGTATTTCCAGACGGGAGGTTAGTCTACGTATTTACAAGCCTTTAAATATTGAAACTAAACAGATTGATAGTAATCGAAAAACTCAGAATTTCAAAATAATTTTTCCCCGAGGTTAATTCACAGGAATTAAGTTGTGGACAGACGACGGTAAAACAAAAATGGTGAATAGTTGACGAATGACTCTCTGGACCATCAATGTTTGTAACTAGCAACAAGGCATTAAATCTACCAGGTTTTTTACTTAACCCGGCTTACTTCACACGTGAGAGAGAATAGTAATAGCTGATCTAAAACATGTCGGGTTGGCTGACACAATGTTAGTTCAATATATGTTATATGCTCTTTTGCTATTAATCCCCCTGTCCTTCCGCTCAAGCCAATCATCTTGTCTATGGCAGTCGACCAAATGCTTTTTAGAATGAACTAAATTCTAGATCAGAATTCAAGTATGTGATATATTACGACCTAGATAGATGTTGCAGCTAGCGGAAACTTAATTTCGCTTCCAAACATGTCGAACGTATTGACGATCACGTTTACAAGAAATCAAATAAATTACAATATCTGTAATTGATTTATAACTATGGTAGTGGAATGAGTATTAGATGAGAAAAGGGTAGTTCAGGTCCTTTTGGTAGTTTATGTAGCATAGGGTATTACCTTTGTCAATAATAAATGACATAATGCTTTAAAGTTATTCTGGTTTTTATCCAGTTCATCCCAATCTACTTTCCAACAGGTTGTAGCTTGTACTATCATTGGCTGTGAAAAATGAAACGGGTTATTCAAATACATCACCCATGTTATACATCGATGTAAATAAAGATAAGCAATTCATCGAGTCATGTTGAATTTATTTTAGACAAGAGGAATTCATTCAATCAGTTTAAAAATAGCATTGTTTAGCTATGTGCAAATCGTCCTCCTTTTCTTGTCTTATTATTTTAGTCACCAGTAGCCTATTATTATATTTGTTTCCTTCAACTCAATTAACTCAAATATAAAAATTCGTTGAATTATTGCGATTAAATTTGCTGAAAATGTCACTGAAATTTATGCGTGTGGACATTGATAAGTTGGTTTTCAGTTGGACCTTTATGTATTCTATGAGTAAAGGGAAATAACCCTGTTTTTCTTCAAGAACGTCTTTCCAAGAGACAAAGACTGAACCCGTGACGGCATACACCATGCAGTGGGCTTTATAAATCTGGGCATATAAAAAGGGTTTTACCCAATCGTGCCTTTTTGTGACCATCTAAGGGAATAAGCTTACGATAGAAATATAAGATAAAACAAATCAGAAGAAAATATGCATTATTTATGTCATCATAACAACGCGGGATCTTGCTAGTCTTCTTGTACTTTCTTTTGAAACAATTATATTAGTATAAGAAGTAAAGCATGAATAACATAATATATGAATACATACCATACCAAATACTAGTGATTCACATACACTGGTAGTTGGTAATAAATTAGTTATTTTTATTTTATGTATTGGAACAGTCATCCCTGTAGCTTTACTAGTACTAGGAAATACTGATTTACAGCTAGCACTATCGGGGTGTAGAGTCTTTAAAAAAAGAATCACATACGTAAGACAGTTTTTCTAGTGTATGAAAATTTTGAGTCGCACATATAGTGACAAGAAAAATATGCAGCAGGTAGATACTCCCCTTTTTGAAAAAAAAAAGTTGCCGACCATAGTTCTAAAATACCAACTGTTTGCAATAGACATCAGTCAGGGATCATCATATTATTTGTTATGCCCCGATATCTATCTTCCATCATATTTTGTACTGATATGCCCAATGGCCAACTAGAGAAGGGTTTTCTGGACTGGAAACGCGCTTGGGGTCGTCCAATTTTCAAATTTTTCAAAATTTTCCGGGGGAGAACTCCGGTACCCCCTTCGTCTAGGGGAGAGAACCCCCGCACCCCTCAGAAGTTAACTACCCCTTCGCAGCCGATGGAATTACAATCTACATTTAGAATCGTATGTCGTGCGTGTTGTATTTACAGTACGAGTTTTCCCTCTTGAAACGGACTTTAATGTCTAATCCCATTAGTTCCATGAGCAAAGTCGATTGCTAATTAACGTTAACGTTTTCGATTCGAGCATATTCTTCAAATCGGAAACTCGTAAATACAAGATTCGAATGTAACATTTCTTTACCTGCATCAGGTCGTATTTTATTGAGATAAATGAACAGTGTGTATACTTACATAGGATTCAATGAATGGTAACTGTGTAGGACTTAATAATCTTTCATACAAATCACATTTTATAGATAAAGATTCGTCTATATCGCCTGTATCAAATGATAAAAAATGATTATATGGATTCTGAAAGAAGAATCGCTCGTCGTTAATATGTCTTTCGATTATTAACATACAAATGTAGCCTATATGGATTATAAACTATAAATGGGTACGTTTAATATTTTGTCTCAAAATTTCAATGTTCCATAAATTAATGGATTAAATTCAATGCTCGTAATCTATACCTTGTGCTGATGAAAATACTATATGTAAATGTTCACTGTCACTGCTATCGTTGGTAAGCCACCAATAAAATAGATTATGGAACCCCAGTGGATCTTGAAAAAGAAATCAACAAAAAACCCTACCAAGATAAGTCAATATAATGTTTTGTACAATGCCAACACAGTAGATTGAAGGGGTAGTCCTATCGCTCATGGGGTGGAATAATCCCGCTAAAAACACGAAATAACAGCGATATTTTCATCAATATATTGCTCTTTCGATGTCAAACGATTTAAAAGTGCTCAGGGTCAATAACTCTAGCGTAACTTTATCAAAACTTCGACAGGCTTTTTGATGTATGAATCTAAAGTAAAGTTTAACGTCCTACTGTTCTGCGCCGACTGGGCTAATAAAGACGAGAATACGGCATACAGTGTGCTATTAGGGAAGTTTTGCCCGGACAGCGGCACTATGGCCTACTTTTATTTCGAGTTCTAACTGTCAAAAGAACTTTCACGTGCACGCCAATGCACGACTATACGCTGTCCTCTGCCAGGCCCGGGGGCCTTGGTGGCTAAGTGGGTAAGACGCTGGCTCGCTAGCCTGGCGGTCGGGTGTTCGATCCCTGCATTGGCCGAGAAAGTTCATCCAGATTTTCCGGCGTGGTTCCCCCTTGTCAGTGATGAATGTAGTTTCTAAAGTACGTTTGGACGACGGATCGCAGAGCCGACAGGCAGGCGGCCACAGGCATATTACAATGAAATGAAATGGAGTTTAACGTCCTACTGTTCTGCTCCTATACTGGGCTAATGAAGATGGGGATACGCCATACAGTGTGCTATCGGGGAAATTTTGCCCGGACAGCGGCACTACGGCCTACTCTTATATCCAATTCCAACTGTCGAGTGATCTTTTACGTGCACGCCAATGTGTACACGGGACCTCGGTTTTTCTTCCCATCCGACCTCCAGGCTAGCGAGTCAGCGCCTTACCCACTTAGACACCGTGATCCCCATATCAAAATGAACATAACATATATATATATAATGTATTTAAATAAGAAAGCGATTCTTGTAATTCATTATCACGAAAGATCATTTGTAGTGCGCTTGGTACAAACGTCTACTGAACGTAGGTTTTACTCTAAGTTATATATTTACTTGCTATATAAGATTATTATCATTATGAAGTTATCGTTTAAGTCATTGGCACGAAACTAAAAATCTGTAAAGTTTACATTTTATATTTGCTTGACAAACAATGATAATATGCGTAACATATAAAAAAAACTAACCGCTGCTGATCCACTTTTAGATATCCATTGAGATGATGAACAAGGGGGGGGGGGGGGTACATGTGTGGAAAAAACTCTGGTTCATTGGATATCAAACGTACTAAAACAATACTCAATGGTAAGCGACAGACGGGTACTTCGTACTCGGGTGGTGGACCTATCTCTGCTCCATCATTTTCCCATAATATTCTGTATTTTTATTTTATTTCTCGAGTCATCATAAGCCACATATACTGTTACGTTGTTTGTTTACATTTAATGCTTACACGCCACTGCAAATTACGTTCGTGAAAACCCTATTTTTGTACTTGTGCAGTAATTAAATCATTGATGTATACAATGCAATATTTTAGAATCGCATTTTGTAGTACTGCAACAGATGAGCAACACCCTGTAATCATTGAGGTTACGTTTATATTAGTTTGTTGAGGTGACCGAGCGAAGTTTGAAGATTTTAAGATGGAGTTGCATGCCTTCCAGATCCAAAGAATAACGCAGTAAAGTGATTTGGGAGATATGTTCGGCTGAAATAAATTTAAATTTCAACTAACCCTGTACACCCAAACGTACCAGGGAAGCTGAAATCTGGTTAATTGAATGTTTGTATGCTGAAAATACCTATGACTGGCGAGGTACCCTGTCCACCCGTCAGCAAATCCTGTTTCGAGACGAGTTAATTTTTTTTTTTAAATATAACATTTATGTGCCTTTAAGATGTCACGAATGATTGAAAAACACGCTATGTAAACTAGAGCCACTGTAATAATTTTATTTAGGAAGCGCCACAAGTAATACAACATACGTCTCCAGTGTATTAATCACAGTCATATTCTTGTTCAACTAGTTTAGTTAACTTTAAATTTATACTATAAAGTTATCGTGACAATATTGTACAAATTTAATTAGATCCAGTAAAGAAGTATGAGTACTATGAAGGAAAATAAAAATAAAATTATGTTCATGTAGGGGTGCAAATAAATAAAATTTCCTATCATAAATTACTATCATCGTGCTTGAAATGTATTGGGGAGGGGGGGGGGCTGAACAGAAAGTTGCGGAACTCTAACAATTGATAAGGTGCGTCCTCTAATGACCCGATTGCTTCCCTCCAAATGTGAAAAACATCCATTATAAACTACAACCTCTATTACGTTCACAAGGTTTTCGGCAAAGGGGTGATAATGCTGTCGCGGAATGCTGAAAATTGATAAGCTTCATTCTCTCATGACCCCAATACTTCCAACCAAATTTTAAAAAAAATTAAACACCCTTTGTAAACTACAGCTTCTATCGCGTTAACAAAGTTTTCGCAAAAGGAGGCTGGTACGAAAGGTTGCGGGACGCTAAATATCGATAGTGTTGGTCCTCTCATGCCCACAATGCTTCGATCAACGTGTACTGAGTCATACGTGTGCTTTGTGGAGCAGGGCCCTTTATACAATCTATGCTGAGGTCGGTTGACAACTGACGACAAATATATAAACTTTCATATTACCTCATCAATATAGTAAATATTCAAAAAATGATTTACTCTGGCGGTGATTTTTTGTGTTATTTTATATCTACAATTTCCATTGTGCTATTTAGCACCTAATTTCAAAGCCGAAAATGACACATCCTCACAAAGGCTATAGCAAATTAATATATTCTCAGGCTTTTGCAAATTTATGTATTCTCGATCATAATACTCGCGTTGCTATTCTGGACACATTTGATCCATATGTATTTCCCAATAACGTTGTTTTATACATTGAAATTTAAACTAAATGCCCTAACACCAGAGTACGTGCGTATTTACTGAACACATTACACAAGTAACTTTATCTGGTTTTGTAAAAAAAAAATCTATGTAAAAACAAAGTACAAAGATAGACTGATAATACTAGTGTTGCATAGTATTTTAAAACGAGTGTAGCAGACGCCAGGTAAATAAATCAATGACATTCTATTTATATACCCTCAACAGAAGACTACACAAATCACTGTACAAAAGAAACATATCTATATGATTGACAGTGACAAGAACATGTCTTGATAACACAAGATCTGGTAATATATCATGAATAACTGTTAGCTTTATTTTATCTCTTGATTCTTTGTGCGATAATTTAAAGGAGAGGGTATAATATACATTATATAGTTTATGGCTTTATTCTTTAATCATTCGCAGTTTCAAAATTAGCTCTCTATTTTAAATTGTTCCTTTAGATCCCGTTTATTATCGCGTTATCTTACCATTATCTTACTCTGGAATAATAATACTGAAGGTCGTTTACCTAAAAGAACTTGTCAGAAACCTCAACCAATTCCAGGAATGAGAACACAGTGGGAACTACTAGGAAATTCATTAAAGAGCGGGAGATTGCTGTCTAACCAAATTCTATTTAGTCATACAAAATATAATTATCATTTGTTAATCATCAAATTATTTAATTGACATAACATCTATCTTGATAACAATAGTCTCAAAATATCCTAAGGAACAGGTATAATAAGATATTACCATTATCTAAAATCTGTGCATCTATTAAACCTGTAATAGGTAGAGGGTCAGTAGAAATAGTTGGTGATGTAGAACTAGTTTGACTTGTATTAACACTGTTGTAGTTCTCATTATTACCATCATTAACACTCACTACCATTATTCTCTACAATAAAACATAACAATTTTAAATTGCGACACAAATCCCGTTTCAGTGGTTAAAAACCAGAATTATCATATTGATTGAACTTCCTCCATACATATAACCCACTGATGTCTAAATATTACTCGTTTTGGTAGATCTTAGCAACCTTCGTTGGTAGTTTTTCCATTCACGAACGCAAGCTAACAATATTCAGATATATACACGTAAAGTAAAGATTTTTTTAAATAATTCCTTTGAAAAGACAAAGCGTTGTATGCAATCCGCTTAGTTGTTTCCGCGTGTTGGGCCGTTAAATGATCAAACTATCAAACTAATGGTCCATGACCATTAAATTGCAAATTCGACAGATTCTAGTAAACGCATATCACTCAGATCTAAGATTAAAAACTATTAGTCTGCTATGTCATCAAGTACTATATCATAACATTATAACCTACAGGCCAAGTACTGCATATCTTATACTTATGATAAATTTAAAGTAATTTTATATCTTAACCATGCTCAGATAAACTAGAACGTGTTTCGAGTAAACTGAATCAGAAGTTAAATTAATTAGACAGGAAAGGCTAAATCTTTCTTTCGTCTACAGATACTACTTTATTATCTGTGCCTGCTCATACATGTATAAGAGACTCAGGGGAAAACCATTTCTCATTATAAATGGTGCCCACATGTGGAATAATGGAATAAGCTACCAAGAACAATCTGAGAGTTCAACTTTTGTTAAATTTAAACCGGAGTTAAAACACACTTGTTTAAATATTACTACAAACTGTGACATACAAAAGTAAAGCGCTTGAAAATATCACCGGATATTATGAAGAAATGATCTAGAAGATGAATAGTAATAATAATAATAATAATGTCATATATACGTCGAAATTAAAAACTGCTCTGCCATAATCTAGATGATAAACACATCTTGGTACATTAGCAGTATTATTAGTCGCTCATCTTAAAGACTCTAATTTCATCTTTCAGGATTTCAAAATTTTGTCGTAAATTCTGCAGACACCACTGACAACACTAACCTTTATATGTTGAATATCAATGAGTGAATTAACAGCTTCAATCTGTTTAATTATATGATCTGTAGAATGACAGGATATTATTATTATCTCTAACTGGTGGAAAGTATTGCTTGGCTGAAAATTTTAAAACATGTATAAAATATTAAACACTTAGATCAAATTGCATTTACGTGATACCAGAATGGTGAAAAAGTGTAAAGAGATTAGTTATTTGTATAATCACATTCCTACTTTCAGAATACGTTGACAAGCTGTAATTATGTTAAGAATATGCAGACAATCGTTTCAATCTCCTCAAATAAGTGTAAGACGATTGACTACAGATTTACAAACTGTAACTTTTTCGTGTTCTCTTTAGAGTCTCAAAATCTAACATAAGCAGAAAGTATCTAACAAAATCACAAAAATATCAAATTCAGGTCCCTCATACTTATAGCAACTACATATGAATTTTGGTTGCAATCAAAAATGTAAATTGTTTACGCCAGGCGTATGGACAGAAGTGACCACATAAAACATTTGGGCCGTTGGCCAGATAATTTAAAGCTAAAAACATGGTTTTCCACGGGTTCTGAATAAATTCTGAATATTTGATGTGTATTGTCCATTATCAATTGTACTCTACATCAAAACTGTGCCCGTTGATGGCGTAGTCCTCACATGAAATGATAACAGGGCGACGGTTGGCGGACGCAGGAGGCGACATATCCACATTAATGGACATATAGCTCTGTTCTATGCGGAACCCGTTCATATTAGGATCCCAAATTTTCACGACAAGATAACATCAATATTAATTGAAATGGACCAATATTGAATTATAATTCGTGTTTTTAATTTCATATAGTATGAAAATTATTGGAAATATAGTAAGCCATGCACTTTTAAAACGAAAAGAAAACACACTGTCATTACAAACATAATGATAATCAAATTTTCTGACGACTGTACCATACATGTGTCGTCTTCATCAGTCCAGTCGCAGCAAAACCGTACACTGTTAAAATTATATGTATATTTACAGTTATAAGTATTGTAAAATACAGTGTCGGATTTGTCAGACCACATGATTTGTTAACTAACATTTAAAACGATGTAAATGTATATAAATACAAGGCTTATGTCAGATTACATCAAATGTAATGTAGAAATAAAACTATGTCAGTTTACAAAATGTAAGCTGTATATTAACAGAATTGCCCTTGGAAATACTATTTTTTACAGAAAATTATAAATTTACTGCCAAAAGTGGTCACATCGGTTATCCCCCCTTTGAACACATATCGAATTTTGTGTAACATATTTACGGTACTGTTCTGTCAGTCAGTTTACTCTATTTTTGGTTTTTGAAAATATCTGAATGCACCTATAACTGGCTAATTAAGACAGGCATATACCATACATTGTGTGGTGTGGGACATTTTTCTTGAACAATGTCACCTAACCTGCCCTTTCCATTGTTTAATGTTGTTTTACATTCCAGTTAGACGTCGGCAAATTACATAATATATAAATCTACACTAGAAGCGTAAATTTTGTTGCAGAAATATAGCCATTTGTAATGAGGTATAATTAAATAAACTCTGTCGAATTACACAGCATGTTTCTATTTACCAATTTATGTAATCTAATGTCATGGTAATTTTACATGTACTCCATTTACAGATATGTAAATTTACCTTGGGCGTATAACAGCTTGAGGTAAAGTTACATTACAGACAGTGTAGGACATTAAACCCCATTTCAGTTCATTTCACCATACCTGTGCCATTGTGTTTAACTGAGAAACATATGATCTAAGAGCATCTAATACACCTTTACCAACACAACCAGCGTCTTTGTTATCAAGAGAATTCTCACGTAATCTCATCTTTAGATCACTTGTAGCTCCTTGAATACGAGCCATGTTTCCCTTAATATATGATAGCGGCATCAATATCTGTAATATAATTAAATATCAAATATTTAACTAGCCAGCAACACCACACTTTTAATTCATTAAGTGCCCCTGCGTGTACTTCGTTTGAACTTTAATATAATGATTTACAGCTGGAATCTATGTAAACCTGGACGGATTCTTACTCCAAAAACACAGCGATAACATTTAAATTTGAAATGCCTTGAATTTTCTTTTCATATGGACACGAAACATCCCTCTTGGTTGTTTCCCATCATAACATTTTGTATAATATGGATGTATTCGAACAAAGAAATTAATGTATTTGAAAATGTACATGGCGCCTTAAATTGGCACCCAACTGAACTTGTTTCCTCTCCGTAAAAGAATGTTTGTCGTATCCTTTGATGCAACAAATAGATGCAACCAGGATGATTACAAATGTGTGACGGTTAAACACAGAAAGAAGTATTAAATAATAGGTGCGTTTACAATACGGTTATTATTGTCACCTCTGGGTATGTAGAAAGTATAAGAATGCTGGCTAGAGGTATCCTGGTGGGGCCAGCTGTAGTACAGGCCACGGCAAACAAATTATCTAATGCATCACACATAATCGTGGCAACATCGCTCCCAAACGGACGGCTAACGTCTATTAATAAGGCTCGAGCTAAAAAAAAGAAAAGAAAAGAACATGTAAATAATCAACCTTATGACGAGTTTTAAGTTAATATTTTTATATCCAGAATAGTGTAAATTTAGCATTAAACATACATTATGCAAGAACTAAATATGCCTATTGCAGGTCTTTCTTTAGGTCTGAAATGTTATCTTAATTATTATTTAGACATTAATTAACTTATCCAGACCATAATCAACTCTCGATGTCATCGCTAGCCTGCGACATTTACTGGATTAGGATCTGATTTGCTGCTCAACTTTCATTCATGATTTAATCATGAAATGGATGATCCAGACTATGTTTTTTATTAGTAATGATGATCGAGGCTAGGCCAAAAATTCAATCGCTAAAGTCTCGGATCAGAGTGGATCAATTTGACTGTAATTTTCAGTAAATTCCCTTTACATTGTCTAGTTTGTAAATATTATAGTGAGAACTGTCAGCTCTTTATCTAATCTCCCATAATGTATCTTTAAATAAAGTAGTCTACGATAGCTGCGCATTATCTGGATTTTGTCCGATTTTGGGGGAATATTTGTTTAAAGATACATTATGGGAGATTCGATAACGAGTTGGCAGTTCTCACTATAATAGTTAAAAACTAGATAATGTAAAGGCAATTTACTGAAAATTTCATTCAAATTGTTCCACTATGAACCGAGAACTAAGCGGTTGAAATTTTCGCCTAGCCTCGATCATCATTACTAAAGTCAGTACGATAAACAGCATAGTCTCGATTATTCATTTAATCGTTAAACGGTAAGGAAAGTTATGCAGTAAATCGGCTCATAATCCACTAAAGGTCACAGGCTAGCATAACCACCTAGAGTTGATTATGGTCTGGATAGGTTAATTAATGTCTAATTAATAAGTTAGATAACATTTCTTCAGGCCTAAAGAAAGACCTGCGAATGTAATACTACTATTTTTAATTTAAATATGATATTATACATATATTTTCTTTCGAGACCTCACTCATTTAGTTTTATTTTACGGTTCAAATAATAGAACTATATGTTATCCAAACTATCGATCCATTATGCTAATGGCAAATGCCGTGTACGGGGCAATGCATCCTTACTCTTTCGAACACATTTGATATAACTTCTCATTTACGAAATTCAATTAGCTAAATTAACATATCAAACAAAATTGCAATTCAATAATACTAATAAATATTATATTGCTAAAAGTGTTAAGACTAGAAAGAACTTTGCAATCAAAAATTATCTTACTCAAACTATTTATCAGAATTTGAAGAAACATACTTTTTCTAATGATAAGCAAGGTATCTCCAACAAATTTATTTCTATTTACATACTTACTTCTCTGGCGATACCCCTACTTTAAATTGAAAATGAATATGGCATTGTTATTGTTATATGTTTAAGTTCTACTTTTGTTATTACAGGAAGTTCGTATTCAGGGGCAAATGTCATTTATTTCATTCCTCGGGTTAGAAAAACTCTCATTGATAACGGACTAGTAAATATCTTTTATAAACAAATATAATTATAGCCTGGGGTGAGGAAGGTTTATGACGTAAATCAGAATATATAACACGTGTCGTTCAATACAATTCTAATGCTGAACTTAATTAATATTAAAGCTGTTTACCATGGGCCTTAACCAGTGCGCTAGTTACCACTATGCACGCATCTTGTCAAAACAATAAACAGTGATAATTTGGCTCAAAATGAAGTAATTTGGCTGAAAATTTCAATATTTTCTTTTTTTTAACATCTATTTTTGAATTATTATAGCAAGAATGATCAACTCTTTATTAAACTCTTAACTAATGTATTTAGACATTTATTAACATAAAAATACCAAAATCAACTGTTGATGCCATCTGATGGGTCCGATTTTCAACAGATTTGAATCGTTCAACGATTGTTGATGATTGGGGGGTTGGATGGCCGAATGGTTACGGTCTGTCATTGAGTCAACTGGCGGGGTTTCGATTCCCCGGTTGTACGTGGCAAGGAGTAGGGTCGCCTGTCCAACCTCGTGGGTTTTCTCCGGGTCCTCCGGTTTCCTCCCACTGCTAAAGACCCCTACGCGCAACCGAATTATCGAAATAAAATTGAACCATGTGTTAGTCCCGAAATGACCTAGTCTGTGTCGAGTGGACGTTAAACCCCATCTCTCTCTCTCTCTCTCTCTCTCTCTCTCTCTCTCGTTGATGATTAATTGTAAAATTGGATAATCGAGACTTTATTATCGTCACAACGGTAACAATGACAATCGAGGCTACAGTGTTATTGAAAAGAGAATTTCTCGGCTCAGAGTGAAGTTATTTGACTGGAATTTTCAACATATTCGTTTTACAATATTACTTTATCCATTTTTTAAACTATACTCTTCAAAAAAAGTAAGGGATATTCAGAAACAATACAAAACTGCGGAAATGCACTGATGTTTTTATTAGAGGTAACCAGTGTATGTTAATAACAGACCAATTGCCTACACAATCATGAACATAAGCAGTTCATATGGGCGGCTTGTCTGACGGTCCATTTCACTCGCAAAACACCGTCAAAAGTGAAAATGGACGTTTTTGATTTTTGTCTTAATAATGAGTAATGGCTCCACCAATCCTCAGATATTCAGCAATTCGTCGTGGCATGCTCCTAATCAACCGTCCAATCACGATTTGTGGCAATCTGACCCACTCCCCTTGCAGTGCCACGACCAATTCTTCCAGTGTTGTCGGTTGACGTTGACGAACACGTCTCCCGATGAAAATAAACGTAACACCCTAAAGCAAAGATACGATAAACAGTAAATCTTATGCAAGAACCGATAGGAATGCTAACATGGATAGATAAACCAGCATGCGGCAGTTTTCATCAACCCTTCCTTGAAGTGTCAAATTTGACAATGAACCCTATCACTTGTATGGCGCTATTGCGTGTCGCATGTGCAGCTCAGTGGTTCTGTTGGAGCGATAAGTTCTTTATCTGTGAACATACTCTCAAAGCATGTCAAGTGTACATGACTATTTATCATATCACATCCTGTATAGGTATTTGCATTTTAATATCCCCTACTTTTTTTTGAAGAGTATATTATAGCCAGAACTGTCAGCTCCGTATTTAATCTTTCATAATGGGTCATCTAGCTAAACAGAAAAAAAAGACGATAAGTGTATCTACCTGAACTTTCTAATACAGAATGTCCATAAAATTAGTTAATGCGGACAGAAGGATGACAATTATTTAACGTGGGCCTATAATTATAAAGATATGGCAAGAAGAAAGCTTCTACTCCAGGTAAATTAGACATCCCTAAATGCACATCCCTACCATTTAAAACTGTCGGGTTTTTTTTATAAGTACAACGTAATATCAAATCTAACCTGGTTGCTTGACGAGTAAAGGTCGTCTTTTTACTTTTTCTTTATTATCTGATGTCTGCATCTTTATTTTTCGCTTGACTGGAGGAATTCTATGAGTATTTTACAACCTGAAATGTTTGTTGCTGCATCTTAAAAAATCTCGTTACATCACATTCCTGATGGCGTATCTTTAACAAGTTTACGAATACAGATATGTATGTCCAATTTCAATCATAGATCGCTCAATAGCGTAAGTCTGAAAAGCGATTTTCAATTAAACTAATTTATGTATCAATATATGTAATGATGGTTTATAATTGATTTCCATAACACTAAATCTTGATTACAATAATTCTAAATGATCTAGTTGGTCTAAACCTTCATCCCTCCCATATCATTAATGTCATGTTGCCATAAAGGCTACCAAGTCCAGAAATGGTTCCAATCAATTGTATTTTAGGTAGTTTTAGTTAAAAAATAGTATGGTTTTCTCGAAAGTCAGTTTCAGACAAAATTCTGAGGAATTTCTAAGAGTCGATTTGTATTAGCCATGTTACCTGGTAATACGTAAAGATAGAGGTCTGAGATTGGAATGTTTTACGATTAAAGAACAGTTTTTTGCCCCCGTTTTTTTCATTGATGGATCTGTAACAGACGTGAAATTTGACGATCACCAGGTATACTGGCATTAAATTGACGTACGTCTCTGGTAAATCGTTCATACTAAACAAAGAAAGATTACTTTCTTACATTTGATGTGAGTGAGTAACACAATACGACCTACAGTCAGGCGATAAATACTTTGACAGACCATCATTCCTTAGACGATATCATGCACAATCTTATTTCGGCTCATTTGATATCGTCTCGATTATAAATTAACCCAAGATACCAAAATAGCAGGTCGGGTCATCGTTTCTTTTATAAAAGTATCATATCTACATGTACTTGGAACTCGAGAAGGGGATAAACATCGAGTATTTACAGCTCGGGGCGCTCCCTTTGTTCTGTTTGTTATTAGATTTAATAATGCAACTGGAAGACATTAAGGATCGCCTTTCAATACTTCCTTGTCATAATTTCACAATACACCATCATTGTATATTATTTCTAGGGGTTCGTCTAAACAAAGCCACATACTGAATATACTTCTATATATCAATGCGATCATAATCATATTTTAAACATAAAATCGATATCTAAAACGATGCGCACTGTTTAGAAATTAAACTTGGTCAGTGAGGCATTGCACATGCCACTCATCTCACATATCAAGCTGATACAGCACAAAAAGGCCATTAAATACTACACATTCTTTCACTTGAAATTAATTCTTTATCTTGTCACCACGTGAGAGTTATGTCCGCCATCTCATAAAACCATCATACCACACTTATCAGCATTGAATATTCGCTAGGCCGCTACAATCACTGATAAGGATGACATCGATGCGACTTAACGAGCCACAAATATTAACTTTTTTCCTCCGACAAATTAAATTCTAAAAAATTTTTTTAATGTATTAGAAAAATAAATAAAGACGTTTGGGGTATTTGTAGGTAACAATTATTTCCTATTTAGTGTAAATGGATATTGAAAGAAATGAGTAAAAGGCACCATTCTGTACGAACCAGTAACGTCTTAAGTAAACAATGCACGTGCCATTGAGCTAATGATTGACGCCGCGTGATGTGACGTCACGTGTTGAAGGTAGTCATCTTTTACAAAGATATTAGAAGACTTTCGTAATCCTCTGTGAAACAGATTGCCACCATACTCGTAAATAATTCATAACAATGTCAAAAATGTCCTGGTTTAAGTTAACTCTTATGCTTCTACAATTTAATTTTAATGCAAGGTACATTTATGCATATTATATCATAAACAGACTTTAAAGTGGCGAAAGGCGACTTAGATCAATAGGTAATTTGAAAGTAGACAAACGGGAGTTACCAAGGAAATGAAATGAAATGAAATGGGGTTTAACGTCCTACCGTTCTGCTCCGACTGGGATAATGAAGACGGGCATACGCTATACAGTGTGCTATGGGGGAAATTTTTGCCCGGAGAGTGGCGCTACGGCCTACTCTTATATTGAATTCCAACTGCCAAGGGATCTTTTACAAACACGCCAAAGTGTACACGGGAGATTACCCAAGGCTGACGATCAATCTGAAAGCCCGAAAATCATTAAATGGATGATGGACAATTTTATTGAAATATGAAAACTGCGACAATCCAGTAGAAAAGGAATAACTAGACAATATCCGACAATGATCGTCATTTGAGAGATTTTGAGTTGTGAGAGTTGAATCTATAAAAGGAATACCAGTCCAACAATTTGCTCAATGCTGCTCAGTATTTACAAAGATGAGAATTTCACAGACGATAATAACGGCACATGGTCCAAACGACCGCAGACCAAAACGGCTATAATTCACATTCATCAAAACGGCCAAAAATTTGGTTCAAATCTATGTAAATATCTACCATTTAAATAACAAAAATTTAAATTGTTCTTTCTGATGTATATAATTTAAAACCAATCTACGGCCGTTTTGACTAAACTTAATGGCTGTTTTGACCAAATTTTGGTGTCGTTTTAGTTTGAGACTGTTTCATATGACAAGCCACCACCACCCATTAAATAGAGCTAAATCTTTTCATCCGATTTAATCCGACATGGGTATTATCTCAGTAGTTGTTTTCCTAATTAAAGTTAAAAAATCAATTTGAGTACATCAAATACCAAAATGTATATATTTCAATACCGCAAAACATAATTATAAAGTGATGTCCCAGTGAGACAATAGTTTTCTTACCGGACTATAAAATAGTTACCCAAACTAATTTATTTAAAAAAAGAATAAAAAATATTTATTATGCTTTAAAATACATCTACCACATATCTATATGCAATATTCTTTGCTTGACTAGTTTGTACATGGCAAACATTGCACATTTAACACAGTTGATGGCATCTAACGTAAAAAAAAAAAAATACACATAATTATTTAAAATAACGAAAATCTTTTTGTTTTTTAAACATTTTACCGTACACGACAACTGCTTTCGTTTTGAATTGTCATTAAAAGTAAAGGTTTTTTTTTTGTAAATAATGCCAAATGGTACGGTTTAGTAATTGTCTATATAAACAATTGGTTAACTTCTACGATTGCTCACTATTTCATTACATCGTCTTGGGTCAACATCATCTGGACAAACACATTTACGCCCCCCGTTGGACGTTGGTAAACATAAGAAACGACATCCACCATTATTTAATGAGCAGGCATTTGTAACTCGCGGACACTGATTGTGTACAGCTGTGATACCATAAAGTTTACCATTTCCGCCTGGAACAAGATCAATTGTACCAACCTCCCCATTGTCACGATTATAACTTTCAATTCGTTTTGTTTCCCAATCAGTCCAATATAAAACACCGTTAAAGAAAGTCATGTCAAATGGATAAGCCACTTTTTTAATAATAGTTCTTCTTCCCACGCCGTCAGATCTTACAAACTCAATACGATGCGTTCCTGCGTCAGCCCAGTACAGTTGTTGTGTTCCAATATCTAAAGTGAGTCCATTTGGAAGACCGAGATCTTCCCGTACGATGACCTTTCTCAGTGAACCGTCCATACTGCCGCGTTCTATTTTAGGTCCATTCCTGTCCCAATCTGTCCAATACAACTGCCCTCGACTTGGATCAACAGCAATAGCGCGGGGATTTTCTAAATTATTTTTGAAAAGAGACGTTCTTTCTGATCCATCTAATTTAGCCACGCCAATTATATCGAGACCCGAATCGGTAAAATATAAATTTCTAGAAACGAAATCAATGGCAATTCCTTCTGGTGAGCTGAGATCTGTCAGTAGAACTTCGTCGTTTGATCCGTCTAAATTAGATCGTCTGATCTGTCCTCGGTAAACATCGGTCCAATAAAGATAACCACTTTTACAGTCAGTTTCAACAGCAATGGCCAATTGACTGGGGTCAGATATTAACTGTTGACCATGTGTGTCAGCGGACGATTCGTGTGGTGATTTCATTAGCTTATAACCCTGGGCATAAATCAAATAATTACCCTCACCAACGATTGGAATGCATGAACTACCATCCCCTCTAAAATTAGCATTACACACACATATACTATGGTCATAAACAAACTGGCAAGACGCATTCGGGTCACACATTGTTGCATCGCTTGAACAATCCTTAACGTCAGTTCTTCTCCGACATTGATATCCATCACCTTCGTAACCAGGCCCACAACGACACCTATAAGATAGAGAGTCTGGATTGTATATACATTCTGCAGTTGGAGCGCAGTTATTAATTTGGTTACAGGGTACGATTCTCTGTATACAAACTCTACCATCACCTTCATATCCAGTGTTACATCTACACATATAACGACGATTATCTCTGGGATCAGCAAGACACTGAGCATTGGCGTCGCAGTCATTCAAAATATTACAACCTTCCGCTACACATCTTCTGCCATCTCCACGATAACCACTATTACATTCGCAGATGTTGAATTCGGTATTTTCTTCCTGAATACACTTAGCATTAGCGTCGCATACCTGTTGGCGTAGACAATCGTATCTTTGACATCTGATACCATCGCCATAAAATCCTCGTCGGCAATAACAACGGTGACTGGACGTAGAGGGATCTTGAACACATTCGGCATCTGGGTCGCATGACGCACACCCGTCTAATGCAGAACAGGTATAACCTGTGCCAGTATACCCAGCTTTACATTGACATCTAAAGGCAAACCTTTCTACATCGTATGTACATTCAGCATTTGAATCACAGTTTCTACAGTCAATACGATCATTTGTTGGTTGACAAGTTATGCCGTCGCCACTAAAATCTTCAACACATTCACATCTATATTTCATCAGGACGTGGTCATACATACAATCAGCGTTATCGCCACATGTGTCCACCTCATTACACCCAAACTCTACGGGATAACACTCCAGTCCATTTCCAGCGAAGCCAGTGTTACATTCACATAGGGGTTGTTGGTTGCTATTGTAAACACATTTGGCATTGAGGTCACAGTAATTGTCTCCACACTGAATTCGCTCCCGTTTGCATATTCTACCGTCACCTGAATAACCTGGTGCACACTGACATTGGAAAGATCCGGGGACATTGAAACAACGAGCATTTTCATCGCAAGTATTCAAACCAAAGCTACATTCATCGACATCTTGGCAGGATACCCCGTCTCCGTCATAACCAACACGACACTTACAACGAAACGTTTCGCCGGAAGGAATACAATCTGCATTAACATCGCAATCTTGGGCGGCGTTGCGACAAGGGTCTTCACCGACTAAAATGCCAACTCTGTTAGAACCAGCGTATCTAACAACTTGATCTTGGTTGTTGTACACCACAAAACTTCTTGTGATAGTTAGCTGCATAGTGTTACCCACATCCAATTCGGGGTGATTTTGACATTCTTTAAATGAGATTATTTGATCCCAGGTATAACGATATGCGATATCGTTAACTCTGTATGTTCTGGTGGAATATGATTTAATTAATCCCGGGGCAACATGTTTAAAGTTTTCTTTATAATCGTCAACCGTCACTTTTGCATCTATAGGTATACGTGGTAGACTTCCATCGACTCGGCTTTCCATTCGCATGTTGTTCAGCGCATCGTGGCCAAAGAACTGTTGCCTTATAGATAGAGTTGTCGTAGTATTTTGATCGTAGAAAGTGACAGTAACTGTTCTGTTAAATTCGCCTCCTGTATAAGCGTAACCGTTTTTAGCACGTGGGTGAGAGGGGATTGCAAATAACCAACCAATTATTCCGCCGATTGTATTAAGTGTCTGTAAACCAACTCCAAGTTCCGGTGGTACCCGACTAATGGCTGTATAGGCTCGCCCATCAGAGGTGACAACGTACGTGTGTTGGTCTAAATCCTGGAGACGAAAGCCGTTAACAACGCCATACACTTTACCATTCAATCGTTGTGGGATGCCTGGCTCAAGACATTGTAGACCATTTCCGTAATATGGAGGAAGACATTCGCAACAGAAACCAGAATCAAAGTCAACACATTTAGCATTTATGTGACACCTTCTTGCGCCTTCTAAACAGGAACCTTCTTCGCTGTCGACATTAAAGAAAACGACTTCCCCAGTATTCAGATCGGCTGATGCTATGTTTGATCCACCAGTGTTGCCAATATGGAACATCCAGGCTCCAGGAATATTCACATTTGTATCGTTTACGTATGAAGTAGTCGTTCCTGAATTGGGTAGCTTTACAAATCGCTGTCGTTCTCCGGAGTCAAATCCCGCCTGAGCTGGTACATCAGGCAAACTGGGGCTAGTTTTGCCATCACCTGTAAGCCATTCCATGCCATTATCTAAATACTGAAAGATGGCAAAGGAATCACGTCCATTTGATGCGATTACTACTTGAAAAGTATTGAGTTTGTCTGATGTTTGTTTGTAAGCCCCAACTTTATGCCAGGTGACAATGAAGAGTGATTTTGGTTCAAACGCTTCCTGTCCGGTAAAATGAGCTTGGACATCTAGAGCTGCTCTCTGTAAAAGGGACAGTTCGTTGGTTTCTCTGTAAAACACGGATCCTGCACTTCTTGTATCAACATCCGACAAATACACTGCTATAATTTTAAATCCTATAGGCAAAACTAATGTCGCCCTATAATCAGGTAAGTCTGTTTCAAAAGACAGATGTCCATTAACATTGACATAAACAGTTCTGTAATAGTTTTCATAAAATGCTATAGGCGTGTTCAGTGAAAATTCGTCAGAACTCAGATCATCGCCGACTGGTAAAACTTCATCCCCAACTTTTTGCCCGTAAGGATAAAACAGTTCCAATGGTACTCCATGTACCAAATGTAATACACACAGAAAAACGCACAATGGCGAAAATGCCATTTTTACGCTATTAGTCTAGAAAGAAGTCACATAGGAACGTGGGTTGACTGTATTCAGGTTAAATATAAGCGGTGTACTACTGAGACGGTTCACTCATACATATATATTGTTCCAACCTCTAATAAAGAAGACAGGTCCAACCTACCATTCAAAGACATCTGATTGGTTAAAGATAAACGTTGCAGGGGGGTTTATGCAGATTAGAACAGTAAGACCCCATAGTAAATCGCCGTATCAACTAATACTGGGTTATCGAGATAAAAGAGGCGTGATAAGATTGCAAACACCTTGTTTCTATCTTGGCATTACTCACATATGGGTTTAATTTATCACCGCTGTGTATTGGTCTCTTAACTAAAATATGATAGGCAATACCGTTGTGAGTAGATTTTTCCCGTATACCTGACACCGTATTTACCTTAAAATATTGCACAATAGGTACATTGGTTAGCACCATAATAGGTGCGATATGGTTAAGTTAACCCAAACAATTGTTGTCATATTTCTGGGATTACCCGTGAAAAGGAAAACAAATATTCGTAATACAAAACGGTTGATAAAAATATAAATAAAAACGTATAACATATTCTTAAAATAGTAGTCACCCGTTGTATATCCGGCCTGAGGATATATGAGTAAAACTTTTTATTTTCTCAATTGAATTATTCTCACATTTCATATCTGGCACGAAAAGGTAAAATATGCAACTCAAAGCGTATAATTTTGTTTCTCTTTGAACAGTTACGAAGGTATTTTAACATCTGTGTAATCGACTAATCTTTATACCGCAGAGAACTAGTTTTAAAACATAAAATCTTATAACATTGGAAAATATGAACTCTGGGCTAAAGTACATGTATATGATAAAAACAGAAAATTTATGTAATAAAATCAGTAACAGCAAGCAAGCAACCAATCAATGAATAAGACTGGGTTTAGCGTCTTACTTTTCTGAAACGACAGGGTTAATGAAGATGGACATACGCCACGCAGTGTGCTATGGATGGGGACATTTGCCCAGACATCGACCCCATGTCTTACCCTTATTTCGATTTACAACCGCCAAGGGATCTTTAACGTGCTGTCAATGGTATACACGGAACTTGGTTTGACGGGGCTAAAAACAGACTGGGAAATCCCGAAGAACTTTCTCGACCAACACCGAGGTGTTAGGTTTTATGCGTGTTTTTGGTTTTAGGGTGTTTTGGGGTCGAGTTTATTGTTATTAAATCGGAAGTAAACGATCAATTGTAACATCACCACAGAACAGCTCGTTTATTATTTTGAGGGATAATACAAGAAAAACAAATCAGATTCGTCGAATCTTTCTTACAACCTATTTTAGTTAATGAACACTGCTACTTATTAATAAAGAAATTAGTATAAAAACGATAAGGTCCCAAGGGTTTCCATAAGTTATCAAGAGTAGAAGTAAGCTAGAAAAAAAGGCAGTGTGTGTGTTGGCGGTGGGTAGGACACAAATTAAAAACAAATTTGTAAAATTTGTCTTGTGTCATTTCACCACTTCATCGAAAGACGCAGTTGATTTTTCTGGAAAGTAATTACTATACAGATCCTTATAGATGAAGATGGTTTAATAGTTCTAGAACAGGAAATACGGTAAAATAATAAACAAGAACACAATCTTCCTTATGTTTCTACAATTAAAATAGACTAAGTACATCTTGTAGCACTTGACACACCAAGAACGCATTGACCTATGAGCATATAATTTTTTTATAGCGAGAAACTATTAAGAACCGTAACGCTTAATATTATTTTATGACTTGTAGATAAAAAAAAATACCTAAATGTCTATGATAGTTCTATCAGAAGTAAGAAGTAAACTTCAGAATATTAGGTTTTTATCTTGGTTAATACATGTACCAAAATACTTACCAGATAAATCTATAAATAACCAAATATTAACCGCAAAGGTATACAGATCCCAACAAGCAAACAGCTTCTCACTGCATTGTCAAATCTTAAGTTCTAAAACGAAAAAAAAAGAGAGTTGTTTTTGTGTTTATTGTGTGTATCTTGTTTTTGCTTCAATTAAATGTAAATGAATTGCACTAAAATTGATATGTTACCGATAGAAAACATTTATCAAGCTATTGGTTATTTTTACTTGAAACCTGTTTTTAGATACACATTCAATTTATTTATATTACAAAGTTGGTAGCTACAATGACCTAAATGGTGTGGAAAAAATATCAACGGTTTGCAACAGATGACTGTTCTTTGAAATACTGAACTACATTCGCCCTTGTTTATCTTTTTAACACACTGGTCAACTGGTCTTGAGAAACATATGGCGACTGATCTGATAGTTAAATGCGAAAATGGACATAAAAGTCTCAGCTTATAAAAACAAATTCAGCAATATCAAATTACCGGTAGTGGACTGAGGATTATTCTGTAAATACAGACCGGCACAGTACATAATTTGTGAAACTCAAATATATGTTTCACCTACCTACAATTCCTTTAGATTTTGATGTTTTCTGATTCTGAATGAATATAATTCTATCATTAATTGTGTTGAAGAGTAATTATCCGAAGTCATTAACAAACATTTGGCCTTTTATCTGATTGACAGAAATATGGTATGCATAATATTTTTCAGGGTGATCATGGGCAATAACACTGCTTATATAATTATCGGAACATTAATAGACTTCTTCGTCTCATGAATATAAGCTTTTAGATCGGCAGCCCATGGAGCATTTTGGTCCAACGAACAAGGGACTAATATCCCCCCGGTAGGGTGAAAAAAAATGGGCATGGGATAAAATTGGAGGTACCAATGTAACTAAGTCGAAATGAACAATAAACAGTCTAAAGTCCCAAGGCCAGACAAATTGTGTGCTGCACAATACTGGCCAGACACCCCCAAAATGCGTGCTCCCTGGACACTATCCTGGAATTGGGCTGCATCCGCCCACCCCACAAGGGTCCAGATTGTGGCCTAGTATTAGGTAATATTATAAGATAAGGTTCTTAGAACCCCAAAATTGATTGAGAATTTGATTCCATTTCGAGAATTTGGTTTATTGCGAGTTTTATTGGGAGCCGCTGTGGCTCAGTGAGTAAGGCGCTGGCTTACTAACCAGGAGGTCCGGTGTTGGCTGAGAAAGTCTCCAATATATTCATGTTCCATTACCTATTTTTAAACTACTATAGCGAGAACGGACACCTGTTATCTAAATATTACTCTTAGATAATTTAGGGACAAGAAGGACATATTAGAATCCATTTCCATGTGATAAATTTCTGTACAGTATTTTAATGAATGATAGTTTCCATTTTTTTTAATTGTCAAAAACTGTCTCTGCAGATGACAGAGCCATTCACTTTATCTGCAGCATTGAATAAAGTAAAGCCCATTGTTGCCATTTTTATTTCTAAAATGGTTTTAGTTTGTTTAGGTTACTTAATACTTGTCCGTTGCCATTCTCAGTTCTAACTTCCGGCTGGTTAGTTATTAAGGTGCTGGCTCATTAACAAGGAGGTCCTGATCGAGTCCGATACCGGTGTTGGCCGAGAAAGTTCCTGAATCCGGAATTTTTTGCGTGATTTCCCAAGGAGCAATGTCTAGTCGTTCGAATGGGAAGAAACCCGAGGTCCCGCCTTTTGGAAGTTTGAGTTGGAATTCGATGACGAGGCGGAAACGCCGCTTCCCGGGCAAAATGTCCTCTCATGGTAGGCCTATACACTTCATAGCGTACGCCTGTCTTCATTAGCCAAGTTGGGGCAGAAAAGTAGGACGTTAAAGCCCATTTTATTTCATTAAAATTTCTTGAAACGGAATAGAGGGTGACAGGCAGGTTCAAGATGGTTTCTTTTGACGTCATTTTAGTTCGTGTGGCACAGTAGTCTGGGTAGACAATATTTTATCAATAATAACACCATGGACCGTGTATCATGACAACACTACAAGTTTCAAGTCCCTGAGAGTTAGAAAGGCCATATATTGACGATCTTTCCTGGGCTTTTTGAAGTTTTTGGACTTACGTTACTGCCAGGCAACAAACTTGCAGCTTTGACGTTTCTCTGAAATATGGCTAGGCTACACAGACGCAATTTATTTCGTGCTCACGTGAACATTAGAAAAGGGACATCACTCTAACAAACAGGTGCTTGTAAAAGTTCTCCACTCTACAAATTTCATTAATATTTTCCCCAGAAATTAAATAATGCCGATTAGATAAACCAGCGGCTAAAAAGCTAAAAAGAAAGTGATTTTTCTTACAATCATGGGCCATAATTCAGGAATTATGACCTCTATAGGGTCCACAAGCTAAAAACGCGATTTTTCGTACAATCAGAGGCCATAATTCAGGAAGTTACGGTCCGATATGCGCGAATATCGAAAGGAACCAAGATCTTTGGGTTATAAACTTACATTTCAAGTTTCAACAAAATCGGATAAAAATTGTGAACTCTATAGGGTCCACAACCTTGATATACTATATTTTTACGCTATTTGAGAACGAAGGGCCGCCATTTTGTCTGTCAGTTTTGGGCCGATTTTCACAAAATTCGAACTCAGCCGACTTAAATCGGATAAAAATTATGACCTCTATAGGGTCCACAAGCTAAAAACGCGATTTTTCGTACAATCAGGAAGTTACGTTACGATATGCGCGAATATCGAAAGGGACCGGGATCTTTGGGTTATAAGCATACATTTCAAGTTTAAACCAAATCGGATAAAAATTGTGACCTCTACAGTGTTCACAAGCTAAAAACGTGATTTTTCATACAATCAGGGGCCATAATCCATGAAGTTACAGTCCGATACATGCCAATATCGAAAGGAACCGAGATCTTAGGGTGATAAACCTACATGTATATGTCAAGTTTCATTGAAATCGGATAAAAATTGTGACTGTTCACAAACAATTGTGGACGGACGGACGGACAGGGGCGACGACAATATACGGCCCCACATGAAAATGTGATGTGGGCGTATAAAAATTATAGTCTGGAGGCTCAGTGCGGGGGGGGGGGGGGTGTCCATCAAATAGGCACAAAACCAGACCCAACTTTTCTAGAGTAAAATTTTGCGTAGAATACGATGCCGAGTGGTAATCAGTCCGCCGTTGGGGCATTTACGAGATATTCGGGGTCAAAGGTCAAATGAAAGTGAATGCGCAGTCATTCTTGTGTCATAAAAATAAGCTGATAATAATCGAAAGTAATCACACTTTCAATAAAAATATAAACTTGCTAAATTCACCTTTGTTCTTTGTGACTCCAGAGGTCAAAATATCACATTTTCCGTTTTAGCACTAGAAAGATTTAAAGTAATAAATGTCAGCGTAAAATATACGCCACTTGGCATCGTATTCTACGCAAAATTTTACTCTAGAAAAGTTGGGTCTGGTTTTGTGCCCATTTGATGGACACCCCCCCCCCCCCCCCGCGCTGAGAATCAGGTCTATTAACAGAGCACACCCTAGACAATTATTTGACACTCCCAACATTATTACAATCATGGGCCATAATCCAGGAACTTATGGTCTGAAATACGCGATTATCGAAAGGGACTGAGATATTCCATTATTTGGGATTTAAAGATATATTTTAAGTTTCATCAAAATCGGATAAAATTTATGACTTCTAGGGGGTCCACAACCTTGGTATTACATACTTTTACACTATTTGCGTACAAGGGGCGGCCATTTTGCCAGGCAGTTTCGGACTGATTTTCACTCAACCGTCTTTAGGATGTAACGGTGATTTAAACGTTTTTTAAAATCGGATAAAAATTGTGGCCTTCATTGATGTGTAGCGGTGATATATTTAAACACTTTTTAAAAAATTGAATAAAATAGCGAGTCCACAAGCTAACCAGCGGCTGTCAGGCAGGATACGCCCACATTTTGCAAGAGATGGATAGAGAACAAGCTAAACAAAAAGTGATTTTTCGTACAATCAAGGGCCATAATTCAGGAAGTTATGATCCGATATGCTTGAATATTAAAAGACGCCAAGATCTTTGGGTTATAAACATGCATTTTGAGTTTCATCAAAATCAGATGAGAATTGTTACATCTAGAGTGTCCACAAGCTAAAAGTGATTTTTCGAACAATAAGGGGCCATAATCCATGAAGTGTTGGTCCCATAAATGCGAATATCTATAGGAACCGGGATCTTTGGAAGATCGACCTATATTCCAAGTTTCGTCAAAATTGGATAAAAATTGTGACCTGTAGAGTGTGAACAAACAAGGTAATGGACAGACGTCCGGGCGTACAGGGGGCGACGGCATAATATGTCCACATGAAAATTAGCAAAATTATTAATTCTCGCATCGATCAGCCCGGTGGTAGGCCTGTTAACTTTACAGCCTTCGCCGGATCTTTGGAAGATCGACCTATATTCCAAGTTTCGTCAAAATTGGATAAAAATTGTGACCTGTAGAGTGTGAACAAACAAGGTAATGGACGGACGTCCGGGCGTACAGGGGGCGACGGCATAATATGTCCACATGAAAATTAGCGAAATTATTAATTCTCGCATCGATCAGCTCGGTGGTAGGCCTGTTAACTTTACAGCCTTCGCCGGATATATCATATTGTCGATGCAAGTTTTCAAAACTAGTTTTGGTTTTTATTTACTTGCGACATACGTTCATATCTGTCTACATTATAATTTACTCTTTCCAAAAAATGAACCTGGTCGGACCACACAGAGGCTTATAATAAACTTCCTCTAACGAATTAACATTTCTACAAAAAAAAAATAAGTGACTAAAACGACGAAACCTAGGATCCGATGTTTTGTTTTCTTTGTACATGTTCGGAGGGGGGGGGGGCTTTAGCAGTGGAAGGAAACCGGAGAACCGGGGAAAACCCCGAGTTGGACAGGCGACCCTACTCCTTGTCAGGTACAACCGGGGATTTGAAACTACGCCAGTTGTCTCAATGACAGACCTTATGATACAGTGAGCACGCGCTAACCACTCGGCCATCCAAACCCACGTAGATAGGACTTTGGGTCTACCTAAAATATGACGTCAACTTTACATTTACCATTTCACTTTATATCATTGAGCACACCTCTATACACATTATGAAAATTGTCGTAAAGGTCTTGAACAACATTTAACATGTATTAAGGTACTTTTTATATCTTCTTTATTTACTTTTTCCTTTGAAACACATATTTTTTATAATCCCATTTTAACACATACATGGGTAAATGCATATAACAACACCAATTAATCTTTAACCACCAAAGCTACTATTTTAAGAAGACAATGTCTTTGGCATGTAAGTATGTGTGTATAGTCTAGAACTTAAGATAAGTTTGATGTATAAGCCCCTGGCTCAGGTTTGGGAATTTTGGTTGGATCTAGATTACTTTGTTTCATCTGAACAGCAATATCAAACAAATAATCATAGCACTCACACCTGAAATATATACGAGAAATATTTTTTTATTTACTCCTAAATCTAAGAGATTAAAATCCACAAAGGTTATGATTCTAGACATTTAATTCAGAAATAGGTGTAGTGTGTTCAAATTAAAAAGTAATGTATTTGTATTGCTCGTCCACAATGTAGAATTCTTGGTGGCCATTTTTCAATGTCCTCGAGATTCCTAATATAAATGCATATAGGCCTACATCGAGGTAAATTATTCACTGGGACATCCAGAAAATTAACATCGAATTTTGCCCTGTAAAGTGCTCTCAAGACATAAAAGCAGACTAAAATACGAGGGATCGATATGATAATACACGTCAGCAAAAATAAAACCACCTGAAATTGAACGCGACTGTACAATCGCCGACTTTCGGCGAGAATGATCGTTCATACTGAACGGGCGATACGCGCGGAAATTAATTCGCAAATGACCTCTCGCTCTGATTGCCAAATGTTACCAAAGATTCGCTCTGGGACAATCTCCGCTGTTTTCCTTGCGAACAAAAATTCGGCTTAAAAAAACCGACTCTATTCTAACAGTAATTAATTAATCATATGATCGCCGCGTTGGCGTTCGCCGTCGCGCTCAGTATAAAATAAACGACCTTTAATTGTAAACTATAGATAAAGAAAACAAGATAAGAGTAGACATAATGTCTACACTAATCGCTTCTACATTAACAAAAATAAGTAGCATTATCTATTAATTAGAATTCTTAACTTAAACTTCATGACACAGCATTTACAATTAAAGACTATTTCATAGTCTAGACATGAAATATATATATATCTATTTATTGGTTCTCGGAATCATCTCGAAGTATGTGTTTTTGGAACTATCTGTACCAGTTTTAGCCATGCAAGTTATCTACAATTACTATTTTTGTAGATGCATAATATTTAAGTCAACAACCCAGAAGATTTGTTATAACCGACATGCATTGCATGTATTGTCATCAACTTTTAAGTAATTTTTGATGCAGTTGAAATCTGAATGAAATAAGCACGGATGCTTTAGTTTAATACCTGTACAGCCCCCACCATCACCTACCATATTTACTGCAAATTTACTTATTATTCACACTGGAAAATTAATTGTGCTTATTTTATTCCCCCATTTTCTTTTTTTTTAGCAAATTAGTGTGCACCTATGTTTATTGAAATAAATTTAATTTTTTAAGTACTTTACATTTTAAGGATTCAATGATAATAAATGAGTTTGACATACACATAATTTAAAATTAAACACATCATTTTAAAACAGTATGACATCTCTGTATAAGTACATGTAGATTAAACATGTTTCCAGCAATGTGATTTATAGAATAAGAATATTCATAAGCCTACTCCCACATTTCATGACTAAAATTTGAAATGTCTACTCTATCTAATTTTAAGCACACTCAAGACCATATATCAAGAATATTAATGGGTCATTCCATGTCAAGTGGACCAAATTAGATTATTATATTAAAGGGACTATCCCGATTTGAAAAGAGTCTCAAAAATAGAAGTCTGTTTACATATGAAATTTAAGTGCCAAAATATAGAGAAATGGTGTATTTTTTTTTTTTTTTTTTTAACAATATTTATTCGATCAATATTTACATATTTTAAAGAGACAATATTTAATTATGGCATCTGAAAACAAGCCGGAGCTTATATAAATTCATTTCCCGTAAAAAATTATTTACAGACATATAAATACATTGTTTATAATTACAATCACAATTTACATAAGGTTATAATTACAAAAGCAAAACATATTTATTCTCAATTGATGAAAATGTATAAAATACTAAATATACATAGGTTAATGTGGTTAGCGACACGATTATGGTGTGGTGATAGTGTGGTGCGAACTTCGAGTTGTGGATAGTAGAGGGAGGGGGGAAAAGTCAAGTTTAAAACCTTGAACACGAAACGAAAGGCGTGCGAAGTGGGAAGGTGGTACTTAGTTGACGGTTGTCGTTAGATACTAGTTAAAGTTAATGTTATTGGTGGAAGCTTTCAAGGTGTAATATGTATCATTACTCATTAAAACTTCATTTGAACTTGACACAACTAGATATAAATGTATCATCAAACAAGAGACGGCCAGGTAAAACTAACCACAGTCGATAACAATAAATAAATAAACAAGATACGGTAAGAGAAACAAACAGGACACGATAAATAAGCAAGAAGTGAAAATAATCGACAAGTATCACCAGACAAGAGACAGTCGGATATAATACCCACAGAAAGTGAAACTATCATTAATTAAGATACAATAAATAAAGCCGATAACTATCATCAGCCGATAACTATCATGGTGTATTTACCTTGTCTCCAAATTTCAGCTCAAAATATTGAGTCGTTTTGACATGAACGTTAAAAAAAGTTTATCCGGACACGTAAGCCTTTTAAGATTTCGCGTCGATTTTTCGTTGGGTGACCTGATAATCGATTGCCGTTCCTTTAGAGGTCTATACAGTGCAGGATCCATGTGCTGTACTTGATAACGAAATGTAAATTTTACCTAAAAGTCTGGTTTTATCCAGACACAGTATAATACAGCTTGGAAGACTGGTGTTTGAAAACATACCACATATATTGAGGTAGTTGCTCGGCCCTAAGGTAGAAGATTTTAAGGGTTTTTAACACAAAATTAAGCAGTTTTATTCACCAAAATATAATCAGGATTTGCCCTTTAATTCAGATAATACATGAATAGTAGTTAAATCAGCATCATACTAACAAATGAAGAATTTTGAATCTAATATGCGGCCATAGCCCAGACCACCATTATTATTTCTACTGGTGTTCAAAGTAGTGTATATGTTTATGAAAGTAAAATAGTATTTGACCATTCGGCAAAGCATTGAAATTTTATTATACTTTTATTTTGAATGTTTAGTTGCAAAATATATAGACCATGAAGTCTACCCGTGCAGTTTTGTTTCCAATCTTTTTCTGTTGAATTCCTGAAATACAGTATCTTAAAATGAATTTTGAAATGGGCTAAAATCTAAGAAAACTTTTTATCTACTGTTTTAAGAAGTTTGTGTTCAAATCAAATCATTCAAATGATGCAAATTTTAACTGATTTTGGATAGTGGTTCGTTTCAACACAAGCAAGTAATGGTAAACATAAGCCAGATAACAAAGGTGATAAAATTGAGAGTCCCGGTGGAATTACAATTTGCAAATCCTTAAAATGGCCTAGTTGTACTTGTAAGAGGATTTCAAACTTCATTTTCACACCTGTACTCCTTCTCTAACCCTTATTTGCAATTTACAAGACTATGTATTCTGCATTTAGAATTAGTACAAAATAATAATATCTTCTTACATAGTTTTAGCTTTCTGCCATGTCTCACCCCAAACATAGACACCATGTCTACGGACTAAAATAGCACAGGTTTCTGGATAATCTTCCATAGCTGCAGCCATAGCTTTCTGAAATACATAAAGAAAATGAAACCCTCATTATCATAATTATTAAGACATTGTATTCATGGGCCATATACATAGATCATACAATTAGCTTATGACATATTTCAGCTAATATCATACTTTAGCTACCCTATTATTATATTTAGCTAATATCACACTTTAGCAATTCATCAAATTTCGCAGTAAGTGTACATTATTTTGAATAATATCATATTCATCTAATTACATGTATTGAAAATCTAAGGTATCTGTAACAAGCATTTCCTTAACTCCTTGAAACACACTAACAAATCAGGCTTATTGAAAGCTAAAATGTTGATATCCCAGGGATGGTTGACAGAATTACCTTAAGCTATATTTTTAACAAAATATTTGAAACATATACAGAAAAACAAAACCATGTCAAATCAAAATTTAACCTTTCTCAAACCATGACAATTCTTTATACTAATAGAATCAAGATATCTGACACTCAGTTATTCTCTTTGCTTCTCAACTTGATATTCATTTCTAATTTCGGGGATCACGGTGGCTAAGTGGGTAAGACACTGGCTCGCTAGCCTGGAGGTTGGGTGTTTTCGATCCCTACATTGGCCGAGAAGTTCATCCAGATTTTCCGGCGTGGTTCTCCTTTGTCAGTGATGCAGGACGGAGGGGCTGACAAGGAAAGCTGTCTAGTCATTCGGATGGGACGAAAAACCGAGGTCCCGTGTACACATTGGCATGCACGTAAAAGATCCCTTGACAGTTGAAATTCGATATAAGAGTAGGCCGTAGTGCCGCTGTCCGGGCAAAATTTCCCTCATAGCACACTGTATGATTTTAACTAAAGTGACAACAGTCTCACTCTGTAAAATGCTGAGAAAAGAGGGTTTATGCCTTACGGTAAAATGATCAAAGGGAAGTAAATCTTGCAGGATTAAAGCAAGTATGCCTATCTGTTTTTTTATTTTTTTAAATGTCTGTTTAATCATCTCCTGAACAAAGTATTATTTCACACGTAACAAATTGAGATCACATTTTTTCCCATAAATTTTGTAAAAGAAAAAAATTGAAAGTGAATTTGATTGTTTTCCATCTAATGATTACAACCTATAAATGCAGGTAGAATCTATGACGAATAATGAATATTGTGACAGTAATTTAGTAATAATAATAATGAGTCTTGTATTGCGCTAAAATCCAAACAACAAAGAACACACACTATCACACAACAACACAATTTCACTAATTATAACCTTTAAAGAGATAGGTCTTGAGGTTTAATGGCAAATTATTCCAAAGTGTTGCAGAAGAGTAGGAAAATGACCGAGCACCAAATGTCTTTAAATTGTAGCATGGAGTCTCAAGTAGAAATTGATCAGAAGAGCGCAAACATCTTGTAGAAAGGTTGGAGCCATTTTGGATACTGATTGGTAGGTTAGCCACAAGATTTTGAATTTGATTCTTTCTGAAATCGTCCATCCATTTCTGGATATCATTTATACAATTTTCAAATTGGTGACAGGCAGCAACTTGACTTGTATGTGATTGAAGGAAGCTGTTAAACAGTCAAGTATCATCAGCATACAAGATAATTGAATTAACTCATTAGACTGATATCGATCAAAGTGTTTACCCGTGTTCATCTTTAAATCTAAACAGCGGGTTGTGTTGTCCGTTTTGGGTATGAGTACATCAAGCACAAATTGGGGATCAGAATGGTCTATAAATTATCAAAATCGGTTGATAACTTGTGGAGATATTCATAATTTAATACAAGAAAATGACACTTTCGGAAGAAAAATGAAAGGGGAGAAAATGCCGTTTAAAAATAAATGTTGATATTTCACAGTTTCAGGGCAGTTTATCGCACTCATTTTAACGCAATGTCCACTATTTTTTATTTACATTAAGAAGACAGTATTTATCTTTGTGCTAAGAAATATTTACAATATTTTGGTGTTTTAGTTACTGTGTCTTCGAAACTTGAAGGGGGTTTAAATGTAGAGAAATCTGATTTCTTCGTGGGCGCCGCCATCTTGAACAAGTTGTAAACAATGGAATGCGACTAGTGTTAACGTATTTCGGTAAATAACTGACTTCTTTTTATTGAAAAGGTTATAAAACTCGATCAAAATCAATTAAATAGATGTTGTTTTTGTAGAATTTTGTCTTGATTGCACCTTATAGTGAGAAATCTACTCAAAACAGGATGTAAAAGTCGAATAATTGAGACAAGGGAATGGACTTGTTTGTTTGATGCGCGTGGGAACTATTTCTTTTGTATTTATGCGCACTATAGCAAGTATTGTATTGCTCATTGCAGGCTTGATAATGATATGTGTGAGTGTGCAAAAAGGCAACTTTATAAAGACATCGACGAAATAGGCCGACATTGTTATGGCACTGGCACCGTTCTGCAAGTCTCAAAGGGTTCAGAATTATTTCAAAATAAATGTATTTAAAATCATTTTTCTGTTTCACAACTTTGTAGTTTCATAGATAAATGTTTAATAAATGTAAATATGTCAATAACGGAAAATTGACCTATATATTGTTTGCCATTGTATTTTGGCATATATCTCGGATTGAGCCAGCGCGACATCTGACGGGTTTTCCTGTGCCGCCATACATATAAGTGATAACCACTCACTAGACACATAATAAAGAAAATGCCTAATTTAAAGTCAAACACTTTAAAATGTATCCAAATACCTGTCAGGCACACAACAAGTTAGTTACTAATGTACATTGTAATGTCAAATAAGAGACAACCCCCCATCAAACACACACACACTTCAACAACCCTTTCTACTGGTTTGATACACACATACAATTTAACATACTTTTAAATCTTTTTCTTCTGGTGTGTTTTCTATTATTGGAACAACAAGCATCTCATCATATCGTAAATTACCACCTGTAAAATAGAAAAAAGACTTTAATAAGGACCAATTTTCATATCTTCCTCGAAAATATGCATTATATCTACATTGCATTTACCTTGTTTATTATACTGAATTCTTGTCCTTTTATTTCTGACTTCGGAGTCGAGGAGGCTCAGTAAAAGCACTGGCTACTAAACAAGCAACAGGTTTGCTCCAGGTATTGGCCAAGAAGGATTTTCTTGTGTGACCTAGGGCCTGGCGAGAACAGTGTCTAGTCGTTCAGATGGACAAGTAATTGAGGTCCTGTGTACACATTGACGTGCAGTTAAAACAACCCTTGACAATTGAAAGTCAGAATAAGTGTACGGCATAGTGTTGCAGTCCGGGCAAAGTTTCCCCCTAGCACTTGCATCGAGTATGCTTGACTCCAGTATCCCAGTTGGTGCAGAAATGTAGGACGTTAACCCCCATTTCATTTTTTCTGATTTTCTTTTGTTGCATAGTCTATTTTAGACTAACATATCATTATTTATAAATATACATTATTATCTAAAATTATGAATCAAGTATAATATCATACCAGATGTATCTTTACGTATTCCTTTTATCATTTCCATATGAGTTATTTTAAATTCTTTACCAGGGTATAATAAGGTTGCCATTACAGCAGCTTTGGAATGTGTGTGAATAACGGCTCCAGCATCTATAATGAATCAAATTTTAAAATTTTGTTTATTTCATCAATGTTCTCTTTTATCAGAAATTCTTGGCTTAAAACCAATTTTAATATTTTATTTTAATTATCTAATACACTAATATTTCCCAAACAGAAATTAACTTTTTTTTAAAATATACCATACATGAATTTAAGAACATAATGAGGTACAAATGTAATTACTTCTCATTGTATAAGCATTCATAAACAATGGTGTACACTGGCTCTTCTTTAACTTTTTAGCTGGAGGTGGAGTACATATATCCTCTTCTTCCATAGTTTGAACAAAAAGGTCATCTGGCTGAAAAGTAAAACCTATGTTGTGATATCAGTAACTTTTCCTTATTCTGTCACTTCCATAAATGTCTACAGGGAGTCGATAAACTTGAGGTATGGTCTATCTATTGACTTAAATAAAGAGAGAGAGAGAGAAATGGGGTTTAACGTCCACTCGACACAAACTAGGTCATTTTGGGACTAACAGATGGTTCAATTTTATTTCAATAAAATGCTTAGAAAACCCATGAGGTTGGACAGGCGACCCTACTCCTGAATTGAATTGAAAAACAAGCCAACATCACCTATTAGCTTGAGATAAATCTTTTGATGGGCCTCTTTTAAGCCGATTGAATCCATCAATGTCAAAAGATTATCTATCACATAATCAATATGATTGCATTTTAACATGGATCAAGAGATGAAAAATTGGTCAATGTCCAAAAAAATGCAAATGACGAACAATGACTTAAAGATATATATTGACCGTGCAGTCTATGTTTTGTTGGGTAATGTAACTAATGTCCCTAATTTGTGATTGAATCAGGAAACCACGGTGGCTAAGTGTTCATCAGGATTTTTCGCCGTTGTTTCCCCTTGTCAAGGGTGCAGGACGGAGGGCCTGACAAGGACAGTTGTCTAGTCGTTCAGATGGGACAAAAAAATGAGGTCCTGTGTACACATTGACGTGCATGTAAAAGTTCCCTTGGCAGTTGGAATTCGATATAAAAGTAGGCCATAGCACCACTGTCTGGGCAAAATTTTCCTCATAGCATAGTGTATGGTGTATGCTGTCTTCATTAGCCCACTTGGAGTAGATGAGTAGGTCGTTAAACCCCTATTTCATTTCATTTGTGATCGAAGCAACAAATTGTACTGAATTTTTATCAAAGTATCCTAACTATACTAATACATGTATATTTAGACTATCATTTGGTACTAAACCTGTATTCTTTCTTTCTGTACACCAGAAGGAGCTATGTAAATTCCATCACTAAAATAGGAAAATATACAGAGACTTGTCAAACATTTAATTACAAAGATATATTCTAGCTCTGATATAAACGATTAAATCAACATCTATGTATCTCATATCTTGAACTTAAAAAATCAAACATGAGGCTTTTTCATTAGTATAAAATATGTCTTGATTTATTAATCATGTTTAAAGGAGCTAAACCTCTTTGATTTAGGTCAAAAAATGTTTTGAAATGGGTTAATCCTATGTGTTATTTCAATCAGTGAAGGGATAAAATCTAAATAATTATTTTTTTCAATATATTAAGGAGGAATCAGTTTTGTTTTTAGGTTTAAGTGTTGACAGTGAAATACAAAATCAGTTATTGAAAAGAATCACTCTCCAATAAAACAGCTTAAAGGGGCAGGGTTTGATCTGTTTCGAACGTATAGTTATGTGGCTTTTTTTAAATTATATTAATTATAGCTAAATAACATGGTTTTTCAACAGATTTCTAACACAGATAATACATAGAACGATGGGAATGTAAAATGTTGTTGTTCTGTATACAGTAGATGCTACACATGATTGAAATAGAGATCCTGTTTCGTTTGTATATGCTGGACATATCCAACATGGATTTGCGAAAGTCTGACGATAAATACATGTATGCCCAATGATCAGACATCAAGATATGGTAAGGGGGGGTGGATGGCTGAATGGTTAGCGTGCGCGCGCTGTATCATAAAGTCTGTCATTGAGTCGACTGGCGTGGTTTCGAATCCCCGTGTTACGTGACAAGGAGTAGGGTCGCCTGTCCAACCTCGTGGGTTTTCTCTGGGTCCTCCGGTTTCCTCCCACTGCTAAAGACCCCTATGCTCAAGTGAATTATTGAAATAAAATTAAACCATATGTTAGTCCCAAAATGACCTAGATTGTGTCGAGTGGATGTTAATCCCCATTTCTCTCTCTCTCTCTCAAGATGTGGTCAATGAAACTAAAGATTAACAAAAAATTCCAAATATACTGACCAAACTGAGGACTTTTACTAATCTTGATTATCACTGATAAGGCAGGATTAATGAAGGGATTAACCCAATTACAAAATCACATACTTACTTATTTTTGATACTGATCCCTCCTCCTGTTCCTGTTACCCAACCAAGATCATAAAATGAACGACATAATTCTGGAATTAAATTTCTTGGATGTTCCTGAATTTATATAAATATTATAATAGCTAAGAAATTGTTTGCTAACAGAGCTAGGCTTCTTCAGGTAGTATTATAAACTAAAAAGCGGTTACAATATTTTCAAAATCTACTGACTCTATCCCTAGCCTGATTGATGAATATTGTATTGGCGCACAGTCAGAGAAAGTCAAAGATAAGGGCTTAACTTATGATAAGGCCATTTTTTGTGGTGTTTTCCATCCCTGGCATACCTACTTTACATTAATCATTATTTATATGAATGCCAGTCAAGTCGTCCACACGAAAAATCTGGTTAAGTCGTCCACACCCGTTGGTGGAGTCATCCACAATCGTTGGTGGAGTCGTCCACACTCGTTGGTGGAGTCGTCCACACGACTTAGTATAATTTCTGGATATAGTAATACGTTGGTGGAGTCGTCCACACGACTTTCGGGACACTATTTTTAATTAGTATAGTTTTTCTGCGTGGTCACCCTTTCTCCCAGCAAAACTATAATTTCTGGATATAGTAATACGTTGGTGGAGTCGTCCACACGACTTAGCATAATTTCTGGATATAGTAATACGTTGGTGGAGTCGTCCACACAACTTAGTTTACTTTCAGGACACATAATGTATTTTTAATTAGTATAATTTTTCTGCGTGGTCACCCTTTCTCCTGGCAAATAAACAACAAAGTAAATCATTTTATTCAATAAATAACATATTCATAAACAAATTTAACAAATTCAATGAATAATCATTAATATATCAAATTCAATAAATAACAAATTCATAAACAATTTCATTAATATAACAATTTCATTAATATAACAATTTCATTAATATAACAAGCCCCATGCACAAATGAATTTCTATACCGCTACCAAACGACCCAAGTCCTTTAAAGCCCCGATACACTTTTTTCCCCCTGTTGATACAATCCCATTTTAAAGAGTGTTGTCGTAATGTGTTATAGACTCCTCCTAACATATCCAACAACGTTTTTAAGACGTTTATTTTATGTTTTGTGAAATGTTTTTTTACAACGTTGTTTTAATGTTTCTATTAAGTTAGAAAAAACGTTTAGCCAAAACGTTTTAGAAACGTTAAAACGAGTCCACAATTTGATTTTTTTTAAACGTTGAAAATAAACGTTTTGAAAACCTAACTGAAACGTTTTTAATATGTTTAAAAGATGTTTTATTGTTTGCTGGGTTAATACTAATCAAAAATGTTACAATCATAACGTCAATTAAAAGCGAATATACTTTATTAAAAAAACATCGTTAATACTAATCAAACAATCAAAAATGCTAAAACCATAACGCCAATTAACAAATAATACAAAATACAAGTATACTTCATTGCAAAAACATCGGTGAACAACAAACTAACAAAACAAAGAATAACATCGGCGTTTTGAGTACAAGTAAATTGTGTACGAGTCTTATTCTTAGTTGTGGACGACATCACCAATAGTTGAGTACGAGTAAATTGTGTACGAGTCTTATTCTTAGTTGTGGACGACATCACCAATTGTTGTGGACGACATCACCAATGCCTTGTGGACGACTCCACCAATGGGTGTGGACGACTTCACTGTGGACGACTTTGCTTGTGGACGACTTCACTAGCACCCATTTATATTATACAATGTTCAAGAGCGGATTCATAATCATATGTTTCCAAAGATGCATTGTACAAACAAGAGATCTACCAAACATTTATATTATTATTTGCTGACATGCAGTACCGGTATTGATAGGTGACAGCAGTGAAGGGATTAAAACCAAGATTGTTTACTATGGTTTTAATTCCCTAACCTAAAGATTGACTTAAAAAAAAGTTAAAGAAGTGCCGCTGCAGTGGCTCTACCTTATCACCGGTATTTTCCATCACTATCAAATATTTAAACCAAAGTATTCTTGGGAATTATGGTCACAAATCCACGGTCCAAAGTTCTGGTGATATCATAAATTATATATTTATAAACGTTTTCCTTTTGGCAAGTTATCGAACTCATAAGACAAGACAAAAAGCATCCACGTGTTTATGTTCGTCTGGATTATCGAGACTTGTTGTTAACACGACCCATCAAAACAATACTGGTTATTCCTGACTTTTAAGGGTCAAGGACGAATGATGTCAAAATTACTGTGGGCTAAAATAATGAAACATGCGTTTCGCACCCATTAATAAACAGTTCTATTCTGAATGAGAACAAAAGGGGAAGTAAATAATGTTTTGTAACCTGATTCATAGAATTTATACAAAAATCTGAATTCGATTATAATGCAAAATAATATTTTTTGATTTCCGTATATTTTTAGTTATCAAAAGTTAGACAGCCATCATGGCTTCCTCCATTTTCAAGGTCGGACAAGCTTGCCGGCTTCTTTTTAAATCAAAGGCCACAAAAGCACCCAATTTATGGAAGATAGTTACGCTTTCGGAAAGGCAAATTCAAACATCTTCAAAATGGATGGGTAAGTTAGCCATCTTCTCCATATAACGACAAAATATAGGCTGTTCAGATTGCTACCAAGATCTAACACTCTTCTTCTTGTCTCTTCAGTCTTCTGACACTGATCTGTCGACTTTTTATTCATCCATTCACTTGAATTGTTATTTATTTATTGTTTAATAAATCCAGACTTACCAGCGAGTTCTGTATACCTTTATAGCAATGCCACTGTCATAATGTTGAATATCCTTATTGTTTTGGTTAGTTCCATTTAAAATTAATCTATGAATAGTATGATGATCTAGAAATGGTTCCACTACTGATGTTTTCTGTCTTGCCCCAGCCACAGTAATGGATAGGGCCTTGTTGATATATTGATACACTGATATGTATCAATATGTTCCAGCGATATTTATATCGATATGTAATATAGCTGTATCGCTGTATCGTTGAAAAAATACTCCAGTTCAATTAAGAAAGACCATGAAACCCACGTGACGAAAGAAGACGATTTCAGCATGGTTAGCCAATCGAGCGTCTTCCATGCTCCGTATGAATTTCAGGTACCGGTAGATATTAAAATAATAACTGGATCATACATTGATGGATTCACTGACCAGTTGTTAGGTAAATTTAAATTTTCATTGAATATAATCCCCCGAGTGCACCAAGAAACAATCATTTAATAATATATTTTCCTGACACGTGACATATCGGGTGGAATTAGGCCAATAAACCAGTTCTAAATAGCGCTTAACGTTATGATTTTTTTTATTTTATACACATTCTGACAAAGGCTTAATTTTAAAAAAAAAATTTTTTTTAAGGTTATATCATAATCGTACAGAATTTTTATATTAAAGCAATTTCAAGTATGGTTGTCACGTGACAATTGTGCTGTGTGTCTATCAATTGACAAATGAATAAAAACTTTTGCAAGTTACGTGACTAGTTACGTGATAGACAAAAAACTACATATGCCATGGTGCCGTATCAGCTTATTTTGGCTACGGCATTTTCTGATACTGGCAGTAGTTGAAAAATGCTAATATTTTAAAACATCGACTATTCTGGAATATTACGGACGTGAACTTCAAGATGGTACGTGAATTTAAAAAGGAACATTTTCAAAAGGTGTACCTGTCGTTATTTTTGTGGTAATCACATACATTAAAATACGACATTCTCCATAACAAATTACCAAGAATTATTTTTGTTGAAGTCTAGTTATATTAAAGGGAATGAAACTTATAATTAACCCATATCCTACAGGACCTCAATAATGGGACGAAAAACCGAGGTGCTGTGTACACATTGGCGTGCACATAAAGATCCTTTGACAGTTAGAATTCGATATAAGAGTAGGCCGTAGTGGTGCTGTCCTGGCAAAATTTCCCTCATAGCACACTGTGTGGCGTATGTCCGTCTTCATTAGTCCATTTCGGTGCAGAACAGTAGGACGTTAAACCCCATTTCATTTAATTTCATTTTCTATTTCAAATATAAGCTAAACAACATTTGTTCAATTTTTTTAAAGACAATTAATATTTATATACTGTTGGTCTATAATACACAGGGTACAATTTTATGGATACACTAATTTAATACTAATTTATCATGCCCATCTCTCTCTCTTTCTCTCTCTCTCTCCAAATTTCAGCACTCCTTCCAACCTTCAACCAGACGAAGAATGAGTCGTTTATATCAACATAATGGTCCCAACCAGGTGCGCAATCACCAAATGAGCACACAGTGGCGACACCAAACGACTTTATAATGATTGTTGCTAGGCAGAAGTGTAAAAATTCTAAATTCGTAGATGTTGATGCTAAACGTGTAAAGCATCGATTAAGAAGACGTTTTTCGTCTAAAAAATAGAAATAAGACGGAATAGAATTAAAATTTACACTGAACAAATAAAGAAGTTGGATTATACATTGTCTTAATTTAAAAATTACATGAATAGAAGTTAGAAATTACATGAATAGAAGTTAAAAATTACATGAACAGAAGTTAGACGAAAGCACGTTAGAATTTTGAATCTAATATACCGCCATAGATGCTTACCTATCTCAAACATCTTGAAACAGAATGTAGTTGGAGATTATTTTGGGCATAATTTGTGATGTCACCATATTGCGATACATATTGCGTATCGGTTTGCCGTATCGTCAATATGTATTGTATCGAAAATTAACTGTATCAACACAGCCCTAGTAGTGGACCATCCTTTGAGCAAGTTTTGTAGTCATTTCACTACAAAAAAGTTATTGGCCTATAACTCCCTTAATTTCCAATTACATAGACCCCAAACTGTACTGTACATAGCTTAACATATAAGAAACCAATTCCCATTGAAATAAAGGTGAAACCTTACCCTATAATTATACGCAAAATTTCTGTTCACTTTGAAATAGCCGCCAAACCAGAATCATGTGTGTCATGTCATTCGAAAATACAGAAAATCTGTTTTTTAAGATAAGATTATGATTTCAGTGTTCCACTCTTCACTATTTGTAACATAATTACTTATTTCCATCCAAATTGGGGGGGGGTTGGATGGCTGAATGGTTAGCGTGCGCGCGCTGTATCATAAAGTCGACTGGCGTGGTTTCGAATCCCCGGTTGTACGTGACAAGGAGTAGGGTCGCCTGTCCAACCTCGTGGGTTTTCTCCGGGTCCTCCGGTTTCCTCCCACTGCTAAAGACCCCTACGCGCAAGCGAATTATTGAAATAAAATTAAACCATATGTTAGTCCCAAAATGACCTAGTTTGTGTCGAGTGGACGTTAAACCCCATTTCTCTCTCTCTCTCTCCATGCAAATTGTGATGATATGTGTTAAAAATTTTGCAATTTAACCTAATTTTACTTTCAAATCTCCGGTTGTACGTGACAAGGAGAAGGGTTGCCTGTCCAACCTCATGGGTTTTCTTCTGGTCCTCCGGTTCCCTCCCACTGCTAAAAAACCCTACGCGCAAGCGATTATTGAAATAAAATTAAAACATGTTATTCCCAAAATGAACTAGTTTGTGTCGAGTGGACGTTAAACCCCATTTCTCTCTCTCTCCTAATTTTACTTCCTCAAAGCCTCAAATAGTGTATCAATTGCAGCCATAGATAAGAATTATCGCGGCTATAAATTGCTGAGCTAACTATGTTCGGACAATGTCAACCAGGTTTCAAATATTTATGACTAAGATCTTTTACTTATGGGTATACATGTATCATCTGAGATGAAAAAAGTTTTTACTGTGTTAGGTGACTTACTTGTTGTCAATGGAGTCATCATAAATGTTCTCCAAACATAGAGGTATTGTCGAAAGAACTGAACAAAAACATGTTCATAAACAGTAAAGCTATAACTTTTTGCAATGAATAAAATTAAAATACCACCTTACCGAAACACTGATCATGTCAAGGCATGGTTATGCTTCTTAATTCCCACCTACAAATTCTGGTAGCACCTTCCCTTTTTGGTATTTTGGAGGGTGGAATATAGCACCCACCACCAATCAAAACAATACAGGTTATTCCTGACTTTTAGGGGGATCACGTGGCTAAGTGGGTAAGACGCTGGCTCGCTAACCTGGAGGTCGGGTGTTCGATCCCTGCATTGGCCGAGAAAGTTCATCCAGATTTTCCGGCGTGGTTCCCCTTTGTCAGTGATGCAGGACGGAGGGCTTGACAAGGACAGCTGTCTAGTCGTTCGGATGGGACGAAAAACCGAGGTCCCGTGTACACATTAGCGTGCACGTAAAATATCCCTTGACAGTTGGAATTCGATATAAGAGTAGGCTGTAGTGCCGCTGTCCGGGCAAAATTTCCCTCATAGCACACTGTATGGCGTATGCCCGTCTTTTTATTAGCCCAGTTTGGAGCGGAACAGTAGGACTTTAAACCTCATTTCATTTCATTTCATTTCCTGACTTTTAAGGGTCAAGGACGCTACTTGACAAAGTGATTGTCAATCACCTATCTACTTTTATTTTTCAGGAGTAACTCAATTACTGATGCCATCACTGTCTCCTACAATGGAAGAGGGTAACATCATTGCATGGCACAAGAAAGAAGGTAATTTCGAACATATGCTGCTAATCTAGCTTACATGTGTATCTAACTGGTACAGTTTTCCTATTATAGAATTATAGTAAGAGGGGCTTATGACTGGCAAAAATGTATCTTACAAAGCTTGCCAATATGTAGTATGTGGGCAAGCCCGACAAAAATGTAGTATCTTGGGACTTTAAAGCAAATAAATGTAGGTTCAAGCTTACCAAAACCGAAGGTGCTAGGGATCTCATCGAACCAATCGTGTCCTGAATCTCAGCTTAAATGAATGCAAAATAAAGTCCCGTCCTTTCCACCAGACACAAAACCTCAAACTGTGGGTTTATTCAGAAGAAGCAGGGATTCGTATACTGGATGCTCAATGGTTTGCCCCAATCATCAATTCAGAGAAAACAAAACGATTATTTATTATTCCAAAAGTTTTATAAAACAACAAATTATAACCTCTGGACAACTGTATGATAAATGAATAAATGAAGGAGTTTATCCCTAACAACTTAAATGGGCTTCAAGTTCCAAGATAAGGGTTAAGCTTTATCTCAGTGTTTACCAGATGAATACCAAGGTACGTGTTTCAACAATAGTAACTTTGTCAATAACTACGAATCGTACACGTCTTTCTGCCTACATTAAAACTGGTTCAACTCTGTCAAGACCACATCCTAAATGCTGGATTTCGCTCCATGCAAGATAAAATTCAAATGGCAGGCACAGTCATTACATATAAATCAAAGCAGGTACCGGTTTGTACTAAGTCCGCACAATAAAACTAATGACATGAAAAACCAAGACCGAATCAGCTGAATGGAGACAAAACTCTGCGGGATCACATCACGAGAGTGATCCACACGCCAATGATCGACGGGTATAAATACAGAATAATTCGAACCAAAAGTGCAGTAATATTTGAAAATACAGAAAGCCATTTAAAATGCTAAATTTACAAGGCCGTAAAATTCATAACTAAACCTAACTAAATCATCGATAAATAAAATCCAAAATTAAATATAGTTTATTAGAATGGCGGAAAAGCTATGGTTACTATTCCTATGACTATATTGCCTTAGAATTGATGAATCGGACTGCTTATATACCCTCTTACCCACAAAATGCTTGTGCGATCATCGCTGAATGTCGACAATTCAAACTCTGATTTGATTGGTCAATCAAAACCAATCTGAGAACATGTTGCGAAAGCTCAAGGCATAAATCAAGCATGGCCAACTTATGGCAGGTAAATAATGAAATTAAAGGACAATATTGGTGCCAGTCATTATCAGATATGTGACAGAGCTGGTTAAACACATTCCAAATATAATTTTAACACAAGAGATCATTGCTACGATAGCTGAGTAATATAGGTTTCCTGAATCGGAAAACACGAGTCATTTCTCTATATAAAGTCTGATGTGACGAGTGATAACGGATATACGGGCGAATTTCTGCTCACTAATAATTCCTTCGAAGACCAAAAGTTGTTGTGTGAGATTGTGAGAGGATATCTGACAATTCATAAAAAGAATTGACTGCCACTAGATAAGTGAACACGAAAGAAAAACAGAAAAAGTCTGTGCATTACCATGTTTTTATAAGGTATAGAATGAATATAAACAAGGGAATGTACGGGCTATTTCTATTTTTCTCGTGTTCTCTTATCTAATGACATTCAATTACTTTATATTTATTGAATTGTCAGGTATCCCCTTACAGTCACATATAACAACTTTTGGTCTTCGGAGGAATTATTAGTGAGCAGAAATTCGGCCGTGTATCTGTTATCACTCGTCACATCATGTATCAATTTCAAAACAATTAGATGATAAATGTAGTCTGTAGAATTTTCACAAGAAATTGTGGGCTACAGACAGATGGACGGGCGCGACAGCAATATATGACCCTATGAAAGTATGAAATCTATTTTCTAAATGTCTTTTTACTTAAACAAACTGATAACAGGGTTGAGATATCTGTAGTTTATACTTGTAGATGATACTGGAAATGTTTTATGTGATTTACAAACTGATAATGCTGTTATGATAATTGTATATTTGTAGGTGATAAGATCTATGATCCTAGTATGTTTTTATGTGATTTACAAACTGATAATGCTGGTCAATATAATTGTATATTTGTAGGTGATAAGATTAATCCTGGTGATGTCTTGTGTGATATACAAACTGATAAAGCTGTTGTTAGTATGGATACAGAAGAAGAGGGTATTCTTGCTAAAATATTGGTGGGTATTACATGTATAATGACCATTGTGCTGCTCTTACATTGGTAAATAAAGGGAAGAACTTCCCACTAAACCAAATCCATGGCCTTAAGCTAAATGGAAAGATTGCAAAATCGTATTCTAAAAAACAGGAATCAGCTTCGGCTCTCCTATGTCTTGTCTGCGATATCACTTATGTGGAAGCAGACGTTAAACACCAAGAACGAACGAACGAACTTATATTGGATAAAGTCATACTTCATTAAAAGAAAACAAAGAGTCATAGTTTAGTATCCTGTTTAGAAGTAGGTCGAAAGGAATTATTTTAATTAAATTGCTGTTAAGTTATCTTTTCCCTTGGACAGAGAAATTATGTGAATATTTAAAGTCATATCGAAGCTGTATGGTACAAATGAGAAAAATAGTTCTAATTGCAAATAGTGAGGATTTATTATAATTACACAATGGGCACTCTTTAGGAGCATCTAAGGGATTATTTACACATATGCTAGGGCTAGGGCTGAAAAATTAGTTCTGAACATTCAGTAGAACAATTACAATTTTCCAACTATTGTTAAAAATTCTTCAGTGACACCCCCGAATAACTAATTTGACATATCACATGTTAATAACTAAGAAATAATACATATTTTTCTGGTAAATATAACCTGGACTAGTTGATGTCCTGATGTCCAGTCACAAAATATATAAGATCTTGTGATTGGTATACCGAGAGTATAAAAAGTATCGAAAGTGAAAATAAGAAAAAATGGAAAAACATTACTATTTTGGGCATTTTTCTAGCCTTGATTTTTGATTGATTATCAACGTTCAATTTTAATTTGTAATGTTACAGCTGGTCGGCAATGTCTATAGTTATCGGTAGGTTAACAAAATTCCTGAAAATGACAGACGAAGTTGGAGTAGAAGAGACATGGTTATGGTTAAATATATTTAGTATGAGGCAGGTTGATTAATAAAACAACCAGTAGGGTAATTAACCCAAAGGGTACCCAATTCAAGGCCCAGATTTAAACTATAAATGAGAGATTGCTGTTTGAGAGGATTAATACCCAATTTTAAACAACACTTGCTTGTTGCACAAAAATATCGCGATACTGACAATATATTAAGCATTTTTGAAACAATATCACGATATTGAAACAACACTTGCTTGTTGCACAAAAATATTGCGTGGTGACAATATATTAAGCATTTCTGAAACAATATCGCGATATTGAAAGTTTCAAATATCATCCAGCTCTAACATATGCATGTTTACTAAAATTCACTTAAAAATTTGTATTGATAATTGATCCATCTGATTGCATGCAATGTTTTTAACTTTTAGATACCTGATAATGCTAAAGAAATAAAAGTTGGTGTATTAATTGGATTGGTGGTAGACGAAGGTGATGATTGGCAGAACGTAGAAATACCGGCAGATGCTCCATCATCATCGTCACCAGAAAAAACAACTTCACAGTCTTCTTCAGCAGCACCACAGTCAGATAGCGTATCTTCAACAACTACTCCTCAAAAAAAGTAATACATCATTACATTGAAAAGTTATTTTCTTGCTCCATAGAAACAATCACAGATTTGTGGACTGGGCACCAGAATTAGAAACCCATGGCGACCAATTGACCTTTATATCTTGTGTCATAACTATTAAATTAATACTACACAGTGACCATACATGAGAAGTCAAATCTGAAGTTATTCTATTTATTATTTATTATTTATTATTATAGCAATTTTATGGGACCCTCTGTAAAGAAGTTATTAGAAGAATATGGTGTAAAAGCTGCAGAAGTTCCTCATACAGGTCCACATGGTGCTCTAGTTAAAAGGTAAGTTTAGTTTAGTTGGGTTTTTGTAAAATGAAAACAAAAAAACCCAAAGAAAAATAAAGTCCAAACGTCTCCTGCAGTTCAAAGGATTACTTTAAAATGTCCTAAATGAAAGGTATTAATTCACAACTTCTCTGTTTCAGTGATGTTATTACCTATATAGAATCTAAAAAAATACCCAGAGTTCAGTTTGACGCAGTAGCTCCCTCTGTTGACACTTCAAGCTCAATTTCTAGCCAGCCTGTTGTATCAGAATTACCTGCCTTGGATGATGAACCATATATTGATATACCACACACAAGTATGAGAAAAACTATAGCTAAACGTTTAACCGAATCAAAGGTGAGGGACATGTTTTTGGTAGAAAGTTATTATTTGTTTTTAAAAAAATGAACAAATGTTGTATAGACTATTTGACACAGTATTTTGAAAACTATATCACATTCGATGTTGTTTTCAGTTTTAGTACTCGGTCCACCCATGCAACCAGATGAAGAGCGAGTCGTTTTTTATATCAACATAGTGGTCCGACCAGGTGCTTAATTGCCAAATTGAGCATGCAGTGGTGACACCAAACGACTTCATAACGATGGTTGCTAGGTAGACATGTGTAGTACCCTGGGTCATCTGTCCGACATGGACAGCGGACACCTGTTAAAAACCGATCGCCACATCTGGCGTATAATCCATGCACTCTTTTCTTACTACATATCTTGGAACAGCCCTTGATTGTCTAGTAGTATTGTCTCTGGTTGTATTTGTAACGCACTTCTTAAGATTCACGTTGTGGATCTTTAAATGTCATTCTGACATCCCACATTATCAGTCCCAAAATATCGTATGGTTAACAAACAAGATGACAGGAACAAAAGTACGGTTTCTACAGTTTAGTATCAAGCTGGTTACATAATTATAAGCGTTACTTATAATAAAGTCATTCCCCCTATCTCTCGATCTAGATGTTGTCCATTGAACCTCAACGGTCTCTCCTCTCTTAGAATCTGCCTGGTGTCTACCCTAGAGCGCACATTCTATTAATTATATACTCTCAGATTCACAGCCATTAATTATTCCATTGGTTAATTATGACGTAATTAATCATGTGATTGGTCACTCATGCCAAATATGGAATGTTAACTTTCCTATCACCTGTTTTTAGACGTAGAATTTATCCTTGACCTTAGACCCCTTTTCCAATATTTCATAAACAATTTAATTTGCATTTCAAATAAACTCATACCATAGCTAATATTTTGACTATGGAGAATAATTAATCAAGACCATAATAATATTATTATACATATGTGTTCTTTTGCACAAATCACGCCCTAATAGTAGGGCTAAACATATAAAGCGTCAATGAAGAAGACATTTTTCATCTTGATAATAGAAATAAGATAAAATAGAATTAAAATTTACACCGAACAAATAAAGAGATTGGATTATACATTGTCTTAATTTAGAAATACATGAGCAGAAGTTAGAAATTTGACGATAGCATGACATTAACAAATTTAGAATTTTGAATCTAATATACCTTACAGTATTGAATTATATACAGCATGGAATTCCTAAAATGGTATATTAATTTGTCTAATTTGATTATAAAGATAATTGAATTATCTTATTTATTTCAGTCAACTGTTCCTCATTCCTATGCTTCTATCAACTGTAGAGTCAGTTCTGTTAATCATTTGAGAAAAAGATTAGTTGGTGAGTCATATGGTATTTATTTGCACAATTTTGTCAAATGTCATTTCTCGTAAACTGAAAGTGTGACAGGTTTCTGGGTTTTTTTTTATTGAATCATATGTTAGTTCCGAAATGACCTAGTTTCTGTCGAGTGGATGTTATAGCCCAAATAAACTGACATTTTATAAATGTAAATACCAATGTTTGTAAGACTATTGGTAGAATTTTTGCTCTTTAAATTAATAATAGCATTATTAGATTCGCACATTCTATAGAAGTCAGGTCACATGCACTCAAATAATGTGTGACAGATTTACACATAAAAAGAGTTATAATTTGGTAAACATTTAATTCTGGGTTAATAACAAAATAACATGTGTGACACTTTTGGTGCTAAGTTTCCACTCTCCATATAAGGTTGGTTTTCGACATCATTAGGCTATTATCCAATCATTATAATTAATTACCAATTAGGTAATTCAAGGTCCAAACCTAAAGCTATCATATCTCTGGCATTTGTGAAAACGAAGCCAAAGAAGAAAATTACAAATACTAGATGATCACAAGGCTGATATGTAGTAAGAAGAGAGTGCATGGGTCATACGTAGGATGTGGCGACCGGGGTGTCGAAGGCCTGCTTTTCACGTCTGACAAAAGACCCATGGTGCTACATATTGGAGACACAAACTAGGTCATTTCAGGACTAACACATTGTTGAATTTTTTATTTCAATAATTCGCTTGCTCGTAGGGGTCTTTAGCAGTAGGAGGAAACCGGTGAACCCAGAGAAAACCCACGAGGTTGGACAGACGACCCTACTCCTTATCACGTACAAACGAGGAATTGAAACCACGCCAGTTGACTCAATGACAGGCCTTATGATATAGCGCTACATATTGGAGATGACCTGAATTGAGATAAAATTGGTTTAGTGCAGCTTATACTAATATACATTGTCATTTAGTTGAGTTACGTTTACTAGATAATACTCACATTACATCAATTGATAATTGCCTAAAATTAGTTACATCATAATATGATATGGTTAATTAATGTTAACTGTTGTTATATTCAGATCTTCAGTGTGTTCTTTAACTTAACTAGATTCATATTTTCTTTTTAATAGAACAAGGTATTAAAGTTTCAATGAATGATTTCATAATTAAAGCCGTAGGATTAGCTTTACAAGTAAGTTACTGTACACTTTCTCATATATTTATTTATTGTATTTTTGGGGGGCGTGGGGAGGTGCAACATAAAAATTAAAAAGGTACTAGCTTTTTGAAGATCTTTGCCAGGAGGTGAAAAGAAAAGTTTAGGAATATACTGTTTTAATTAGATTATGTGCAAAATCTGAACAAATTACAAGATGCTGTATGTTTCAATTTACACACCATACACATTTTTAGTGGTTACTATGGAGTTTAATGGACCCTAATGCAGATTACAGGTACCTTACTCTAAATAACCAGTGGTTTGGGGTGGGTTTTTTTGGGTTTTTTAAATTAAAGTAGCCAAGTCTCTAACTCAATATCATCAAAAATCTTTGACATTAAAAACACAAATTATTTGTCGGTTTAAATCAACATTGATGTTGTGATCTTACCAGGAAAAGATGGCCTTCTGATATCCAATATTTGAGACAAAATAAACATTTTACATAATGCATTTCAGCGCTGTTTGTAATTAGGGACTCGAAAAATGAGGTTAGGCATATTCCACAAGTCATATCAATTGATGACGCTATATTCTTATCTGGAGAGCACGCACAATAAATACTATCGGCGTAGACTGGAATAACCAGATGCTAGAGATTTCCATTTGTTTGAGACTTCTGACATATTTCGCCGAACATAACTGATTAGAAATGACAGTAAAAACAGAAACGATTGAATGTAAATCAATTTATATAAATTCATATTACATTATTGTATGCATTGCAACCCATTTGTGTCAATTTCTAGGTGCCAAATATTAGTGATTTAGCTCCTTTAAGTAGTAAGTGTCTTTAATAAACTGAATATGCGTTTGTTGTTTCATTACGGTTTGAAATGAATAGTATGCTACTTCATTTATTTACACAATGTAAGAAATGATTACTTTATTTCCACAGGTCATAGAATGTAATATTTTTAAAATTTCTTTCATTATCAGAGGGTACCACGATTAAATTCTACATGGAAAGATGGTAGTGCCCATATATCACAGACTGTTGATATATCAGTAGCTGTGGCAACAGATAATGGCCTTATTACACCCATAGTCAAAAATGCAGCAAGCTTGGAGGTTGATGAAATATCCAGTACTGTCAAGGTAAAACATTTTATTTGTTAAAAAGATTGAAGATTGCCATGCTATGTTACTTGTCTTGTTGGTTGGCAGGGGGAATAGTTTCCTTTTATTAGAGTTCAAAGACATTTCTCCTTATTACATGTTTTATTTTCACAGGAATTAGCAGGAAGAGCAAGATTAGGAAAATTACAGCTTCATGAATTTCAAGGTGGTTCTTTTAGGTAAGATATGAAAGATTTTAAATATTTTTAATCATTGGTATAAATGTATAATCAGGAAATGTATCTAAATACAATATAATGGCTAGTCTTAAAAATCAAGGAATTTCAAAAATTCCATAAAAAGCATCGTTTTAATAAAACAAGTTAAAAAATTTGATTTTCAGGTTTTGGTACACTACTCTTTATTATATACCTTGGTTTTATTTCAATATATATATGGGGGGGGGAGTAGGTGGCCGAATTCTTAGCACATGCGCGCTGTATTATAAGGCCTGTCATTGAGTCAACTGGCGTGGTTTCGAATCCCCGGTTGTACGTGGCAAGGAGTAGGATTGCCTGTCCAACCTCGTGGGTTTTCTCCGGGTCCTCCGGTTTTCTCCCACTGCTAAAGACCCCTACGTGCAAGCGAATTATTGAAATAAAATTAAACCATATTTTAGTCCCGAAATGACCTAGTTTGTGTTGAGTGGACGTTAAACCCCATCTCTCTCTCTCTCTCTCTTCAGTATATTTACCAGGTTTTTCATATAATTAAAAGGCTTTGGGGTCTGGGTTTTTCCTTTCATATTGGAGGTTTGGAATGAGGTAAAGATTTTGCCATCAAATACAAACAATTTTCATCATTTTATTTATTACATTTCAGTATATCTAATCTTGGTATGTTTGGGATTAAAGAATTTACTGCTGTTATAAACCCGCCACAGACAGCTATTATGGCTGTAGGTACATCTAGAATTTTAATTGGATCAGATGGGAGTCCAACACCCATAATGACAGTAACTTTATCATACGATAGTCGAGTAGTGGATGAAATAGATGCTTCTGAGTTTTTAGAAATGTTTACTAGTATTATAGAAAGTCCGGAAATGATGGTACAAAAGTCTTTATCACAAGCTAGAGGATTCTTTTAGAAGTTTATTTATTTGTATTCTTCAGCCAGTTTCCAGGTAAATAACCCTACTACCCCACCCGACACAGGGCCCATATAACAGAAATCTTCATGATGGGTGGGTTTATTTTATTATGTCATTGTAAAAGGTTGTAAATGACAAAATTTCATATGCCGTCGGTAAACCACGAGTGTTGCTGCCATCATCAAAAAGATCAGTTACCATGCAAAAAAAAGCCCCAGAATCTGTATGTATCCAGACATGTAACAAAATAATGAATGGTGTTTTTTATCACCATTTACATTTTAAATTTTATTAGTAAAAGGCTCAAGAGTGAGATTTTTTTATTTATTGCCTTCTGTACATATTGGCTAGTAATATTGTAGAGATGAAATAGTCATACTCAATAAGATCTAATAATTGATACAGGATTCTAGAAATGTGATTTACAATAGAAACCGAATAGTGGAAATATATGAATGTAAGTGAAGTGTAAAAAGTGATAAAAGATCTGATTTAAATCTAATTAATATATATTACATATTTAATGAGTGCTACATAAGAATTATAATTACAGTACTAAGTATTGTGTTTTAGAAAATGTACCGTGTTTTTGTTATGTATAAAAGATACAAATAAATATCTGTCTTTTCTTGTCCTTATTTTTTTCTAGCTTTTCAAAGTTAAAACTTTTCTCTCAATGAATGCTAATAGAAATCACTGGCATACATAATTATAGCAATACCACATTAATTAGGTACCTAAAGGTACATGAATATTTATTGTTGAATCAACTTTTTATGATAGACTGAACAACTATAGTAATCTTTCCAAGTTCTGCACATTTACAGAGGTTACTTAGACATGAATATTATTCTTTTAGTGGCATTAAGTAACTGGGTAGATAAATAAACTATAACGTGTTATGAATAATTTTATATTAAAAGGTCCTCCAGTTTCTGCTAAAAAAAAACCCTACACAAGGGCAATTTATTGAAATAAAATTGAACCATATGACGTTAAACTCCAGTTCTCTCTCTCCATCCTTTTATCAAAATATTTTCACTCGACTTGTACAAGACATTCTGACCCTGTCAAGCAAGAGTAGTTTACCACACAAGTACTCAAACCAGATTTCAGCTTTCCAATCAGTTTGATGCATTTGGTTAAACTATTAGAACTACCAGGCAAAATGGTTGAAATTTGGATTAGCACAATATTTCTGTTAGCCAAAACTGGTAGCTAATTTGTAGGGTTAAATGCCAGCTTGTGATAATCACAATATAAGGAAAACCACAAAGACTGTATCATAAGATTCTCCATCCAGTCAAAGAAGGATAGATAGATCAAGAAGATTATAGTCGAAGTTCAGCAATATTGTTTTTATATATTTTGGATTGTCTCCCCTTAGACCACGAGCTTGAAATTATGTATGTGGTGTAAGAAAAATAACTTGAAACAAAGAAGTATTAAAAAATATTTAAATTTAAAAATTTATAACAAATCTATGTATTGAATATAATAATTAAATGAATATATAGTTAAATGTTTCTGCCGTCTCTCTCCTGTGATATTTCCTGTAATTGATAAGCTGGTTTATAACGTACTATACCTCTATCATCTATATATTGTAGTGATGGATTAGGATGGGTATTGTTCATACTACCTAATGAAGTGTACCTGAAAGGAAAATACATCCAACTTTTATTATGCAATCACTGAATTTATCACTATCAGGTTCAGCTCTTAAAAACTGAAATCACTCTATGATTAGAAATATAATTACAAGTGCTGTATGTTTCATATGAAACATTTCTTGCTTTACAGTAGATGAATTCATTCATTCTGTATAAAGGTTACATGAAAAGGAGAATTCCAGTATTTTAACCCCATTAAGTCATTAACCTTGGATGGCCGTATAGGTTGTTGAACTATTTGCAGCAATATAAACAAAGCTGCTTGCATGCAATAATGAAAATATCTATGGCAAAAATAACGTCATTTTGTACTGCGATAGCATAAGAGATTTCTGCCGGACACCAATCGATATTTTAAACATTATTAAGGCATCATGATAATGGTACTGTTTGTACACATTTTATGGATACTTTTGGTAAATATGAAGGCTGTAATGTGAAAAAATACAAATCAATTTTTCTGTGACCTTTAACTTTAAATTACTTTCTTTTTTAAATGATAAAAATATGGATCAAAAGTACTTACCCTCTATCGTATAAACTACAATATGGCACACACAGACAGCGTAAGAATTTCCATACATCATAATATGTCCATTCTAATAATGGATTAACTCGCATAAATTGAGGCCAATCAGGATCTGTCATACAAAAGGCTTCAAGATGACCTGAAAAAGTTGAGAAATACACATCAGTGGTGCAGGACAGGGGGCTTAACAAGGATAGCTGTTTAATCATTTGGATGGAACGAAAAACCAAGGTCCCGTGTACACATAGCATACACGTAAAAGAACCCTTGACATTTGGAATTGGATATACGGCTTAGCACCGCTGCCCGGGCAACATTTCCCTCCCAGTACACTGTATGACGTATGCCCATCTTCATTAGCCCAGTCGGAGCAGAACAGTAGGACATTAAATCCCATTTCATTTCATTTCCAAAAGCCACAGTGACTTAGCGAGGAAGATGCTGAATCACTAACCAGGAGATGCACTATTCAATCCCATAAATTTTCCAGAATGGTTTTCTCTAGTGTCTAGTTTCTCAGATGGAATTAAAAAAAAAAACGAGGTCCTGTGATGTGTTGGTGTGCACATAATAGAACCCTTGATAGTTAGAATTTAAAATAAGAGTTGTCTGTAGTGCTGCTGTCTGGACAAAATTTCTCTCAGCGCGGTGCATCTCGTACCCCCATGTTCCTTAGCCTGGTTGGTACAGAAAAAGTAAGACTTTAAACAACATTTCATATCCGTGAGTCCATAGTCCATACAAAGCAGGGGGGTTGGATGGCTGAATGGTTAGCGTGTGCGCGCTGTATCCTAAAGTCTGTCATTGAGTCGACTGGCATGGTTTTGAATCCCCGGTTGTACGTGACAAGGAGTAGGGTTGCCTGTCCAACCTCGTGGGTTTTCTCCGGGTCCTCCGGTTTCCTCCCACTGCTAAAGACCCCTATGCGCAAGCGAATTATTGAAATAAAATTAAACCATATGTTAGTCCCGAAATGACCTAGTTTGTGTCGAGTGGACGTTAAACCCCATTTCTCTCTCTCTCTCTCCATACAAAGCAAGAGGAGACAATTTTTGAAGAGTGCAGTCAGAAACAATACTGGTACATCATGCAAATAAAAGGAGACAAATTGTGAAGAGTCCCAGGAGTATAAAACACTTCAAAAGAAAAACCTACTCGAATAAGGATCTGTACATCTTGTTCCCATAAATACAGCTTTTATTTCTCCTCTTTGACTCTTTAGTTCACTCAAACAATCTTTTATTCTACCATCAAATTTTAATTCTTCTAAATTATATCTTGTAATATAAGAATTCACAGTTAATATTTCAGTCAAGAAATTACCCAAAAAAAAACACTGCTATAAAGCAGTCGGTTAAAAAATATTATTAAACTTACCTGTCTCTTGAGATCTGTATAAATTTTTCAACTTCAGGGAATGGTAATTTGCTACGGATATACAGTGATTTCAGTTTGTCCACGTTTTCCGGAAATTTCCTGTAGATAATTGTAATTACAAAATTAAAGTCTTGGAAATGAACTAATATATCGACTGTCATTTATATGCTGTAATATTTAAAGCCTTAAGAAAGACCTGAAATCAGCAGATTTACCTCTTGAATAATTCATCTTTAAGGATTCATAGGAGACATTTGCATTACACAATATCCAAGAATCACTAGACTTGTGACTGGTCATCTCTTTTGGCTCGGTCCTTGCTGGCCTACACTATCCTAGCTCTCACTTAAAGATTCTCACAAACTGACAAATGTTCAATTCTCAGTTCTTACACGATTGAATTTAAAATAAGTTTTTAGAGCAGAAATAAATCAAACAATCCAAAGAAATATTCCGTTTTGCATATTATTTCTTCCAAAATTAAATCAAGTTCTCTTAGGTAACTGAGCTTCTCAAAGAGTGTGGTTGTATTGTAGTCCAAAGGTTGTACTTTTGCAACCCGAAAGACTGAGATCTTCACTTTTTGTTAGTTAATTATTTGATGGCATAGAGCACTGAGTCAAAGAAGCAGCAAAATAAGATATAACTGAAATCCTGTCCTTAAATGTCAACATACATTTTGTATGAAGTTTAATTTATAAGATACCTTTTCACAACAGCATACACTAAATGAAGAAGAACTGTACAATCTTTTCCTCCATTAAACCCAACACAAATTTCATCTAATCTGTTAAATAAAAGATAGGTTGCCAGGCAATGAAACGTACACTCACAGCAACGGTTGTTGCATATTTATTGTTTTGTAGGTAGTGGAAGCATTTAAATGACACCAAAAACTGATCACAAGATTTTTCAAAGTGATCAATAGGATTCTTTGTCATGTCCATGGACACTGTGTATAAATATAAAGTAAATCAGATGATAACTTTAGCCTATAGAGTCAGGGGCATCTATAGGGGTCGGGGTCAGATTTTCACGAAATTCAAATTCAGCTGACATTACGGTGTAATGGTGATACATTCGAACGTTTTTTTTTTTAAATCGGATAAAAATTGTAACCGCTAGAGAGACTGTAAGCTAAAAACAGGATTTTTTGTGCAATCGAGGGCCATAATTCAGGAAGTTACGATCTGATACGCACGAAAATCAAAAGGAACCAAGATCTTTGGGTTATAAACATGTATTGGGGGCATGTGCATCAGTCGGTCGCATTTTTGCCAAGGGCCATAAATCAGAAAGTAATAATCAGAAACTGCTAAAAATCAATAGGATTCTTCTCTCATGACCACTGTGTATCAATTTAAAGTCAATCAAATGATAACTTGATTACTTTTCAAAGTGATCAAGGGCCATAACTTTGGCAGTAATTGTCGGAAAATGCAGAAAATCAGTATTCAATCAGATAAAAACTATGAGCAATTCTGGATGGAAGAAATGACGGGGGTGACAACAATATACAACCACATTTCAATGTGGTTGTATAAAATTAATGCAAGCAAGAAATTGATATATGAAATTCAATCTATCGATAAGCACATTCATTTTGGTATAAGTTCAATACTAATCTCAGGAACTTCAAGTAAGATCCCTTGAGTATATTACTAATAGTATTGGTCACAACTTACTAATAATTCCAATATGAATTTAAATCAACTCCCTATAATTTTAAGTCACAACATAATTTAGTGAGGCATTAATTTTTAGTTCTACATTATGGCTCAGATTTTCTGTCTTCATAAAGCTTACAGATGCGTAATGAAATATTCATAGTTTAAACAGCAAAAATAACTACCTATATCTGTCTAATGCTGTTTCTATTTTGTTTAATGCATTTTGTAGATTATGCGTAAATTTTGATTCTGTTTCTGTCTGTAAAAGGTTGTAAACTTTTTCAGCTGTCTTATTTAAAGGGTATTCATCATAATCTACTATACAACCTGTAATATAGAAGATGAAATTATAGAACCAAATAAAATAGAGAGAAAGGGGTTTAATGTACCTACTCAAAATAACTAGGTCATTCTGGGATTAAGATATGGTATATCAATTACACAAAACATTTAGCAGTGGGAAAAAATGGAGATGACCCAATTCCTAATACAGATGCAGGTACAACCCTTGAATTGAACAAAAAAATGACACACCTATGACATACGATTTACACAGTTTAACCTACTTTTATTGACAGTGTCCTGTGAAATCTAGAAATACATCATAAAGATGAAATATGACATGGTTCAAATAAACATGATGATATATAAACCATACAGGAAATGACAACAACAAATAATATCCTGTTTCAATAGATCTACCCATAATTATAAACAATATACTGCTTTACCTAATAACCAAGACATTTTACTCTGTTCATTAACATTCATGCATTAAATACTGTTGATATAATGACATGTAGATCTGTTCTGTACACGTGATTACACTAGGATCTAGTTAATTTAACATATTTTATCTGTCTGAATAGGAATTAAACACAGTCATGTATTTAAGAGACATTCCTATAAACATTAATAATGAATTGAATTTGATATCAATATTCATTACTGAGGCCATTTAATATAGGCTATGTCACGTTAAAATACAGCTTTAACAAATATTATCAAAGAGATGAGAGAGAGAAATGGGATTTAATGTCCACTCGACACAAACTAGGTCATTTCGGGACTAACATATGGTTTAATTTTATTTCAATAATTTGCTTGCGCGTAGGGGTCTTTAGCAGTGGGAGGATCCGGAGAAAACCCACGAGGTTGGACAGGCGACCCTACTCCTTGTCACGTACAACCAGGGATTCGAAACCACGCAAGTTGACTCAATGACAGGCCTTATGATACTGCTCGCACGTGCTAACAATTCGGCCATCCAACCCCCCTATCAAAGAGATAAGAATGATAAGCTGGGTCTACTGTATCTTTTTCATGTCTCTTTAACGATGTTGGACATGATTATACATATCACAGTCAAATACAACCCAACATATATTTATTCCCCAGTATTTACATTTTTAATCTCAATTCTTATCATACATGACTGTCTTTACATATTTTTAACTATTTTTTTTTAGTTTGTTAAGTACAATTTTATCTTAATCACGTATCATTTTAAAAAGTGGACCTGTGACATTAAATTTAATAAAGAAACATCAGTGGAAACTGACCCAAATAACCCAATATAAGAAAACAATTATACATTTGTCTAATAACATAAAAGTTGGTAGTAACAGACCCTACAGACAGTCAGGTACAAAAAGCAACAGGAAATTACCCCATGCCTTTGTATACCAAAGGTCATATTTGTTTCCATAGAAACATACAAATTATGAATCCAAGAAATACTAATTAGCAAAAGACACAACTACAATACATGTAATAGGTTGAAGTTGAGATGTGTACAAAGTTTCATAAAACAAAATACCCTGAACTCAATGGTATATGGGATATGTTCCTGAATAATAACTGCACAAGTCAAATTTGCTTTCACACCATGAAAATACAAAAATTATTAAATCCAATACATATCTTATGAGTAAATGCACAACAGCCATAATAGATTGATGTGTGTACAACGTTTCAGAAAGATATTTATGAGATGTACTCTGGAAATGATAGTTGAACGAAGCCCATTTCAATACTGCATCAATAACTTTGTTCACCATGTAATAATTAGGGAAATACTAAAATTGGGATTTTTTAATAGTAATATACTTCCTTAAGGGGAATACATTAAGATATTCAATACCCAAATAACAAAGTAGTATCAGGTGTTTTATAAACGGTTAGGACATACTGCATTATGTTACACACCAGCAATAAGAGAGAGAAATAGAAATGGTGTTAAACGTCCATTCTACATTAGGCCATGTGGTTCAATTTTATTTCAATAATTTGCTTGTGCATAGAGGTCTTTAGCTGTGGGAGGTAACTGCAGGGCGCAGGGAAAACCCACGAGGTTGGACAGGCGACCCTACTCCTTGTCACATAGATGTGGGGAATCAAAACCACGCCACTGACTCAATGACAGACATTATGATCGCTAGCCTGGAGGTCGCATGTTCAATCCCTGCATTGGCCGAGAAAGTTCATCAGGATTTTCCGACATAGTTTCCCCTTGTCAATGGTGCAGGGCGGAGGGCCTTACAAGGACAGCTGTCTAGTCATCTGGATGAGATAAAAAAACTGAGGTCTCGTTGAATTGGATATAAGAGTAGGCCATAGTGCCGCTGCTCAGGCAAAATTTCCCTCATAGCACACTGTATGGCGTATGCCATTCTCCATTAGCCCAGTCGGAGCAGAACAGTAGGACATTAAACCCCATTTCATTTTCTAATGTGCCCTCATTAAACCAGTCAGTCACCCAACCCCTCTTACCAGCAATAACACAAATATAATCTATGGAATACAATTACTGCTTATTACTGAGCGACGTTTCGACTAGGCTTCTCTAGTCATTATCAAGCTATGATACGTCGCTCAGTAAAAAGCAGTAATTGTATTCCATAGAATTGTGACCTGTATACTCTAGTTCAATTACTAAATGCCATTGAAACAGTTTACAAATATAATCATCTGCAAAATACCAGAAAATAAATACTAATGAAAAAGACAGCTGTTACCAGGATTATTTTACTTACAGTGATAAAACTATTCACAACAAAATAGTGTTGGGGGGGGTATTTTTCATTCAGTTTCATTGAAATTGTTAATAAATAATGGGAGTGATTGGAGACAACAAACAATTCCTAACCAGAATTCTTTATCTTTAGTGTATATAAAGTTTATTATGTAATGTAAATGCATTAAATAGAATTTAATATGGCACTGATATATGAATAATACGTCTGTATATTATAGATGATAAATCTGTGTAGCAATAAATATTATCACAGGTCTTCTATCAATATACTATTATAATTGATGTCTCTTTAACCCGTCAAAATGACAGGCCAGATACTTATGTATTTAGGCCACACTAAAATAAGTTTTTGCTGAAATTCCAGCTTCATATATTCTAAAAAGAATCAACCAAATTGACAAACTGATTAGAAAAGATTTCAAATGGTACTCCCTCTTTGATTGATCACATTTGATTTTATATTTTAGCAAATGGCTATCAGCGGCGTTAATATTTATTAAATAATGTACAAAGGCAAACAGATATCTTTTCTTATTTATTTGAATTTTTTATGTTATAATTTTTCAGAACTTGATTGGCTTTTATGCCCAAGTTGGGGGAGGGGAGGGGGCATAAAAAATCTTGAGCTGCTGAGGTGGGACATGGCCCTCAAAAAGGTTGGGAACCCAATTCCACACTTTATTATGACTCAGTACATACAATAAATAAAAGAATATATCAATAATAATACACATTATTAAAGGTTGTAGATCAGTTCCCTTCAAACTGTCTAAAATACAGAAATCCTTAAAACCTATATCTGAACCTTATCCAGAAGTTCAGCTATCATTTCAAAATCTTTACAGCTCAAACCAAAAATCTACTCCAAAACTACCCCAAAAGTCTTAACAAAATGGGTATTTTTAAATGGTTCCCCATTGGCAGTTTTGAAAGGTAAGTCTAGTAATAAAACAAGTGCTAGTATTTGTGTGGCCTTACAAAGATTAAGTATTGCTGTAGGCAAGGATAAAATGTTTCTATGTTTAGATCACATCTTATCTATATTTTACTCCTGTTTGTCCTACAGTATTCAATGAAAGTAAATATATCATGACAATACAATCGTAATATGACCCAGGACAATATCACCTTCTATATGGTCCAGATATAAATTTATACCATGTTTGAAATAGATCTGTTATTTATTTAGTATATATTATGCTAGTGTATGTATAAAATATATCTGAATCAGGTTTAATGGAGAGAGAAACAGACTGCATACTCTCATTTTGAATTTCAACTGTTATTATACGTGCGCACCAATGTGTACACAGGACTTTGGTTTTCCGTACCATCCAAATGACTAGACGCTGTTCCCTCTCAGGTCCTCTGTCCGACACCACTGACAAGGGGACACCATGCGGAAAAATCCTGAGGAACTTCCTTGGCCAACACAGGGAGCAAACCTGATGAGACCTCCTGGTTAGCAATCCGGTGTCTTACTCACTGAGCCACTGCGGCTTGCTGCTCCCATTGTGGGGGAGGAGAGGGTGGAGTGATCTAACAGATGCAATTTAGATCCTAGATTTAGATCTTAGACTTAAATCGGAAAAAGTTAGATCAACAGATGGGCTTTACAATTATAAATCTTGGGGGCATAGAAAAGTATTAACAAATCATTTGTATCTTATTCAATTGTTTATTCCATGTTTTCTGCTCTATTGTTGTCAAGTGTACATAATATTTGGGAACATGCCTGACACTTACAGGTGTCTCAAGTTCACTTGTTATACAATAGCTTATAATCAGTTACATTTATCAAACATTCATAGTGCTCATTTATTTCAATTGTTATTTAAGATTATTTGGAGATTGGATATAACGAACCCAAAACAATTACAATTTAATACAATATCAAAATAGATGCAGGTACATAATAACAATAGTTAAAAACAGCTGCCTTTTCATTTTCAAAATAAAGAGAAGTAATTTTACTGGAGTTCTTTTCACTATTTTTATTTTTGCTAAAGAAAGCTAATATAAATCCTGCCAAACTGGTCCCCAGGGGATCATATTACTGGTACATGACAATAGGCTTCTGTAATTGTAATTAGGAAGGAATATCTAAACATTGTGTTTTTCTTAATAATAAAGGAAATACCTTGTCTAATTCATATTCTAATATACAGGAGCAAGCTTTGGCTCTCCTAGATCTGGTCTAGGATATCAATATTGTGGAAGAAGACATTAAACAATTAAGGTACTACTAGGAAGCACAAATCACACTAACGATGCATCTATCTAATATACTCAACTAATGAATCAGATTCCATATACTCAAATATATTATTTAATATATACTTACTTTGTGGTAATACAGAACTTAATTCTTGACAGGCTTCTTCTAATTTATCTAACATTTGTGATTCTAGAATAAGTTTCACTTTATAATAACTGTAAAAATAGAAAAAAATAATATATCATTTGTCCGTGACTCTAACAGGGCTCTCACATTAAAATTTTGTCGGTCGGTCAATTTCTCAAATACTTTGTTTATTTCAGATTGTCCAAACAATTTTTAGCACGTTAAAACTACAGATTTAGCTATAATTAGGGTTAAATTCCTTGAATTACTTAACATTATTACTCAAGCTGTTGTCGGTTCTTGTCAGTGATTAGTAGGACCGAGTTTATTCATTAATTGGCATGTACAATTTCTGGGCCCGGTTCCTAGAAAATTCTTAAAGTAAGCACCAAGTCATGCTTCACTTTTTCTTACGTAAGAAACGTTATAAAATACTGTCTCTAGAAAATTCTCAAGACCATTCTTACGTAAGCACAAGTACAAGTCTAAGCACATTGTGACTGGTAAACTGAGACTACGATGCTCTCTAACGTCATAAAAACAATTTTGGTATGGGAATTACGTCATAAATTGGTTGGCTGCTTCCCGGCAAATGGTCGATTTAGATGCATTTGACATGATCCCTATAAATATATAAAATGTGCCACAAGCTAAAAAAAAATGCAAGCACATGCAAACAGACTGAATAATTGTGAGAGCTGCTGATCTTAAAGTAGCCTGTGTGTTTGTGTTTTTTATTAATTGTTAAATAAATAAAATAGTTTCACGGTAATCTATAATATTCTTCTAGAGATGGAATGCCCTGCTATAAAAATTCGATCAAACCAGGTCATGCTTACGTCACGTGACTTACCTCTCTTGGAAGTCAGAGGAGAATTCATTGCATACATAAGACGATGTTGTCTTTAATCGCTTACTATTTATTACAAATATCGAATCCTAATTAAATTCTCGGATTATCCACTACCCACGTCTTTTTCCGTCATTTTTATCTCAGAAAGTGTTGTACGTCTAACTCTTCATAAAGTTTATCAACTTGTACATCAAGCGCTTGATGTTCATGTGTGACCTTTGACATCACGCATGCAGAAATTCCTAATCGTCAGGCTGTTGATTAGGGGAACCCTTACACTTTTGTCCTGCATACGCTCCATGAGTGTTTTTTCGGGGAATCCAGTATTTTTCTAATAAGATTGGATATCTCTACTTTCCATATATACCAAAATTGCCATACTTTTATTGGAAATAACCACCCGATAAATAATTTTCTGGGAACCCATCTTTAAATGCAAAGTCTACTTAAAATCTAAGCACAAGAACGTGCTTAAGAATTTTCTAGGAATCAGGCCCAGGTAAGAATCTAAGTGATTACCTATTATGTAAATCTGGATATGAACCTAAAGCTACTGTTTCTTTATATTTATCATCAACCTGGTGTAATATACTGGTTATAGATATCTCATCTTGATTCACATATATTCTTCTTGTATGAAACTCTACACTTGGATCTCGAAATAAATCCTACACAAAAAGATGTTTATACTGTCTTTGAACACAATCTGATTAAAACACAGATTCTATTCCGATCCGTTTTTTATAGTTCAAAGTTTTGTTTTACTTTTCTTTGCTGCACTAGGAACCTTAAGAGTTGTTATATAACCCGCATTCTGGATGATGTGAGGGATTAGCCAATGAAACAGTCTGTTATGGCGAGCTTTTGGCGTGAGTTGCATGGAACTGTGGGTAACCCACATCAACGCTGATTGGTTAATCACATATCTGATGTCAAAGGGTCAAAAGCCACTCGTTTGAGCTCTGACCCAACCTTCCACTACAACCGGTCAGATCTTCACGTAGTGTAGGTCATCGAAAGTATAAAAAAATGAAACGAAATATAGATCTGTATTTTAATCAGAGTGTCTTGGAACATGAAAATCAAAACATATCAATGTAGACTATGAATTCTTATAAATATTTTACACTATAGGATACTTTGCATAATTCAGATTGTGATATTCTCATAAATTTGGGGGGTGGGTTGGGGGAGGACATTATATTTCTTACCTCTAATAAAACAAAAGCATTTTCTAATAAAGACGGTATACCCGGAAACATATAGACATTATGCATAGATACCATCGGATACTTTGTCTTTTCACCAGTTATTTTATTTATACCATATTGCAGAACAGCAGATTTAGGAACCTACAAACAGAATAAAATCAATGTATGACAGACTCATTCTCTTGGACAAAACTCATGCATTTAAAATAAGGTGATAATTCTTTCTATTGAGTGTAATAATCTTATCTATTTGTTACTGTAATAACTGTGCATTATATGTTTGTCGACTTTTTTCTTGTTATATATCACACAAGATGTAATAAAGAAAATTAACGTTTATCCATAGAAAACCCACATAGTTAAAAAGGCGATGTACTCATTGTTCAAAGCATGGGACGGGAGCCTTGAATCTGTTAGATAACAGACCTTATTATCTGCAGGCAACATTAGATGACATGAAATCAAATGGGGTTTAATGTCCTACTGTTCTGCACCAACTAATGAAGAAAGGCATACACCATACTGGGTTCTTTTACGTGCATGGCAATGTGTACACAGAACTTTTTTGACCCATAAACCCTGCAACACTGACACCACATATTGAACATGGGACCTGATCCACCGCGGCTCCCATTAATGTGCTGGTTCAGGAATTCCTTACTATATCCTTAAATTATTGAAAACTATATAGTAAATCTGTTTTAATTCCTAGGACCTGTCTTTGGTCACAAAATATAAAAACAGCTAACACATATACTTACATAGGCCATTTTCATCTTTGGTGATTTGAGATCATCTGTTCCAAAATACTGTTTGATTAATTTAACTAGATCTGGATGAGGATAAGTAGGTTCTTTAAACGCCATAGCCACGCCTTTATTAATTAAAATAAATACACAACTTTATTCTAAGTAGCATATATTGATAAACCAAATTATTTTGAGATTTTCCTACTACAAATACACTAAAAATGGTACAATTGCAAACTCCAGGCAACCTTATGGTTTGGAAAAATAATCATAGAAATAACCCATCTACAATGTAAAGTAAAAATGAGTGCCAATAACTTTTCAGATGGATGAGTAAGTTATCAATTACCAAGGTATATGAAATATCCAAGTTCAAACTGAGTAGAAATTTCAAGGCTTTCATTTACAGAACTTGAACTACCGTCAGACTTGTTTTTTGAGCACCAACAACGACAAAGTAGATGCACCACATTCTTATAGACCTGAAAATAGCTCTATAATTAGATGATTCAATGATCCCAACTCAATAGAACAGAAATTATTGTATCATCTATTCTTGTCTAATCTCTCCGTCAGTATCAGCTTTTGATCCAGCAGCTACACAGATCTACCAGCCTGTCCAGCCTCTGCTACTCTCTTATTCAATAGAAGAGCTTAATAACTTTTGAATTCATGATTCTGATCATTGTAACCTTTATATTTATTTCAAGATTTAAATAAGTAATGTTAATGATAAGTCCATACTATATTATATTGGCAGAAAGCATTTTATTCTGTAATTTGAACAGAAATTTTATTTCATACAAAGACCTAATTTTTTACTTTAAATCTTAAAACTTGGATAATCTTAGTCCAGAGTATTTGATCTCTTCCTACCCTGTGTCTTATTCCTTTCATCACTTCACAAATTAGAGAAAATAAACATACTGGGCAGTGTGGAACAATCGTGAGTAAACTGGGCCTAAAATTTCTGACCCATCTCCATCTAACATCTTTGCTTAAAGCTTTAAGCAACTGTTTCAGTTGCATGTAGTACTATTTGAACTGGAAATAGACCATTCTATGGAATACAGTGCTCAGTAACAAACAGTAATTGTGTCATGTCAAGGTAATGTTAGTTTAGCCATGTTTCACGTACCCTCAAATGATTTATCATCATGTGTTGGACCAATTCCACCCGATGTTATTACATGGGTATATCTCTTGGAGAATTCTGACACTTCGGTTGCAATTTCTTCCAATTCATCTCCTATTACTGAAATCTAGAATTGACCCAAAACATAGCCACTTTTTCTGAATTCAGAATATAAATTTTAAATTTGATTCTTCACTCTTTTATGATTTTTTGAAATTTTAATGTCAAACAGTATCCATGGATTTACTTTACATGACGTAAGTAATTGAAAAAAGACTAGATACTCTTATGTTTATTAATGAAAAATTATTTGAACTGTACACTTCCTTAATTTCAAATGTCTTCACAATAACCAGCTTTGACACTATAAATATTAATGTTCAATGATTTCCTCTGATGAAATTTCTTTAAAAGTTTATGTTTTTGAAGGTCTATAATAAAAAAAATCAAAGATATGGAAAATAATTTTCACCTTTTTAACTTTTACCCCAAGGGCGAACAAATGTTGACACAAAAACCTAGAATTTGTATCTAGAGTTTGTCCTTTCAATATTTCATCTCCAATAACTGAAATTATATAAATTAAACCTTTCTATAGTTAAACAATCTGTCAGGGTGCTATGTGCATTATAGTGTAAATCACAATCTACAACTCTATGTGTATTCCAATTTACAAGGTAAATCACCATCTACAAATCTATGTGTATTACAATTTACAGGGTAAAATCACAATTTACAAGTCTATGCGTATTAAAATTCACAAGGTGAATCACAATCTACAACTCTATGTGTTTTACAATTTACAGGGTAAAATCACAATCTGCAAGTTTATGTGTATTACAATTCACAGGGTGAATCACAATCTACAACTCTATGTGTTTTACAATTTACAGGGTAAAATCACAATCTACAGATCTATGTGTATTACAATTCAAAAGGTGAATCACAATCTACAACTCTATGTGTTTTACAATTTACAGGGTAAAATTACAATCTACAAGTCTATGTGTATTACAATCCACAAAGTAAATCACAATCTACAACTCTATGTGTACAACAATTTACAAGATAAATCACTATCTAAATGTCTATGTGTATTACAATTTACAAATTAAATCACAATCTACAGATCTATGTGTATTTCAATTTACAGGCTAAATCACAATCTACAGGTCTATGTGTATTACAATCCACAAGGTAAATCACAATCCACAAGTCTATGTGTATTTCAATTTACAAGGTAACAAGATAGATCACAATTTAAAGATACATTCCTGTGTCAAACTGGGTGATTTAATGATTTATTTGGACTAAAAACATATTCAAACTAATTAATTTATCATAATTTTGCTTCAAATCCTTTTCAAAACATTATAATTGCCAAGGAATACCCTGCTATAAAAATCGATCAAAAGAAGTCAGGTTTGTTTCACGTGACTTACCTCTCTCGGTACCTATAGCAAAGGAGGCAAAGTCGGAGGAGAATTCATTGTATACACAAGACGAGGTTGTCTTTAATTGCTGACTATTTATTACAAATATCGAATCCTAATTAAATTCTTGGATTATCCACTGCCTGCGTCTTTTTCCATGATTTTTATCTCAGAAAGTGTTGTACGTCTAACTCTTCATAAAGTTTATCAACATGTACACCAAGTGCTCAATCTTCGCGTGCAACCTTCGACGTCACGCGTGCAGGTATTCCTAATCGTTGGGCTGTCGATTAGGGGAACCCTTACATTTTTGTCCTGCATACGCTCCATGAGTGTTTTTCAGGAAATCCAGTATTTTTCTAGTAAGACTGGATATCTCTATTTTCCATATATACCAAAATTGCCATACTTTTATTGGAAATAACCAACCGATAAATACTTTTCTGGGAACCTATCGTTAAAAGTCTATGTGTATTTCAATATACAAAATAAATGTCTATGTGTATTACAATTTACAAGATAAACCACAGTCTACAAGTCTATTTGTATTGCATTTTACAAGGTAAATCACACTCTACAAGTCTGTGCACTACAATTTACAAGGTAAAATTAATTAACTATTCTATGTATTACAAGATAAATTACAATCTATGTGTGCTAAAATTTAAATCATGATTTAGGAGTTTATGTGTATTACAATGTAAATCAGAATTGATAATTCTGTGTACCTGTATTTCTTGTGGGTCCTACTAATGACCGACAAGAGTGTCCTTTTGACTATATTATTGTTAGCTTCTATCTGTTCAAAAAAGTAATTGAATGTCACTAGATAAGAGAACACGAGAAAAATAGCAATAGTCCATACATTCACTTGTTTTTATTCATTCTATACTTAATAAAAACATGGTAATGCACAGACTTTCTCTGTATTTTTTCGTTTTCTCTATTCTACTGACAGTCAATTTCTGTTTTGAATTTCCGTCAGATGTGCTCTCACAGTCTCATATAACAACTTTAAATTGGTCTTCAAAGGAATTATTAGTGAGCAGAAATTTGCCTGTGTATCTGTTATCACTCGTCACTTCAGTCAGTTATATAGAAGGAATACTTGTGTTTTCCTTTAGCGTTCATCACTTCCATTTGTTGAAACCTTGATTACGCATCTATTGTAGCAATGATATCTGTGTTAAAGGACAATATTGGTGCCAGGCATTATCACATATGCAATAGAGCTGGTTAAACACATTCCAAATTTAATTTTAACACAGAGATCATTGCTACGATAGCTGAGTAATACAGGTTTCCTGAGTCGGAAGTGACGAACGCCAAAGGAAAACACGAGTCATCTCTCTATATAACTGACTGATGTGACGGGTGATAACGGATATACGGCTGAATTTCTGCTCACTAATAATTCCTTCGAAGACCAAAAGTTGATATATATGCGACTGTAAGAGGATACCAGCCAATTCAATAAAGTAATTGAATGTCATTAGATAAGAGAACACGAGAAAAATAGAAATAGTCCGTACATTCCCTTGTTTATATTCATTCTATATCTTATAAAAACATGGTAATGCACAGACTTTTTCTGTTTTTCTTTCGTGTTCACTTATCTAGTGGCAGTCAATTCTTTTTATGAATTGTCAGATATCCTCTCACAATTTCATACAACAACTTTTGGTCTTCGAATGACTTATTAGTGAGCAGAAATTCGCCCGTATATCCGTTATCACTCATCACATCAGTCAGTTATATAGTGAGATGACTTGTGTTTTCCTTTGGCGTTCGTCACTTCACATTCCGGAAAACTGTATTACTCAGCTATCGTAGCAATGATCTCTGTGTTAAAATTATATTTGGAATGTGTTTAACCAGCTCTATCACATATGTGATAATGACTGGCACCAATATTGTCCTTTAAAATTATATTTGGTTCTATCACATATGTGATAATGACTGACACCAATATTGTCCTTTAAGACGTACAGCTCGGTCTATAATACATATCTCCAAATCTGTGTATTACAGTATAAATTACAATCTGCAAATGTGTATTACAATAAATCACATATATGTACTTCCCGTTTATGTGTACAGAATAATAGTCTAATAAGAATATGCTATTACAGAAACCATTTAATCTCTCAGTTTTCTTGTGTATTACAGAAGGAATCAAAATGTATTTGAAATGTATTTAAGTCTAAGTGCATAGAGACTTAAAATGAATGAATAACAGAAATAAAGATGTAACAACGCCACCATACCGGACAACATACCCAAATGGAAGGAAGAATGGACCAGGACTCATACTCACCAACAAAGCCCCAAGGTAGAGTTGCACCGCCCTGCCATTCTACCGGACAGAACGACCAGACCAACCCAAACGACCCAAAATATATATATATGTACATATTATGTCTTTGTCTGTGAAAATGTCCGTCTTTGTCCATGTCTGTTGCGTCAAATCGCATGCTTGTAAATGTCTACTAACACCTGTTTCGTCCTTTGCACATGTTATCCTACTGTTGTTTTTTGTCCAGTGTACATATATATGAAAACCTAACCATCCTAATATTTCTCACTAACCACATTGTAAATTAATGCACCTTGAACACATAACATGTAATTGTCTGCGATATCACCTCGGTGGAAGCGGACGTAAAACACAACTAACAAGTAGTAGAGACTTAAAAACACAATCTACAACAGTCTTGACCCGAATCAAATAAAAAATAACATTAATACCCTACATACATAATATGATAATAACTTATATGGAAAAAGTCTGAAATGTCTGCAGATTATTCTATGAGTTTTATAATATACACCAATCCCCAATGCTACAGTTCAGTAATTTAAAGAATATAATATTTGTAGTCAATATTACCTATAATACCAGCCGTATAAGGTCCACGATGATTTGAGTTGGACATGATTGTTTTAGATGGTGATGCAGTTGATACAGTTGATGATAGATGTTTGAGAATGGTCGACAATCTTTTACATGGGATGACACGCTGCATTGGACACTTGGATATTCAGTGTCTGGTATTTGCCATATTTTTATCTTAAAATATTAGTACGATTATGTTCTTTATCATTAAAGACGACAGGATAAAACAGTTGACATCATGTTGTAGTATGTAAACAGGAAGTAGGGGATTCCCATGACCTTTGACCGTTCACGTTTACTTCTATTTTTAGTAGGTGGGCAAAAAAAAAAGATGCATTAAACTATGTGAAGTGATTTTTTGCTACAATTTGCAAGGGTAAGGGGTTGGCTTTTCCCTTTTTACCCTATTCTTGTGTCTGCACATGGTGGTTTCTTTTAATAAAGTGGAATTTAAAGGAGCTAAATCGCATAGGGACCTATAGTATATGTAGCAGATATTGACACAAATGGGTGTCAAGGCATATAATAATAAATAAATAATAATGCAATATGAGAATGTATATAAACTGATTTACATTCAATCGTTTCTGTTTTTACTGTAATTTCTAATCAGTTATGTTCGGCGAAATACGCAAAATGGCAATCTCTAGCGTCTGGTTATTCCAGTCTACACTGATAGTATTTTTAGCGCATGCTTTCCAGATAAGAATACGGCGTCATCGTTTGAATATGTCTAGCCTCGTTCTTCGAGTCCCCTGTTACAAATGGCGCTGAAACGCATATATGATACACGATTCGTGTACCAATGGTAAAATATTTATTTTGTCTTAAATATTGGATAGCAGGCCCATCGTTTCCTGGTAAGATCACAACATCAATGTTGATTTAAATTGACAAATAATTCGTGTTTTCAATATCGAAGACTTCGAATGATACTTCGAGTTAGAGACTTGGCTACTTCAAAAGTGATTACACCCAGATTATTTTACCACACAATTATGATTTTTTTTTTTAAAATATATATTTATTAGAATATATTTTTAAAATTATACATGCAGTTGTTTTTTGTTTTTTGTTTTTTTTTTTAAATTATATATTTATTTCTAAAAATAAATATTGTTAAGATATACATTTAATTTTTAAAATATACATTTAATTTTTAAAATATACATTTATTTTTTTAAATAAATTTTTTTTTTTTAATATACATTTTTTTTCTAATATTCATATATTATTTTTAAAATTATATATTTATTTGTATTAAAATTATAATTATTTTCACACATTTATTTATTCAAATCACTATACTAATATATTATGTAACAATAGGTTTCTTCTTATAAATACTAGATCTACTCGTATGTATTGATTTAATTTGACATTCATGAAATTTTTGCAAGTGAATATTTGCGTATATTATTTGACCTGTTTTACCTATCCTGTCCGCCACATTCTTATACATTGTTAATAAAGTTTTTTGATGAACTGTCATTGTTGACTTTCAGCAGCCAATCAGATGTTTAGTTTACGAAACGGGCACCTGTAAGACACACCCATCCGCCATATTGGAATCAGAGGAAGATAGGCTGCGAACTTTAGATACAAGGTGAGATGTTTCCATGAATTATTTCATACAACTAATATGTGATATACTTATATATTTATGAAATTAACTTTTTAACGCACAGACAATATTAATTAATCGTCAAACATGTGAGTGTTTTTTAAGTTCAGCGTAAAATGGCCTATCTTTGACATATGGGGTGTGACACGGTTGACTAATTTTAGCTGGAAGAGGGCATCGTTAATTTGATTTTATACATGTATACGATATTTAAAATGTTTGCAGTTTTGCCTGTGACAGAAATTTGGGATACTAGTAATCTGATATTGTCAGAGTTGTCTGTATTTGTTTCACTTTGTGTATGTCATGTGAGGAGGATGAAAATTGACAGAACCTGCAACTTTTGACAGTTACTCTGCGGAGTTAAATGCCTACTCTGTACTCATGTTCTGCTTGAACCATTTGCTTTATAAATCATAAATAATGGTTTACCGGTACTCCAAAACTAAGCAATAAACAATTCTGTGACCATCGTAGTATTCAAAGTTTTCTTCATAAATTCCTTGGAAGTGGATGTAAGCAAACCATGATCAATGAGGTCACCGCAGGCGAAGCCTGGCCTATTCAATTTTTGGTAATAAGCGTGAAAAATTGTTTCCGCATTTGGAATTCAACTTTATTACTGATGCTCTTCGAAATAAAACATGGCCAGACATAACCTCAGAGACCTAAATTAGCCTATCAGTATCAGATTAAAACTTCTTCATTGATTGTGGATCATCTAAACGATAATTTTACGCAGTGGATATTTTAGCTATGAGAATGTGGCTAAAACGTTGATACTGAGGGTTGAGAGATGAGGTTTCAAGATCTATGGATATTTGACCGAATGTCACGGTTTCATTTCATTTTCGCTATTTACCCGTAAATTTCGTTTGACATGCACAGTTCTTGATTTTCAGACTTTCTGATATTTTGGATTTCTACTGTTTCTGCCGACAATGGCCATTCAGCAATCTTAATAATAACCCTAATATTTTATCAATGCATTTTCTGTGAGTTTCTTCTGCCTTTTCTGTACAGCAACGATCGTTCATGTGTCACGCTGGAATGTAGCATCTTCTAAAACAAGAGATTTGCTATCAGTGAAGGCAATAAAGCATTAAAACAACAACTTACTGTCAGGAATGCCCAAGTTTATGCATCAAATACACCTAAAAATTCATAAAGCTTTTCATTTTCATTCATGAGAAAAAAGAAAAAAATATATGATGTGTCGATGAAGTAGTTGATTAAATTTTGATATCAGATAAATTCAATGACGCTAAACTTGTCGGTCCAAAATATGTGTATACAGTATATTTGTAGTGAGCAGTGTTGCATTTAGTCCCAACTTTTGAAATTGTCCCAACCAGATTTAAGCAACAAGATTGTTAGTGATTAGATTTCTTGAAAGGCCCAACTGTACAAAAGAGAGCACTGTGACCTTGTAATTTGGGTTGGAAATCCGAAAGTTTTTATTTAAACTTGTAATGTACCCGGTATTTATAATCTCTTCTTTATTAATGTACATGTATAGTCACCCAAACATTCCTGTAACAGCAGGTAGTTGTTTTAAGTGCACATGGCTTTTGTTATCGTTCACATTGTGGATGTGCCTTTCGTTGCTTTGATATCATTACGGAACCAGTGTTGAGAAGGAAATTTTTAATTATGGAAATATATTATTGTGCAATATATTTTAAAAGCAACTGGAGCTAACACTCAGTTTAGTGGCTGTGCCTTTGGAATTGTTTATTGCTCAGTTTTAGAATAAATCTAAATCTCTAGTTAATTAATCAGCTGGCTCAGACAGTAGTAAAATCTTGTTAATGGCATTAATATTCAGATGATTTAGTCATGTGACTAGGATTTCTGTAAAATCGACACCAGTTGCAAACAAAGTTGTGAATATAACATAAATGAAAACGACTTGTTTATGATCTGTGTAAATGGACACAGGTAAAATTGAGTTGACCTTTTAATTTGATACCTTAGGTCATTCATTCTTTGTCATTGAAGACACCTGATTTGATGGTTGATTGATAAGACAAGTTTTATCTGATCAGTTTTATGTTTATTAGTCTGTAAAATATTTAAATTATTGAAATTACTAGACCATTACTGACTTGTTATAAACTGGTTGGTTTTTAAATCAGTCAAATATTATTTACATTGAATAAGTTAAATAGTTGTAAGGTAAGTTTGTCACAGAATTATGTTGTCTTTTAGTTTCATTTATTCTTTTCTGGACAAAAATACATATTTATACATTAGAAGTAAATGGATTATTCAGTTTTTTTTTAAAAAGGTTAAATATTCATATTACAATTGATCTAGAAACAAAGTTGCTACTTGTTACTACTCTTCTCTTGGCTCTATTCTTCTCTTGGTTCTATTCCTCCCCTATAACTTCCAACCTGTGCTTGATTTAAGGTGATTCACAACAGCACAAATTGAAAGAAAACTACTAGATTTAAGTATTAATTGCATTATGTAAAACTAAGAGAGGCCAATTGTGGTTAAAGCATTCACATTAGAACCGTTTCAGATGCTTTCTTGTACATGTATCAGTATATACACTCGACAACAGTGTGCTATGTAAATGTTTGTTATTGACATGCCCTAGAACCCCCTCTCCCCTCACTATACTTGTTCATTTTGTATCACTGACCCTCATTTGTATCGTAATGTGCTAAAACTTGTGTAGACGCAATGGTGGTGGTGTTGTTGTTAATGTAACCATGTTAGTATATAGTAAAATAATATAAGGTATTTGAATGATTTATGAATAAGTATATTGTTATCTTTTGAATAGAAATATGATATACTATTGTTTTCCATTAAAGTGAAGAGTTTACTTATAAATCCTCAACTATTTTTATCAGTTCTTATATTTACAAAGAACTGACCCAATTTGATTTTGAAATATTATAGTTTTTGTACATGAAACTTCAATTCCCTGTTCAAATTTACATAAGAGATTTATAGTCAAATTTTATTTTCCTGTGGCATATATCTGTTATTTAAGAGTTTTAATGTTTTCATCATTATAGTAAATCAGTGATTCTCTTCCTAAGTGTGCCACGAAATTTTGAATGGCACACTAAGAAAATTTCTCACTAAAGAAACCAGCTATTTGACTGCAAAAAAATAAGTTCATATCTGTGTTTTGCTTTATTTAGTTTGCATTATTCTGTGTGTCTATGACTAGTCTGTGTCTACGGTTGTGCCGTCTATGATTTGCCTTGTTTTTATTTTGTAAAAATTTAATATTTTTCATATATGTTTAGCCAGGTGTGCCACTATTTTGTCATGTGTTCCAAGGTGTGTTGTTGGCAAAAAAAGGTAGAGAACCACTGTAGTAAATAAAGAATGTATTTTTAATAGTTTAATTAATTTTTAATGTTAGATTTATTAGTTAAAATGAACTACATCTACATGTTTGTTTACTTATGACTTTGACTGGATATATGTTCTGTTTGATCTTACAAACTGTCAGCTACATGATGTATACACAGGCAAATAAGCTTATTTCCAACACAGTTATCACAAACCTGTCTAGATTTTCAAAGTCAACAGGGAATACTTGGATAGCCTAATTAAGAAGCATAAATTCTGATCTGACATGAAGTAGTTAGACCTGATTGATCAACTTACTAACCAAATTATTACAGAAAATCTCAAAATATGTGGTTCACAGTACTATTAGATTATGGCTGTTTTATCATGAGTATCTTACTATTTGCAGCCTCATATTTAGAATTTAGACATTATGTGTACTGATTGCATTCAAAGATTCAGATGTTGCATGTCAGCATGTAAATTAACAATATTGATAGTTGGACGTATTCTCAAATTAATTCAATTTTGAATTAAGTCATGAAAAATTAGATGTTGCCCGAAATGCTTTAGTATGAACGTATGATCTGACCTGGCTCAAGTTCAGTCTTGAACATGGTGCTCGAAAATATGACAACTAATTGAAAGAAGGTTATAAGGTATTGATTTAGCTTCAGCATCGTTCCTTTATCCTGTCTAATACCATAGAATATTGAAAATAAAATCAGTGTCTCAATCAATAAAAATCAAGTTAGGACCAACGTTTTACAGGTTTTAGCGAGAATATTATCAATAGATTATCATCATGATCAGTCATATTACTTATAACCCACTTCATTCTATAGAAGAAAGTTAGAAAAATGTTCTGGCCTGTAACTCTATTCTTGAACCTGTTTTATAAATGTATAAAATTCAGTTTTGAATGAATAGTCTCAATAGTGATTTTAGATTCTTGTGTGAGTTTTAGGTGTACACAAAATCTGTGTATTTTGGGGATAAGAGGTCATACATATGTAATTGGAGTGTATAAATTAAGTCAGTCGTGGCCACCTGTGGAACAATTCTCAAAAACTATTTTTTGTTCTGAACTATTAACTTATTGAATCCTGTTTAATAGTGTACCATATATATTTTTACCCAGTCTAGATGTACTGGTATAAAAGCATTGACTATCTTGATGTGGTGAAGATGACATTTAGCCTAATGTTTGTCCCAGATGTAACATACTTGACTAATGAGGTTTGAATCATAGGATAAACACATTGATGATAATATACTACATTGTAGCTTCTACATCATGAATTTGAAATGTTAATGTGACACGATTTGAATATTTTGGGTGGACTGTTTATTCAGCTATTATTAGGTCTATATATTCTGTTAAATCTAGCATATTTACTATATTTACCAGTGGGGGGTTGGATAGCCGAATGGTTAGCACGCGCACGCTGTATCATACGGTCTGTCATTGAGTCAACTGGCGGGGTTTCGATTCCCCGGTTGTACGTGACAAGGAGTAGGGTCGCCTGTCCAACCTCGTGGGTTTTCTCCGGGTCGTCCGGGTTCCTCCCACTGCTAAAGACCACTACGCGAATGATTGAAATAAAATTAAACCATGTGTTAGTCCCGAAATGACCTAGTTTGTGTCGAGTGGACGTTAAACCCCATTTCTCTCTCTCTCTCTATATATATATATTTACCAAAAATACAATTGTATTCGAACTAAGAAAAGATCAAATTAAAGACAATTCCACAGAAGATCGTCCAATCATGCCTAGAACATGAGACATGTCAAATATGTCAATTTGCTATTGTTGTTAAGGAAACTAGATTCCCAGGTGTGGCTAAGAAAAGCCTTTGAGATTTTATTAACCTTTACTAGTAGGAAAAAGCTCGGAAAGTGTGGCTAGTTTTGGGGATGTGATGTCCAAGATTTACCAATGTACACTTTTGCAAACACATGAAAGAACTTTCAACAGTTAGAAATTGTAGAGTGAAATGCTACTGTCATAGCAATATTTTCCTATTGCACATTTGACAATACAAATATTGTTTATTTTAGGTACAGTAGCTGTGTCGCCTGATATCCACAATGTCTATCAACGAAGATCTTGGTCAACCGACCAGTGACAGTTTCTGGGAAATAGGCAAATATATGCGAACAGTAAAACGATGTGACAATGGTTTTAAACTTTGTGATCAGTTAAAATCCTTAGTAGAATCCAGAAGTGAAATAGAAAAATCTTACGCTAATCGATTATCTCAGTGGTCCAAAAAGTGGAATGATTTTCTTGACAAAGGTAAATAGATCCGTATATATTCAAGTTCACAGAGGAAATTAATTTTCACCAAGAAATTAAACTTCTTTTATTCCATATTGTACTATATTAAATTTTAGGTGCACTTACATCCATTTTAATTTATCAAAGTCCCTGGTTATCTTTGTTGACGTAGAAACATAAGATAAAAAAATTGTTGTCAAGCATTACCTTAAAATCTGATTCAACTAACCAGATATTGTATGCTGTGGATTAGATATTTCAGACATGAATGTTACATAATTATTTTTATTGATTGGGATATTTCTTAAAAGTAAACCGGTAGTGGCTGGCATCATATATCTGGGCTTGAATAAGATGATTTGACAAGCCAAAAACTCTCAATCAAGGCAATTTTTAGATTGTGAAAAGGTCTTTTTTTTTTTTTTTACAAAATCAATCTCAATTCAGTAACAAGATGCTCTTGTAAAGCTCTCATGAATTCTGATCTTATTCTCATAATAGTTTTCCCCATGCAAGCACTCTATAAATTATTTGTAAATAATGCAGTTAAAGATACATTATGGGAGATTCGATAACGAGTTGGCAGTTCTCACTATAGTTAAAAACTAGATAATGTACAGGAAATTTGCTGAAAATTTCATTCAAATTGATCCACCATGAACCAAGAACTAAGCGGTTGAAATTTTCACCTAGCCTCGATCATCATTACTAAAGTCAGTATGATAAACAGCATAGTCTTGATTATCCATTTAATCGTTAAATCGTGAAGGAAAGTTATGCAGTGAATTGGCTCATAATCTACTAAAGATCGCAGGCTAGCGTTGACGTTGAGAGTTGATTATGGTCTGAATAGATTAATTAATGTCTAATTAATAATTTAGATAACATTTCAGGTCTAAAGAAAGAACTGCAATAGACAGATTTAGCTCTTGCATAATGTATGTTTAAAGATTACTTGATGTTTATGAACAATAATATTAACAGGTCCAGAATATGGAACAACTCAGGGAGCATGGAGAAGTGTTTTATCGGAAGCAGACAGTGTTAGTGACCTTCATAATGAAATATCAGAACGTTTAATGTCGGATGTGTATCAGTCAATTAAACATTGGCAAAAAGAAAACTATCACAAATCTATGATGCATTTTAAAGAAACAAAAGAATTTGAAGACGGTTTTAGAAAAGTAAGTTTTGTCATTTTAATGCTTGGACGATATTTAATCTGCCTATTGCTACAGACATTTTCCAAACCTTCTTCTAAAACAAAACAAAAAGCAAAGTAATTTTATCATTCAATCTTTTTGATTGACATGCAGAGCTCTCATTTTGGCCATATTTGTCAGGCAATTTCCTTCTGAAAAAACTACCTATCAATTTTTGATTAAAAGCAGTTTTAAGACCTGGATAAAAGAAACAGACCTGAATTGATTTTTAAATCTGAAGGTAGTAATTGTAACACTCAGAAATATATCAGACGGGCAACTTTGTTTGTATTGTCTGTTAGAACACAATCTATAAAAGTATAAATTAAATGTCTTCTAGTGTAGGTCTACTTACTTCATGTATATTGAGATCCGTTTTAAAATCCAGCTGTCTTTTCCTAAACTAATTAGGCACAGAAACCATGGGGAAAAAGATTAGCCAAAGTTATAGCTGCCCGTAAAGATTATCACACAGCCTGTAGAACAGAGAAAAGTACTGCCAATCAAGAAAATAATGCTCGGGGAGATTCTACAGTATCACCAGACCAGGTAATATTTATCAATCAAATTGATCAAAATTATCCTTCGGGTCATTCTGAAATACATTTTGTTTCATCAAGCCCAACCCATGTTCTGGACCATTGATCATTAGTTTAGAATATATTGTAGTTTTTGTATATCTCGAGTTAACTTAAATGAACCAAACTTGATAGAATATTCAGTATGAAGCACACATGTCAATAGTTACATTGTTCTCAAAATGTTTTAAATTCTAATCCTTCTGTTCGACGCTTTGACCGTTGTCTTTATTATCAAGCACATCCTGTTGGTATTAGAGAAAGCACATCTCTCTCCTTTTCATTAGAATTTTCACATATTTTTTCAGTAATGAAGTATTATCAATTTTTTTTTTTTTTTGGCATCATTTTTCTATAGCTAAAGAAACTTCAGGAAAAATTAAGAAAACTACAGACTGAAGTCGAAGCAAACCGAGAAAAATATCAAGCTGCATTGAATGATTTAAATGGTTATAATGCTAAATATATAGAGGATTCTACAGAGGTATATTTTAGTAATTTATCTGTCATATGTTTAACAACAACATAACAAAAAAGTATTTAATTGTCTCTCTGTGTGAATTGACTTTAAAGATTATTTTGCAATTGTTCAGAAAGAATTCTAGGAGGAGATTTATCTGAATTAGTATTTTTTTTACTTTTCAATCATTTTCTGTTTTCTTGTTGTGTATGGTGCAGTTCTCCTGCACTTGCTATTAAAAACGAAATAAATCGATCAAAAGGTATAGTGTCCATATAAATTGGTAACTTACGATAGCCATAGCTTAAACTTTGTGTTTTTGTGGCAGGGTAAATAATGACTAGTATTCTGATATAAGATACCTGTACATGACATATTATTCCCCTGGGCACCACTGTTATAATACATTTATTGAACTTCGAGCATCATGTGATCATCAGTTTAAGCAGTGGACACATTAGCCGAATCATTTGACCGAATCAATGGGTGCCAAACAGGTGGTCACACTAGACGAATCCTTCACCCGATTCACCAGACAATTGAATCACCTTTCATGTCACATGATTAAACACGGCGACGACCATGTCTTCAAAAAACCATGTGACTTCTCGATATGATTTGATGATGAGTGATGGTTGGCTAATGAATTCTACAATTGGATGAATGCTTTGGCGAAGCGGGCACACTAAGCGAATATATCAAACATGTTTGATACAGGCGAATTATTCGGTCGAATGACAGAGAATACACTAGGCGAATTTCAACGCCGACTGATTCGTCCGAATCATTCGGCTAGTGTATCCACCACTTGAGACCACAGTTTTATTTATATAAAACGTAGAAAAAATGTTGGTTTTTTTTTTCTTAGTTACAATCAACGTATGTTTACATTTTTTTAGCTATAATTAATGTTTTGAGCAATAAAGGGTGTGCAATAAATATGCATATTAAGAAATTATTAATATCCAGAATAAAATATATACCGGTAATGATCACTTTTCAGATTAATCCTAAGCTGTGATCTTGGATTCATTTGAAGGGCCCTAAGATTTCAAAATAATCTGTGAATAATTTTCTCTTCTAAAAATCAAATTGTTTAATTTGTATAATCTACCATTCTGTTGTGCAAAGGTTTATGCAAATCCATTAAATAATTTTCATAAAAGATTTTGTTTCTCATAAAAAAATTTCTTTATGTTTCAAGAATTATCTTGACTGTCAGTTTAATCCTCTTTATGGAGCATTATTCAGCGGGCATGGACAGCTTTTTCTTAAAGATTCCATAACCCCAAGGAGTGTTTGTGAGAAATTATATTCCAAGAAAGTTAAATGTATTTGATATGTAATTTAATGTTAAATGGGATATTTTGTGTAAATTACAGATTTTCGAAAAAGCACAAGACTTCGAAAGAAAAAGAATAGAATTTTTCAAGAAAACTTTATTTGAAATGCAACGCTGTTTAGATTTAAGTGTAGATCCAAGGTAAATGTAATGTTCTATTGTTGTGATTAGACTAAATCTAGGTTTAAGGCCAATGTAAACAACAAGCATTTTCTCGATTTATTTCTCTTAGTATTAAGTATTTGAAATATTTTGTCAAAAACTGCTGAAATACTGGCACACTGCACAGTCTAGTTCCTAAATAATTGAACATTTAGAATATTTTGAGTCACAATATTTTCATAAATTAACTGGCACACAGCTGTTTATATGCCATTTAGAGTAATTGTAGTTTTAATCAAGGTTGGGTTTTTTAAATTCCAGATTCAGTAAAATCTATACAGATCTACAGTCATCTATAGGTAGAACTGATGCAGATAAAGATTTAAAATGGTGGTCCAGTAACCATGGTGCTGATATGTCTATGTCATGGCCAGCATTTGAAGTAAGTATACATAGTGCCTGTCAATTTGTCCGTAACCAGTGTGACAAAATTTTGTCAGATTATTCGATACTTAAACATTTCACATGAGAGAATCCAGTTTCTAGCCGACGGTAAATCCTACATAAATCACCCGACGTTTGTATTAATATGAAACGTAATTATTGCAGCCCAACTTTATCACAATTTTGCCAAATATAACATCTTTCGTCAAAAAACATGTAGGATACATGTAGGGCTCCCAATTACAAATAATTTGATAGCAATTGCAACTGATAATTCTTTAAAAGGTGACACCATGAAGTGGGGGGGGGGAGGGTCAAGGTCATCTCACTAAATGACATTCTTCTAAAAGTCGCACTTTGAAAACAGCAACTGTGTACAAATGGGTACGATAAGATTTCGCAAAGTAGGTACATGTATGGTTATCATTTGGAGAACAAGGGGTCCTGTCATTTCATTTAAAATGCGGAAAATAAATACATGCGTGACTTCTCGGCGTGGATAAACGGTTCTCAAATCTGATGGATCACGATTCAAGTCACAATCTGGCCAGATAAATATTGTGAATGCATTGAAAGGACTGGATGTTAAACTTAACGAAAAAATTAGATATTGCCTACCTCATTGCGATATGTTTGTCAGGCACAATCTGTGCCATGTCAGGTACAAACTTATTTGTACCTGAAATTTTGTCAGGCACAAATTCTGAAGTTCCATCAAGGCTTGGTTTATTTTATAGTTATAGCTATGACTATTATTTTTGCCAGGAATATTCTCCAGATCTACAATCTATATCAAAACGAGCCAAATCTCAGATATCAACAGGAGATGGGATAACAATTACAAGTATTAAACATCAGCGTGACAGTAGTTATGATAGTACAAGTGGTGGTAGAAATGGACAAGATTCCCATCCAGCTCATCAACAACAATCCAGCAATGATACAGATTATGGTGCTGCCTCATCCAACACCTACACAAACCAGTAAGTACAATTCTTAAATAACAATTTAATTGTTCATAGAAATCTTTACACCTTTAATTCTCGTTACATGGAGTAGAACATGTCTTAGATTGATCAACTTAATCAAATGTCTGATTTGACCACCTTGATATTTGTTGAGCTGGTTATAAAAATGCTGGTGGGGGGGGGGGGGGGATGACTGAATGGTTAGCATGTGTGCGCTTTATCATAAAGTCTGTCATTGAGTAAACTGGTGGGGTTTCGATTCCCTGGTTGTATGTGACAAGGAGTAGGGTCGTCTGTCCAACCTCGTGGGTTTTCTCTGGGTCCTCCGGTTTCCTCCAACTTCTAAAGACCCCTACGCGCAAACGAATTATGGGAATCAATAAAATTGAACCATATGTTAGTCCCGATATGACCTAGTTTGTGTCGAGTGGACGTTAAAAACCCCATTTTTCTCTTTCTTTCTATAAAAATGCTACGAGAATTGCTCATATTTCAGATTATTATTGAATTGTTTTAAGTATCTTTTTTTTCAAATTTAATTTAAGAGAGATTTATATATATAAATGAATGCCTATTATTTCACTTAGTTTACTTCCTGATTACGTTTGATAGTATTAAATACTTTGGAAATATAAACAGGAAGACAAAATAAAAAAAATAAAACATAAAAACAGATCATTTTACTTTAAAAAGTTAAAGTTAGCACTTTGTTTATCATAAGTTGAAGTGAACCCAGTGTGAGAGATTAGATGATTGTTGTTGTTGAAGGAAGGACCTATTGTTCTCTGTATAACACACAGCTTCTGTTGACTCGTAAAAGTTACATGTGGAAATTGAACATTATTGCAGTGACATTGCATTGAATGTCATTCATTTTCACTACAATTTCTTTTCATTTTTTTTAACTAAAGATTCACAATGCAACAGTCTTTTTCGACTGCTCAGAGTTCATAGCTGCTGTGTGTGTTTCGTTGCCTGGCAACCTTTTGTTTGTAATAAAATCACCAGTTGAAAAATTAAAAGTATAAAGTAGATTTTGTCATCGATGTCATGACTAATATTTATTTTATGATATAGTTAGGATTGATTATATTAAAGATGCATTATGTAATTAGCTAACTGACTATTGCAGGTCTTTATTTTGGCTTCAAAGAATTTAAGCATTTATTAATATGACAAGCCCATAATCAATTCTCTGGGCCATCGGACGGTTCCAATTTTAAGTTGGCCATTTAATGTTTTAATTTAAAAATGGAGAAGCGAGGCAAACAAGTACCGTTGAAGTACTTTTGTTACAATAATAAACAGTCAATGCACACATCTTGTCAAAACTCCAAATAATGATAACTTAGCTCAGAATAAAGTAATTTGAATCAAATTTTCAATATATTCATTTTGCATGATCTATTTTTGAACTATTATAGCAAAATCGGCCAGCTCTATATCTAAATCTTATATAATGCATCTTTAATATTTTCTGTGTGGATTTTAACATACATAAAAGAATGTTTCATACAGTCACTATGCGGCGAATCTGGAAATTTTGTGTTAAGAGTGGATCCCTCATCAAAGTTGAAGGGAGTTTGGCAGGAGGGAGTAAATCTTTTCAAAACTACGGAATGAGCAATGCAGTTTATATTGTCTACGAGTTATTTGCAAAGGCATGCCAACTTATATGTAATGACATCAAACTATATCTTATTTCTATGTACAATTACATCCTTTGAGCAGAATTAAGAAAAGTGCATTTGTTTCATTATTGCGTAATTAATATGTTTCTATTTAGCATTTTTGAAATATATCTAAATAGAAAATTATTTCTCTTAGCTATTATTAGGTTGCCTTTTTTATACTCCCACATTGAAATATTGTTTTATATTGTCGTCGTCCCCATCCGTCTGTCCATCCATTCGTCCATTTGTGGACGCTCTGGAGGCTAAATGTTGACATTAAGTCATGAGACAAAGAATCCTATTGATTTTTAGCGATTACGATAATTACTGCCAGAGTTATGGCCCTTGATCACTTTGAAAAATCTTTTCGAAGCTCTAGAGACTTAAAGTTAATATCTGATTGACTTTAAATTTATACACAGTGTTTAAGGTCATGTGATGACCCTTGATCAGTTTGAAATATCTTGTGGACGCTCTTCAGGGAAAAGTTAATATCCGATTGACTTTAAATTTATACACAGTGTTTAAGGTCATTAGATGAAGAATCCTATTCATTTTCAACAATTTCCGATAATTACTGCCGAAGTTATGGCTCTTGATCACTTTGAAAAATCTTGTTGACACTTTAGAGACTAAAGTTAATATAAATTGTTTAAGGTCACAAGACAAACAATCGAAACAAATTCTAATGATTTCTGATAATTACTTAATGGGTTATTACTCGTAATCGGACAAAAGAAAAAATATGTGACAACCCTTGTTGACTGCCCGGATGACTTAGCTACTGTGGACGTATGTTTTGTTGCCTGGCAACCTATTTTTAGTATTTTTCTTGATATGGAATTGAAATATTTCAATTTATGCTTAATTATATTATTTTACACTTAATAACTCGTTTTTTGATGACAAAAGAGTTTAGTGGCTGCCTAGTACACAAAATTCCCAGTCAGAGCAGAACAGTAGGACATTAACGGATGTGTTATGAGAAGTTTTGCTTGGAAGCATATGAATGATTGTTTCCAAAATATTGTAGAGGATCTGAATATGATGAATCTTTAAATCCATTTGGTGATGATGAGGAGGAGGAGGAAGAAGAAGATGACAATAAAAAAGCTATTGTAGCTCCTCCTAAAATAAGTCGAGTTTCAAAAGCTCCGGAACCTAACCTTACAAAGTATTTTATCTATTACATGCATCATGATTTTATGTTGATGCTTTTTTTGCCTTTTTTTTATCCTGAATTGTTATAATATTTATCTGTCTTTTGTCTATATAAACAATACACACACTATATAAAAATTTAGACAGACTCAATAATCAGTCATCTTTTTTATTTTATTCTACTTTCAAACTTGCTGTTTAAATATGTGCGTGAATTGTTACATCAGGTGCAAGGCATTGATCCAATGAACTATTTATTTATATGGCTGAATTCCAAAGAAAATTCAATATCGGTTTGGTTTTTTTTCTGGAGAATAACACCAAACCTGTTGGCCAACTGAGCTATTTTAGTAACCGTAAACATGCCACACTTCAGTTTTCATTTGAATAACAAAAAAATGCATTTCAGGTCATTAACTTTAATAATAAAGTGTGTTTAAACTTTTATAGACATTGAGTGATATATTTTCATATTGAACCATTTTCATAAAGGTAATGCATGAATTCAGATTTTATTTTCCCATCCCCTTTGGCTTGTGGAATGCCTGTTATTTATATGAATTAAGAGACCTATTTCTGTTGTTACTAACCCATTTTGATATATACAGTTTCTGCGATAATATTTATGAATATTGATTTTATGGTAGTGAATTTATAGCTTTGTTAACTTATAAATTTTTGACTGAAAGAGATATTTTCTGTAATCAGTAATATGAGTACTGGTTGCAGTTTATAGACTAGTTTTACTACATACATTAATGTGTTCACACTGATCAGCAGTGAATATTCGCTCGGTCGCTACAATCACTGATAGGGATGACATCGATGTGTCTTAATGAACCCCCAATATTAACATTTTTCTTCTACAAATTAAATCCTAGATCATTTTTATACGCCTATATTTTCATGTGGATGTATATTGTCGTCGTCCCTGTCCGTCCGGTCACAATTTGTTTGTGGACACTCTAAAGGTCACGCTTAAAATATAGGTCTATCTCCCAAAGATCTCACTCAGTTCCTTTCGATGTTGGCATAAATCGGACAATAACTTCATGGATTATGACCCCTGATACGAAAAATCACATTTTTAGCTTGTGAACACTCTTCAGGTCACAATTTTTATCTGATTTTGATGAATTTTGAAATGCATGTTTATAACCAAAAGATCTTGGTTCCTTTCGATATTTGTGCATATTGGATTGTAACTTCCTGAATTATGGCCCCTGATTGAACAAAAAATCACGTTTTTAGCTTGTGTTCCCCCTAGAGGTCACAATTATTATCCGATTTAAAAAAAAAGATCGAAAATATCACCGTAATGACACTTGAATTTGAATTTTGTGAAAATCGGACCAAAACTGCTGGACAAAATGGCCGCCCCTCATACGCAAATAATGTGAATATATGGTATGTCTAGGTTGTGGACCCTCTAGAGGCCACAATTTTGATCCGATTTTGATGAAACTTGAAATACATGTTTATAACCCAAAGATCTTGGTTCCTCTTGATATTCATGCATATTGGATCATAACTTCCTGAATTATGGCCCTTGATTGTACGAAAAATGGTGTTTTTAGCTTGTGGTTCCTAGGTCACAATTTTTATCTGATGGAAAAATATGTTTAAATATATCACCGTTACACCCTAATAATGGCCGAGTTCGGATTTCGCGAAAATGGGACCAAACCACCGGACAAATGGCCGCCCCTCTTACGCAAACAGTGTAAATATAAGGCACATCCAGGTTGTGGACCCTCTAGAAGTCACAATTTTGATCCAATTTTGATGAAACTTGAAATATATCTTTATAACCCAAAGATCTTGGTTCCCGTCGATATTCGCTCATATCGGATCGTAACTTCCTGAATTATGGCCCTTGATCCTATGAAAAAAACCTTTTTGTTTAGCTTGTTCTCTATCCATCTTTTGCAAAATGTAGGTGTATCTGCCTGGCAGCGGCTGGTTTTTTAAGCATAAAGGTGTTTAAAGTATATCAAGATAAAGAATATTTCCTATTTAGTGTAAATGGTTATGTAAAATCAGTAATATGTTGAAACCCGTCATCTTTTACAGAGTTATTAGAAGACTGTTATAAAACCTTGTGAATCAGATTGACATGTGTTAATTCATGCAGTCTATTCTGTTTATACCAGTATTCATAATCGTGTTCTGTTCAATGACTCACAAACATGTCTTGCCAATATCATATGACATTGTACACAACATTTAAATTGTCTATTTATAGAAATTAGAAACCTAAATGTATAAAATGACCTTAAAGAGGCCTACAAAGGGGCATTATGCAAGATTAGATACAGAACTGAATGTTTTCGCTATAATAGTTAAAAAATAAATAATGAAAAGGAAATAGGCCGAAAATTTTGGTCAAATTACTTCACTCTGAACCGAGTTATCTTCATTTCAATAACACTACAGCCTTGATTGTCATTGCAAAATGTATCTAAATCTACTCAATATCAGAGCAATCGAATGGCATCAAGAGTTGATTATGGTTCTGGACAGTTAATTAAAGTAGCTTAGTCTTTAACTCAATATCATCCAAAGTCTTCAAATTGAAAACAAAAATAATTTGTCAATTTGACATTGTGATCTTACCGGGAAAAGATGAGCTTCTGATATCCAATATTTAAGACAATTTACCAGTGGTACACAAATCGTGAACCAGAATGCATTTCAGCACCATTTGTAACAAGGGACTCGCAGAACGAGTCTAGACATATTCCACAAGTCATGTCAAATGGTGACCCTATATTCTTATCTGGAGAGCATGCGCAATAAATACTATTATTGTAGACTGGAATAACCAGACATATTCCCCCCGAACATAACTGATTTGAAATTAGAGTAAAAACGAAAACAATTGAAGGTAAATCAGTTTATATACATTCATATTACGTTATTATATGCGTTGCGACCCATTTGTGTCAATTTCTAGGTCCCAAATTTTAGCGATGTAGCTCCTTTAATGTCAAATTAATAATTTATATAATATTTAAGGCCTAAAGAAAGACCTGCAATAGGCAGATTTAGCACTTGCATGATGCCTGTTTAAGGAAGAGACACAGGAAATATTTTTTTTGATTGAATTGAATTCAACTTTAACCCTGTAGTTAATGTCTGGTATTTGATAAGTGTTAACACTAATATACTGGTGTCATATTTTCACTGCATTGTGTAGCAGACAAAAAGCAAATCAAGTGGTAACATGGCTGTTTGTTTGAATCCAAATTTCTACTGGAATTCAGGAGAATACTTGCACTTACCCGCTACATCTTTTCAATTCAACATCTTATATTTAATAGTGTTTCTGTGTTATTTAGCAAGGCAATGGTATAGGAAAGTTATCTTGAACAAACAAGATTGTGTAATTTGAAGGAAATAATGTTTTATTACATTTGTGTTTGCATATCATCTGTATTAGGTGGAGTTTGCTGGAACACTGTGAAATAAATATCATGATTATGATAAATATAAAATGATATTCAATGCCCTTTGTTATTTAAAAATAGTCATTCTACAGTAAAAATGCATAATGATTATGATATGTTTCATCTAGTTTAATGTCAGATATCATAATTTTTACCTACTTTTTGGGTACATGTCACAGATTATGGCATTGCTCAAAAAAATCAAACTCCTCCTGGATTGTCATTGTTACAAATTACTTATCACACTGCCACACCCACACATATTATTTTGAGCCTTTAGCTTAGTTCACATCTTAGTGCCATCTAGAGAGAATGACATGGGCAGAACTCACATAGAATAATCTAGTGTAGAGTGTTATGAATGCAGTCATAATGATGGCTTATCTACAATAATATGTTTGTACATACATGTATATTAGGGGTATATTTAAACATATTCCCCAATTCCTGCAGAAATTTTTAGAACTTATAGAATTTATACACTGAATGTTTAAATTAAGCCCACCTGGGCTGTTGTTAAATGGAAATGCCTGTTCTTCCATTTTACTAAAAATACAATTAGATATTTATATAGGATTGAAATAATGACACTGATTAACTAATAGATTGCATGATTACATCTAACTACTCAATTTAAATCATTATAATAACTCTTATTGGCAATTTGATATATATACTGGTTGTTATTTATTTGCCACAGCGAGACATGCATCTTACATCTGTCTGAAAATAACCTTTTTATTAATTCTGTACTCTGCTGTATTTGTACATTTTTAAGCTAGAGTACATGTATAATATTTTATTCTTATCTTTATATACTCCTGTTTAAAACATTTTTATTCGGGATTTGGATTGATTTATTTTACTATTATTACACTAAATTATTCTTTTGTTTTATACTTTTTGAACACATTCCTAATATATAGTTTTGGAGCATTCAACGTTATTGTTCAAAAAGTTTTTAATGTTATGTGATTTAAGCATTACTTAAAAAGTTAATTATAATTACTGTAATTTCTCTCTTTATATAAAGGTTATTGTTTGTTGGAAGAAAATGTTGAATGTTTTAAATTAAAGTGAAATGTAGAGTAGACACATGCTTTTAAACAATTCCAATTACATTCTATACATGTATAGTAATATTCCTACATGATGATAGATGGTATAGCTAATATTAAATTAATCGAGATGAAGACATTACAGTTAGCTTATTTCCATGATTGATTGTCTTATTGAAATATTCATTATTTTCTTTCAACTATTCATTATATTTATCTAGCATGTTGTATTCAGCTGTATGTTTGCTGTGTATATGTTAGTCATTGTAAATATATATATATAAACTATTTAGAAATTATTTTATTTTCGCAGTGGTGAGAGGAGTGTTCAACCTCCAAGTGAAAAGAATCCCTTTGGTGACGACTTTGATGATAATTCAGCAGATGAAGAACCCCCATCATCTGGTTGGACTGTAGAAGCTATGTATGCTTATGATGCTACAGAAGATGATGAATTAAGTTTTAAAGTTGGTAAGTAATGGGAATTCAGGGTATTGATAACAAATAATAGTGATTTTTCTGCATGATCATGCAATTCTGTTGGGACTGCAATAGATAAACTGGTGGGTATCACACCAAGTCATCATATTGTGACATTGTGGGTGAGAGATTGTAGAGTTAATTCCACATGATCATATACCTACGGGATGTTGCTATTTTTGGTAGTAGTGCATGCCGGAGGGTAGCTATCTAAGTATTCATCAATGTTAAGTAAATCTGTTCAGAAAGCATTGTCAAACATCAGAGTACATACATACTCCTAAACAGATAGCAATCGGGTAATCCAGGCACCTTTAATTTGGTTTTGTTCCATTATTTTGGACATGCAGAGTAAGTTACCATCCTGGAACAATGTACCCATATATTCTTAAATTTAACCACTAACTGACAGGTCAAAATAGGCTGACATGGCTTAAAGTATGTGTGAACGCTTAGGGCATAAGTAAATGTTTCAATCACATATTAGACTTACTGATTCTTTATGGATCTCTGTCAGTTATAAAGCTGGTTATATACTTCATCCTGAACAGTATTATAGATCTTTAAATTATAAATATGCATTGTTGCGGTTGGCATCCAGTAGCGGTAGTGTTATCTCCCTTGAAGTATTTCACTTGTCAGCATGCAGTATATCAATGATCAAAGTTCTTTACTTTATACTTTGAATTCTTAAAAATACAGGCTTATCTGTGAAAGTTTCTTTTTGTAACTTATCTTGACAGTTGGTGTATTCTGGTACTCTGAATCTGATGTTGTTTTGAATGTCTGCTGTGATACTGCACCTTTTCGGACTACTGAAATTTTAAATCTGTTGATAGCAGTATATTGTACTCCACTGAAACCTTAGTTGTCTAATATAAATATGGTAACACTTAACATATCTTGAAGATTTTTGTAGAGACACAAAGGTTTCCTGGAAACAATAGGCTTTTCTGAATAGATTTTGATCCAATGATTAAGACATCTAAATTTCTGTCCATTCATTTTTATACAACTACAACTACATTGTAATTTGGTCATATATTACATCATCGAAGTCAGTCTATATAAACCTGTTGGCTATTCACATTTCCTGTTGGTACACTAGACGACAATGGTTCATAAATCTTTTTGAAATTGATGTAAGCTGTCCATCGCATTGTAATGAAGAACCCTATTGTTTTTTAAAGTTTTATCATAACCATCTCCAGAGTTCTACTTAATAGACTCTGTCAAAAGATTCTATTGGTTGTCTGTTCTTGATTTTCAACAATTTTTGATAATAACTTCTAAAGTTATTCTCCGGTTTCCTCCCACTGCTAAAGACCCCTACGCGCAAGCGAATTATGGAAATAAAATTAAACCATATGTTAGTCCCGAAATGACCTAGTTTGTGTCGAGTGGACGTTAAACCCCATTTCTCTCTCTCTAAAGTTATTCCCCTTTGATAAAAAATTATGGGGATGTCTGATTGTCTGTCCGGATTATTCCAAATTGACAGAATTACAATTAAGTGGTGCAGAATTCATTCCTGTCACAGTTATGTCAGCTCTGTGTGAGTAGAATCGTGACGCATGCATTGTTGTGCCAAATCCCCCTTTTCACTCAATTGTCACTATTTTGGGGATTGAGAGAATTGACTTCCGGAACATTCAATCGAGTATCCCCTATGATAGTTTGATAGGGGCTTCATTTCTGATCGTTCTGACATTTGTGTAAGTTATTTAACTCATTCAAAGGAAGAATGTTATTGGTTTCTGGTGATTATTTAGCCTTGAGATATATTACACTAGTTTGAATTTTATCAATTTTTCTGGAATTATATCCATAATAACTCAATTATTCAAGAAATTTTAGCCTTTAACTTGATTCAATACTCTGTGAGTCTCCTTATAAATACAAACAATTGCTTTTACTAAGAAAAGCTTACATCCATAACTAGGCCTTGTTTGAAGTATGCCGTTTTCTGGACCTTACAATGGGTTTATCTGATGTACCTACTTACAATAGTACCGATAAAAGCCATATTTGCAGGATGCATTGCACTCTATATGGAACCCTGATTTTAGTCTTGGAATTAAATACATGTATATGAAATTTAAAATTGTGGTTTCTGCATCCATACATAAATATCTTCAACAATGTTAAACAGAAAATCATGTTGATATATTATGAGGTATTTTTCTATTTTTAGGTGAAGTATTCTTGCAAATTGAGGCTAAAGATGAAATGGGATGGTGTAAAGGAAGATTAAATAATGGACAAGAAGGTTTCTTTCCTGCAAATTATGTTCAGCGCAAGTGATTCCATTGTCAGTGGTTATAGCCATAAAACTTACTGCATTACCTTTAAAAGGATCCAGCACCTATATGAATAAAGTACATAATAAGTACTATGAAGCTAGAACAAAATAAATTCTTTACTGTAAAAATTAAAATAGCCAAAATACATAAAAAGCATTTATAACAAATTTATGGTGATTATACTCATAGTTTATTTTTGTTGTTTACAAGCTGTAACATTAGGTAAATAAAAACTAAAGATAAGATAAGTAACACATTAGATTTTGAACTTCACATTATGGTTATGTTCATCTATTCAGTATTACTAATGAACTCTTGATCAGTCAGTACTAGATAATTTATTCCTACTGTAATGATTGTTATTGTTCATAACTGTATAACGCTCTATTCTGAATTCAAATTCAAAATTACAAAATTGATAGCCTTATTGAGTATTTTTAAGATAAAATTTGCAATAAAAAATAATTGTGTTTGGGAAAATATCTGTGTTTGTATGCAATGAAACCGAAGCTGACCCACTTCTAATTGGAGTGATAATTTCCAATTCACAATGTGATGTTGAATGTAGCATTATATTAAATATTAAAGAGAAATAGTATTGGTACAGTTGTATAGCTCAATCATACCACAAGCATTCCATCTATATAATATATTTAGTAGTTAGATTCTTTTCTTATAATCACGTTTTGTCTTTCTTCTTATATACAGTACATTAGAGAACATAACATAAAGTTCTTGAAAAATGAAAATATTACAATCTCCTTGTGATTGTTGCTAGTGGTTGGTACCTGGACAAGGAACAACAAATTCTTTCATAAATGAAATAGAAAATTGTAAATAAAGTTGTTTCAGGCTTCAGTGTCCTGTGATGTTGTCATATGATTCTATTATACTGACTCTAAATTATGCCTCTTGATAATTATGATTGGCTGATAGCAGTTAGGTTCCCTTATGTTTTTGGCACACCCATATTGGTGAACTTAAAATTAAAAACATTAAAAACATCACCTTTTCATGTCTTCAATAATTCTTACTTGTGGAAAAAATACTTTGAGAGTATTTTAAGGATAAAGATCATTTATTTTGAATTTAATTTGTGTTGATTTGTTTCAAATTTGATTTCTTTGTCATTAATTTAATCTTTAGGGACAAAATATTAAAGAGCAGTTTTTTTATAGATTAAATTGAACATAGCATTGATTATTACAGATCATTTAATCTACATGTATATCTCATGCTAAATAAAATTAGATTACATTTTTGTTACATTACATTTTTTTTCAGATTTTACATTTAAATTTGTATCGGCCAATTATACACCACATAATGCTGCCCTTTACTCTAATCCAGGTGAAATGATTGGTCATCAAGGTCATGTGTTCTGAGCATGTAGGACATCAGAAATAAAATGAAATTGACATTTGATATTAATCAGTTTGTCTATGTGTACATGTATGTATAATATATATTTTTGAAATACTTTACACATTGTGAATTCCATCTACACAAACCAATTACTACATAGTTTTTTTTTTACAAAATCTTATTTTCTTAAATAGAATGAATCTCTTTAACAGTGTTGTCTGTGAATCCAAGCCTTGACCTAGTTCTGATTTTTGATGTCTTGTCTGGAAGATGACTACTAAAGTTTTTTGGTTCTGATTTGATCGTTTTCTTTAATAATTCTAGTAATAGTGATGGCTAACGTAGTCCCTGGGGTATCTTTTACAGCATGATGCTAAAAATAAGAACAGTTTATCAACAGTTAAAATTAAATTTTTTAACTAGCTTTCTTTGAAAAATGGCAAGACTATCTAGAGAGCTTTATTAAAGATTAATATAAAGTTTGAAACAACAAGCTCATAAGCAAGACATGACATGAAAAGTTAGTTGTATAAATTAAGTTTATACTTTATTGAATCGCATTATAGATACTGTTATTAAGTCTTTATAATAAAAAAAAAAGCGAAATTTTTAAGGTGTACATCTACCTCTTCTTCGAAATTTTGTGTAAACAAAGAATCCAGTTAGTAGAATCATGGACCTTATGATAAGGTCCATGGTAGAATTTTCTGTCTTTGTAAATATGTACATATGTGTAATTATCTATTGAAAAATAGATATATATTATCTACATTTTTACTATTATTAACCTGTAGATCATATATAATTAATAATCATTTGTTTTGTTTAGTCTATTTCACATATTTTTCAGAAGGAGGAATTGTAATTACAATGTTTGCCATCTAATTTGTACTATTTAAGTTACTGTTTATTGAACATCACTTATGTCTTCCAAAACGCAAAATGACACTTCTTATCTTAGTTTGACTTATAATGTGCTAATTTATTTCATTCTGTGCAAAGAAAAAAAAGTCAAAATTGATTTATATGTTTTCTCGTTTCATGAATTCTGAGCATACTGCGTCTAAATTTCAAGTAACCTAGCATCTGAAGCAATGTAACTTCAATCATTCAGAAAAGTAAAAGTTTTATTGTTATGTTTACTTATTTGACTTTTATAATTTCATTTTACTGTTTGTTATTACATGTACATTGTTACTTATTTTGAGGGAGTTATGTGTAATTTTGAGTCGAACTATTTGTTATAATTACAAAGATCTTTTGTAATATAATGTGTGAATATTTGAGTGCAATTTAGATCCCTAGCTTAAACTAGTAGCTTTGTATAATAATGCATGTATTGACTTTAGCATATCAACATCAGTATATGAATAGAACAAGGTGAGGGACTATTTGATGTATATATAAATTTTCACTTATCTTGTGACCAGGGTTTCTTTATGGAATATGTAAAATGTGCCCTACATCAAAATGTGGATTTTAGGAGATATTATTAATTATTATTATCAAACAAATCTAAATTTAATGTTTTCAGTGAGATGGATATTGGTTTCTTTACAAACTCAATAAAAGAAATAACAGAAAACTTTTATATATACGAAAAATCTAAATTTTTTGAAAAACAATTTTCTTTTTAGAAATACTTAGAAAATATATGCGATACTTAGAGTAGCCTGCTAAAATTTCTGGATATTTTATGTTTGGAGGAGATTATTGTGAATTCCTTATGGTGGGCTAAAATATAACAATAATCATTGATACCAAGCATAGCTTAAACCAGAACCTGTCTATTGTAAAAAGTGATATATTATTTTAATATGTTTTTAGAATTGATGGAGAACAGTTGATGTGTTTCATTCTTTAGAATACATAGCTTTTATAACAAAGGTCTAGATAGTTTAAAATAACAGCATCTACACATTAATGATATATTATAACCGATATTTATTACTTATTATTACCTATATTAGATAGAAAGCTGTATATCTAGAATTATATTTATATAGATGAAAGGTTTAGATATATATAATGTTTATATTACACCATGCATTGGTCTAACATGGCAAATAAATAAAATCTACAAATAAAGAGGTGCCTTTATGGTTTATATCCTTTTCCAGATACCAAGATATTCCTGTTTGTAATGGACTTATTGACTTATCAATGCTATACTTTTGAGACCTGCTCAGTACTTCTAAATTTTCTTTAAGTGGCATTTAGCGATTGGGAAACACATTAACAGAACACAGTTTTTATGGGAAACAATCACTGGTTTATTCGAAAAGCATGACGTTTCGACAAGTATCCTCTTATCGTTATCAAGCACAGTTAGTAAACTTAGGATAAATATACTCAGCCAAATTAAAAACTTGACACTCAGGATTTTTGGGACTAGATTTTTAATATTGGTTTAAGGCAACTATTTTAGTGTTATGTTGTGCACAGACGACCTTGACATCAACAGAAAGCAAGAATACGTCTCGCCGAAAGTCCTTGACATTGATAACGTTCGTGATGTCACAGTACCCCCCAAAATGAAATTCACAGACTTGGAGAACAATTGGAATTAAGTGTTTAGTAACGGTTGTGGCCTCCTCTAGCGTCTCGTACTGCCACACAACGTCTTCTCATGGATCTCAGAACATTAGTAAACACTACCCGAGGAAGACGTCGCCACTGCTCAGCAAGAGCATGTTGAAGGTCCTGCAACGTCAGTGGTGGATTCACTTGCTGACGAACACGTCGACCCAGATGTGTTCAATAGTATTAAGGTCAGGCTAAGCGACGGCCAATCCAGGACTTTGACACTGGCATTTCTTAAAAAATTCTGGGTAGCAATTGCTGTATGGGGTCGAGCATTGTCTTGTTGAAACGTTAGTCCAGGCCCATGTCTCTGCATAAACGGAAGAAGAACAGGTTGCAAAATCTGATCCCTGTACTGGACAGCATTTAAGTTCCCTTGGACAACAACAGGAGGAGAACGTCCATGTGCACAAAAAGAACGCCAAACCATGACGCTGCCGCCACCAAATCGGTCAACTTCTCTGACGGCAACTTCTCGGACCCTGCCATCGGCAAATCTCAAAGTGAATCGAGATTCGTCACTAAAGACAACCGAATTCCACTATCTTTGAGTAAATCTTATGTGTCTTGTGGCCCACACAAGTCGGTTACGGCGATGAAGAGGTGTCATTATTGGTCCATTATAGGGCCTGCAAGCGACTTCGAACAGTTTGTGCAGTTACCCTTCCACCAAACATCTCTCTACTTGTGGAGGTTGCAGTGACAAATCTGTTTCTAAGATGACATAATCGTATTGCTTGATCTTCCTGGAGTGACGTCACACGTGGCGCTCCCGCCCTTGGGCGGTCGGCAATAGTTCCAGTTTGAAGCACTCTCAATTAAAGGCTCTTGCAACAGTGATCACAGACTGACCAGCATAGAGCCTACCTATAGCACGTACATGTTCTACATTTGAGGGGGGGGTGGATGGCCGAATGGTTAGCACGTGCGTGCTGTATCATACGGCCTGTCATTGAGTCAACTGGCGTGGTTTCGAATCCCCGGTTGTACGTGACAAGGAGTAGGGTCGCCTGTCCAACCTCGTGGGTTTTCTCTGGGTCCTCCGGTTTCCTCCCACTGCTAATGATCCCTACACGCAAGCGAATTATTGATATAAAATTAAACCATATGTTAGTCCCGAAATGATCTAGTTTGTGTCGAGTGAACGTTAAAATCCCATTTCTCCCTCTCCCTCTACGTTTGAAAGGCGCGGCATTTTTTAACAAAGATGAAAATAACAATTTTAATTTGTTTTTCCAGTTCAAGTTACGTGTGCGACTGTGCGTGTTCAGTTTAAGCAAACTTGCATCGATTGACCTCATGAGTTTGTGTTTGCAAGTGTTTTTGTGGTTTTTCATCTTTATATGCTCAAAAGTCACGTGATCCACGTGACTTTACAATTTTATGAAATTAAAGGCTTCTTACTACTTACTATCGTTAGAAACACTTTAAAATTTATTTGACTTACCAGAAAATTTTTTTTATTGAAATTCATCAGTGTCAAGTTTTTAATTTGGCTGAGTATATATAGGAGTTGCATGGTGAGGCCATTTACAGAGATTAAATAACAAGATAAACAAAAAACAAAACAAGATGAAAAGCTTATTAATTAAGCAGTCCAAAGAATAACATTAACGAAGACCTTCAAAGGGAGCCGATTGGTGAGAATATGTTATGGCTAATGAGATAATAAAAATGAGACCATTTACCAAAATATAGATAACACTGATAATAAGTAATGTGGTGCTTACATTACTTATTTCTCTCTCTTAATTGAATATTTCTCTCTCTTAATTGAAAATTGTGCCAATGATGATGTAAAGTAAATGCAATAACTTATGTTGTAGAATTAAAGAGTGTATTTCCTAAAAACATACCCATCAGTTGGGAAATATATTTATAGCTAATATACATGTAATCTAGTTTTCATGAGATAAAGGGGCATAACTATGTATATTATTGTTTATGAATTGAGAGGTGACATTTCAAGTAATTCCCAGGGGCATACATACCGATTTTGTTTGGTGGTGGGGGGCTCTTAGCAAAAATGAGACCGACTGATCAACAGGCCCCTAATACGAGTGATGCAGCCACGAGCCGAGCAACACACGTGTAGCTTACTAGTGGGTCCAGGGGCATGCTCCCCCAGGGAAATTTTTGAATTTAGAGTCCTTGAAATGCTGTTTTCTGGAATTTGCAGATTTCTGATGGTCAGAAAACACTTATAACATGAGTAAAATTGAGTACTACACATGGGAATTCATGTTATTTATTAAGAATTTTGCAAGAGCTTACAAAGTACTGTGAATCTGTGACAACTTATGAAAGTGATAATTACATCATTTACATGGACCTATATCTTCCATATATTGTGGTGAATATACATAAATTTATTAGCAAAGATACGACTATATCCTTATATTTTCATCAAGTGTTCGTGCTTAGTCAAGGTTAACCACCAATCTGGCATTTTATCAAGAGCGATTGTGTCCGTCAGGGTCAGGCTCAATAGTTCATTGAGGAGTTCTTGTTTCAGTACTGAACGCATTACAGTTTTTACTAATTTGAGCTTTGAATAACTGGTGCGTATTGTGATATCCAATCAAAACAATCAAACCTATACACAAATATAATCATACATATATTAAGTATTTGGGATTTTTCACTTCTACTTTGGCATTGTTTGTTAACCTCATTAACACAGATATATTCATACATATTACTTTGGCATTGATTGTTTACCTCATTAATTCTTTTAGTTGGTGATGCATAATTTTGAGATCGACTGCATTTATTTTGGGACTATTTGTTTACCTCATTAATTCATTTAGTCCCTCATGCATAATTTTGAGACCGACTGCACTTATTTTGATACCAACTATTTACGCCTCTGACCCCACCCCCCTTTAAGGAATTGTACAAGGTACAAGGAGCTATCTCCCTTTATGGAAAATATCAATAATTATTGATAACAGCATTTAGTTTAAACAATTTATTCGATAAACTGGAAAACAGACAACAGCCTATGTAAGTTCTCCCTAAAAATTATATTTACTATAATATCTGTAAACCTTTTTTTTCAGAAAGGCTAAAGTCATAATAAATATTATAACTGAAACATAGCATCTACAGATATTTGGTTTTCTCACTAAAATAGATATGGCCAAAACTAAATAATACTGTAATGGGAGTGACAATATTGTAATGAAGAGAAAATAAATCAAATGGAATTTAATGTCTTACTGTTCTGCACCAACCTGTATAATGAAGATACGCCATGCATTATAGTTCCTGGGGCGGGGGGATTTTGCATTGTACATGTACAGCTAGTATTCCTGCTTTCCATGCAAGTGTCATCAGTGCAAGGGAGCCGTGGTGACTTAGTATGGATTTTTCTCACAGGGTTTGATCCTGTTCAGGTGTCTTTTCCCCTTGTCAGTGGTACAGGACATGGCTTAATGAGTAAGGCGCTGGCTCACTAATCAGGAGGTTTGGGATCCCCATGTTGGCCTAGAAAGTTCCCCAAAATTTTCCAGCATTGTTTCCCCATGTCAGTGGTATAGGAGAGGGGGGCGGGGTGTCATCAGCAGCATCTAGTTATTCGGATCGGATATAAAACTGAGGTCCTGTGTACACATTCACCTTCACCTAAGAGAACTATTGACAGCTCGAATTCAAAATAAAGAGCAGACTGTAACATCGCTGTTTGGGCCAAATTCCCCCTAAAACATAATGCAGTCTGTAAAAGATGACTGCCTTAAACATGTGACGTCACATCATGCGGCGTCAATCATTGGCTCAATGGCGCGCACATTGTTTACATAAGACGCTACTGGTTTGGGCAGAAAGGCGCCTTTTACTCATTTTAATACCATTTACACTAAATTGGACATAATACATAAAAAAATGTTTTAGAATTTAATTTGTCGGAGGAAAAAAGTTAATGTGACTCATTAAGTCGCATCAATGTCATCCATATCAGTGATTGTAGCGGCCTAGCAAATATTCACTGCTGATCAGTGTTCTGAAATACTGTTATCAATATTGCAAACAGTTGACAGAAAGGGAGATAACTCTTTCTTTTACCGTTGATGGATTTCTGAAATGCTTTATGTTCCCTTGTTCATTATGTTTTCTGCATCAAAATTTAACCTATACCCTATACTTTGATGGAGGCATTGGGTGTTTTCACCAATATTTAATTTTATGTCAACTTCAGAATTGTTAGTATAAACATAGCATTTATTTGACAATTAGACATTCTTAAATGGAATTTGCACCAAATTCAACACTTAAAGACTTACTATTCTTCAGGGTCTAAAGAATATTCAAAGTTTCAATTATGTGCTTAAATGTGACAAAGCGCCAACTTTTGACTGTTCTTAATTGCATTTGGCACATCTGTATTCACAGTGTCAAAATGAAAATTTTGGCACCAGTTTGAGTTTGATCAATGTACTTACAAAAATGTAATATACATGTATATTGATTTTGGAGAGTACTTCAAGCAGTGTCCTCTATAATATATACCTAATGCACCAATTGGAAAACTTAAGAATGGTCATTCGGAGGTTCCCATCACACCATCTAATGAGTTTACCTCTCAAACTGGAGGGGGGGGTGGATGGCTGAATGGTTAGCGTGCGGGCGCTGTACCATAAAGTCTGTCATTGAGTCGACTGGCGTGGTTTCGAATCCCCGGTTGTACGTGGCAAGGAGTAGGGTCGCCTGTCCAACCTCGTGGGTTTTCTCCGGGTCCTCCGGTTTACTCCCACTGCTAAAGACCCCTTCGCGCAGGCGAATTATGTAAATAAAATTAAACATGTTAGTCCCAAAATGACCTAGTTTGTGTCGAGTGGACGTTAAACCCCATTTCTCTCTCTCTCTCAAACTGGAGATGTAATACAAGTCTCTGGTTGCCCCTGCATTAATTTTATTGCTTCATTAACCGTCCTTTGAAGACAGCATACAATTGAATCCCAAATAAAATTTATTTTCGATAAGTAGATTTACCAATACCATGCTTTTCCCTGTCGCCGACGATATGAGTTAATGATTGTGTCCTGTCCCTAGGTTTGTCTTGTGACGTGTATTTGTGTGTGGTGCGTACAGCCAGCACTACTATCAGTAGGCTAATATGCGAACAAAAAGGGGAAAACCCATCATTTTGTGAACAAGAACAATACTTTTGGAACGTGGAATAAATGGTAATATTCTATACTACGTAATGCACAATTCCTAGAAACACGTATACCTGGGTGTGTATTGCCCGGTTCACAGCGACCAGTCACAATAACCTATTAACTCACACTTCCTAATCCGTGTTATAAAATAATCATACATGGACTTCGGCGTCGACATCTCCTAGTTTGGAAGTACTTTAGTCAAAGTCTCTAGAATTAACACTCCCAGCTTTTAGTAGAATTTCAACAGCAAAACACCACGCGTTGCTTTGTATTGATGTCCATAATAATAATATTGTCAAACGAAAGTCTATCGAATACAATATGTGATATCCTGTTAGGCCTTTATGCCTGATAATGTAAACTGTTACATATTGATGATGCGCAAGTCTGATTTCAACACTGTAAAGATGTCACCATGGCCTCGAGGTCAGTCTAGTTTCATTTTATTGCACACAACGCTAAATACGTATTATCAATTTACTTCCAACAGTTTAAAACTACCGGGGTTATGAAAACTGTCAGTACCGGTATATTGAAAGTGTACATTTAAGATTTTGTTGGAGGCTCATAGCAATGAGTTCAAAACGTATCAAAACTTGTTATTTACGGAGGCAAATTGGTAGTTATATCCAGTTAATGCAGAGCTAGATAATTTGATAAAATGCTGGCTAAAAGTTATTATGATGACACAAGATGAGCTAGTTGTGAAATGCTTTATAAATTACTGCATGGCAGTTTAACCGGGGGATCTTATTTGAAATAATGTCTAGAGAATGTATTATAAGTTTGCGTTATATTATTATGTAAGATTTTGTAAGTTATGTAAGTTTTAAGAGTTTACAGTTCATAATGAAAAGGGTGGCTCAGTGGGTAGGGCGTTGGCTCGGTAACTAGCTGGCGGTCTACGTGTTCGGTCCCGCGTTGGCCTAGAGTAGAAAGTGCTTCAGGACGGCGTACAATTAAAGGGTCAACGTATAGTCGTTATTTGGATGGGACGAAAAATCGAGGTCCCGTGTACACTTTGGCATGCACGCAAGATCCTTCGACATTTGGAATTCAAAATAAGAGTAGGCCGTAGTGCCTCTGTGCGGGCAAACATTACCTCATAAAATAAAAACATTAAATCCGCCTTTTAACGTCGCTTCGACTCAGTTCACACAAACTTGAAATAGAGAGCGGGCGATTCAAGAATATTCCACCTGACCAAAGGTTATCCCAATGTTCTCGTAGACGAGGAATTCCATTTTCTGTTCCAGTGCCCCAGATACGAAAACTTACGCTTAAAATATATCTACCCTACTTTAATACAATCTTGTCAATTAACTTTTGAGCTTCTTTTAAATCCGCCAGATTTTCTTGCTTAAGCAGTAGTACCTGCCTAGTAGCTGTTTTTCTGCTGCATGTTCTTACTCCACATTTGATCATTATACATGTATGTACAAGGTTAATATACTTCATATTTTCATTTCATCATATATACTTTTATTGCTACATTTCCATTATATCATATTTTCATTTCATTATATCATGTTATTCCAATATATTATTCCATGTAAAATATATTTTTGTATATATGTATATTGATATGTAGGCTTAATGTATGTTTTATACTGTTCTTAATGGACGTAATATGCAAATAAAAAAGTTAAAAGTAATACACTGTATGTATGACTTTATGCCCGTCTTCATTAGCTCAGTAGAATGTTTAACCCCATATCATATAACCATGGAGATTATAACTTATTGTTTATTGTACAAAAATATAATGTTCATGTTATAATTGTCACATACTACGGACTGTTTTCTAAATAAAAAAAAAACATAAACACAGACAAGATTATGAAAAAAAAAATTATAAATATCTCAGTGATTGTAGACTATGGTAGAGCGAGCGAAAATTCTATGCGGTTCAGTTTGGGGTTTAATAGGTCAAACACGTGAAGAAGGCGGAGTTGCGGAGTTGAATAGATTGTGACAGTCAAGGTCGAACACGCGGGATCTCAGATGAATAATATCGAAAATGACAGATTCTGCCAAGACGTGAAAACCACCACAGCACGAGGAATAGCCTACGACATGGAAGTAATTCAGCCGTAATGGATTTATAAACTGGTATGTTATCTTCTGTATTTAGATAAATGTGTATTGTATGTTAATGTTTATTGTATGTTAAGAAGTGAATGTTGGACAGTTATATAATTTTATTTCTGATTAACCGTTATTGCTGATTGGGTTTTCTGTGTTGCCCTTAAAGAAGCCAAATCGCTAATATTTGGGATGCAGAAATTGACTCAAATGGGTCGCATATCACATATAATAATGTAATATGATTGTATATAAATTGATTTACATTCAATCCTTTCCGTTTTTACTCTTAATTTCAAATCAGTTATGTTCCGCGAAATACGATGCAGCTAGTCTTAATCGAAGGCCAATCTCTAGTGTCTGGTTATTCCAGTCTATACCGATAGTATTTATTGTGCATGCTCTCTAGATAAGAATATGTTGTCACCGTTTGACATAACTTGTGGGAGATGTCTAGCCTCGTTCTTTGAGCACCTTGTTACAAATGGCGCTGAATGCATCATGGTACACAAATCGTGTAGTAATGGTAAAATGTTTATTTTGTCTTAAATATTGGATATCCTAGATCACAACATCAATGTTGATTTAAATTGACAAATAATTTGTGTTTTCAATGTCGAAGACTTGGATGATATTGAGTTAGAGACTTATAGCCACTTTAAAGGCTCAATACCACTCTTGTTGTAACTGAATAATATGTCCCAATCTTTATTCTGGTCAACAAATTGTTCTATTTTAGAATATTTCAATTAATTGATGATACAAATTTCATCTTAACACACCTTATTTAAAAATTTTGAAAAATTCAACATAATGGTTTGAAAACCTTTTCAAATGAAACTTCGATTTAAAAATATTTTTGAACCCCCTGGACAAGTAAAATAGGATTTAATGGATAATTTACACAACAGGTAGGACACTAACACATCTAGTACTTAGAATAAGGCTATTTTTTTTATTTTCTGGAGCTGTCAAGCCAGCAAGAGTGTTATTGTCCCTTTAAGTTGTTGTTAATTGCGTGCCAATATGATAGGTAGCCCTACGGCTAAATCTATTTGTTAAGGCCAGCTCAGTTTTCCTCAAGGTCGGTGAGATGTAAGGTTAGGGCACGTGATAGTTAGGTAGATAGATTGTAGGTTAGGATAAGCATTATTATAGGGCTAGGTCCAGGTTAGGGTTAGGGTTGGGATTAGCGCTAGCCCTGTTTGCATCTCGTGACCTAGCTTTGACCAAACTTGAAGTTGGCCTTATCAAATAGATCTACATTTAACAACAGTAGGTAGACCTACTTCATTGTCATCACCTAACAAAGTATTTGTGATTATGATATTAACCCGTTAAGCGTGACGTTTTTAAAACGTTAACTACCCCCTATTGTGTAATTAATTTGACGAAGTGACGAAGAACTATGTACTATGTTCTAAGAATAGGTTGGGGAAAATACCTCCAAGACGTTATATTACGCCCTACACACAGTGAGTGGCAGTTGTCCAGGACGTAATATAACGTCCTACACATGCTGCGATCGTGGGGGAATTCCCTTCAAGTGACAAACTATGTTATAAGAATAGGTTGGGGAAAATACCTCCAAGGCGTTATATTACGCCCTACACACAGTGAGTGGCAGTTGTCCAGGACGTTATATAACGAGCTACGCACTTAACGAGTTAAATACACCCATGTTAAAATGTTGTCATATAGTATTGCTGTAGGCCCTATACCCATGGGTCCTAATTCTTCTAGAAATTCACTTGAACACTATATTACATTCTGTTTAAAACTAGTGTTTGGGGGGGTGGTGGTGTATAAATCTATATAGCTAGACTATAATCATGTTGTTTACATTAGTTGGACAAGAATAAGAGGCCTAATGAATTTCAATGATATCTGATAACCCCAAGAGTTGTTTCTCTTGGTCACCTTGTATAATTGTATAACCAACGCCACAGACTTACATGGAAAAAATTAGGCTTTTAACAAACACTACCTGTATAACTATAATCCTAGCATAACCCATACCATAAAAATAAGGCTCTGACCTACACTACCTGTAATCCGTATTATAAATATTAAGGGCTTCAATTCATCTCATTACAATGTTTTTAGTCAACGTCCCTAGATAATACAGGGTTTGAGTTGTACAGGTATTTATGATCCTATCTTTTCAAAACTACCGTATGTTATATGTTGTTTATATGATGGGTAGGCTATAAGAGCCTGTTTTGATATAACTATTTGATTAGAAAGTTGGGTGGGATGATTGTATAATTTTGAACACGATTACAGAACAAAAACGATGACATTAATTTTACCACCATGAATATATATAATGATACTGGAACATTGCAATAATTGGGTGATAATGATGTGATAAACATTATTTACAATAAACTAAAAGATAGTTAATGATAAAGAATATATTTATCCATGTAATCGGTGATATATAGGGGAGGACTGGCTGACTGGGCCTCAGACCACATGACAGGCAAGATAATTTTATTCACGATTTTGAATTAAATAGCGACAGGGGTACTTCACGGAGAAAAAAATGTCAACAGAAAAAGTGTCTTACCTTTCTCTTTTATTATATACATCAGAAGGTAATTTTTTGTTTTTTAATTCGATCATGTTTGATATTAAATATTATATGATTTAGCACCAAATAGCAAGAAAAATAAAGAAAATCAAAAAATTTGAAAAAATATGAAAGAGGTGCACCCTAAGAAGGGCGTTCCTGTCCTCGTGTACCTGTGAGTCACACAGTAAGTCCAATTTAGAGAGAACAAACACATCCACACTTAAAAAGGCCATAGATCCTATTGGGTTCCAATTTTGATTATATATATAACTTTTGCCAGGATTCGAATCCACAACCTCCACTGTAGAAACAAGTACATGCTATTCAGCCAATTGGGTATCAAGCAATTTCACTCGCTCACACGTGACACAAGGTATTTACAAACACATATATACTACCTATTATATTTATATTAGTGAGACCTGGTCCTACAAGACGATGTTGTTTTTAATCGCTGACTATTTATTACAAATATTGAATCCTAATTAAATTCTCGGATTATCCAGTACCCGCGTCTTTTTCCGTGATTTTTTTATCTCGTAAAGTGTTGTACGTCTAACACTTCATAATGTTTATCAACATGTACATCAAGCACTCAATCTCCATGTGCAACTTATGACGTCATGCGTGCAGATATTCCTAATCATCGGGCTGTCGATTAGGGGAACCCTTACATTTTTGTCCTGTATACGCTCCATGTTTGTTTTTCAGGGAATACAGTATTTTTCTAGTAAGATTGGATATTTCTACTTTCCATATATACCAAATTGCCATACTTTTATTGGAAATAACCATCAGATAAATACTTTTCTGGGAATGTATCTTTAAATCTCTAAAATTAAAAAACCCAAAACACATTAACCTTTCTAAAATATCTAAATACTGGTATTTTGTTTAGATACTATTGTTAAGGTTTTAAACCATAGACGTAAGAAATTATGTGTATTAAGAACCAGTTTTTATATAGATCAGGCACTTGACCATTAGGGGTGATGTATACCCCCCTCCAGATTTGTCTGAAATATTTATTGGTGATAGTCTCATATTTCTAACAGTGAAATATCAAAATGAAAATGGTTTTGACATGCAAAGAATTCTGTCCACCATATAAGTCATCCACAGAGATTTCTTTTTTGTGAATCTAGAGGCAAAATTTGATCTGCTTGGAATTATATACATAGTTAAGACTAGTGAAATGAAGAATTCTATTGCAGTAATTTCTGGTAATTATATATAGTTATTGCCCTTTATTTTGTCATAGGATCTAGTAAAATCACCAATGATATTTACATTATATAAAGATTTTTTTCTCTTTTAACAATGTGACAACCTTTGTGGACTGCTCAGATGACTTAACAGCTGTGGGAGTATATTTAGTTGCCTGGCAACCTGTATTTTAAATATTGATGATACTGCAGCATATTTTCAAGGATGTGTTTTGAGTACGGGTTACGCTGTTCAGCTACATGTGTTGTGTCATGGACTAAGAAAGAGTTTAACAATAGTGTTTCCAAACAGAAATAATATATATAATATAAATCCAATATACAGTGAAGCTTATATCAAGTGTAAAACACATCAATAATTCGATACAAGTTTAAAGGAGCTAAATCGCTAACATTTGGGGCCTAGAAATTGACACAAGTGGGTCGCAACTCATATAATACTGTAATATGAATGTATATAAACTGATTTACATTCAATGGTTTCCGTTTTTACTCTAATTTCAAATCAGTTACGTTCCGCGAAATAAGCCAGCAGTCTCAATCGAATGCAAATTTCTAGCGTCTGTTTATTCCAGTCTACATACGCCGTTTGGTTTGGTGCATTATGTCGTTCCTCGAGTCTCTTGCTAGAACTGGGGCTGAAATGCATTGTGGTACACGATTCGTGTACCAATGGTAACATGTTTATTTTGTCTTAAATATTGTGTAAAACACATCGATAATTTGATAAAAGTTTAAATGTGGGTTTGTGAATTATATATTCCACTTAATGTTGGACCAAATATGTACTTTTTTGTGGTCAGTATCATCATATGTTGTTGAAATCTTGAACAGTTTGAGTTATCTGATTACCTGTATTTGTTTTGTATGATAAATTTTAGCACTAGGAACATCAATTATATCTGCTAATTACTCTTGACCTGTTTTTTACAGTGTTCACCACTCACTACAAAGATAAATGTGTGACATCCTTTGTAGAGTCTTGTCTGTGATATCACTTATGTGGAAGCAGACGTTAAACACCAAGTAGTAGTAATATCCTTTGTAGACAGCTTGGACAACTTATACTGCTGTGCATATTTCATTGCCTGGTATCTGTCTTTGAGACTAACAAATTGTGTTGTTGAAATGAAATGAGGTTAACATCTCGCATTTCTGTACCGACTGCTACTGTTATTGTCACCTGCCTTTTGAAGAAAGCAGATCATTAAAATGGGGCAGTCCATCCACCCGTTTGTCCGTCAGACTTTTTGTTTTGGGACACAGTAACTCTGCAGTTGATTGAGCTAGCTGTGGGTGTGAAGGTGTTTATTAGGTGAATGCCTCGAATGAGTTCAATGATAAACATTTTCTGCTCAGAGTAAGCAGACAAATATTGTGGAAGCTCAAAATTGTAAAATAAAATATATATATCTCAAATAAGAAGCCTTTGACATCTGTCTAATATAATCAAACCTGATCACATATGTTCAGAAATACCAACATAATAAATAAAAGATAAAACAAAGTATTTTCAGCTTTACTGATATTTAGAACAAAATCTGTTTTCCCATGTTAGTAAATTGGTTTGTAATAGGTCCTAATATGTATTCAAGTACAAAAATTCTATTTAGACAATAGTAAACTGAAGAAAACTTTCTTAATGGGAAAAGGGTACAGGTTCCTTACCCATGGTCTATAAGCAGACAACAAAAGAACTTTAAATTCAGTGTGCACATCTTTCATCAAAATATAGACTCCACAATATATGGTATGAAAGCAAATCATAAAAATTATATAGCCCTTTTGTGAAAGTAGTCTGAGGGTCCTTCTCTTCGTGTATCAGTTAATATTACACGCTGCCATTTGAAGCAGTACTATGTTGTTTACATGATAACTATTTTCCTTTATCTATAATTCTGTATGAGCTCTGACATGACACCTCATCTGAGAATTGTAAACCCCATTTCAGGGATCGAGATTAAACGATTAAAAACTCTACATTCAGGCTATGTGTAGGGTAAGTCTGTTTCCCAATTCAACATTCAGAACTAAACAAAAACAAAAATAACTTTCTTATTTTTCTCAGTTTTGAGTTGTAGCTCTACAATGCTGCCATCTTCATTAGCCAAATTGGTGCAGAAACGTGGAATATTAAATCCCAATTCATTTCATTTCATTTCTACATTGCTGTGAAGTGACTATTTTTGTCTGTTTGAAGTTGTAGCTATGATGTGACTACAGGTAACAGTTGTTGATTAAATCTCCAATATATCAGGGGAGATTAATAATCATTATTTTAGTTCACGTAATAATATAAACCAGATTAATCAGATCAAGTTATCACATAAAGTATGAAAATTAAGATCAATATTACTGGTGTTAATATCCAGATACTTCCTTTTTATACACTCACATGTGGGGGAATATTGTTGTAATTATAACTGTCCATCATTCCTGTAAATATTGTATAGATCGGTGTTTGAAAAATGGTTAAAACTTATTGGGATTGTTCAAAATAAGGAAGACATGAGCTGTGTTTCGACATTTCACAAAATTGTTTCTAGTCACAAAACCAGATTTGAGAAAATAAATGCCGGCCTTGATTGTTGTAGCCCAAGAATTCTGATCAAAAATAGATATATTACATATATATCACAGGAACGGACTGGGGTTTGATGTCCAGATGTTTCTAGCTTCTGCAAATATTCTTCAAAAAGGACATCAATTGAAAACTAAAAAAAGACCCGAAACTATGTGAGAACATTCATCTCATTAGGGACCAAGTAATTAAACAAGAATGGAAAAGTAGAACGACTATACAGACAATTAAGAACTATTAAAACATATATATCTCAAGACAAAGTAAAATCTAATCTTGTATTTTAACAGAAAACAAGCTGGTATAACATTTGTCAATCAAGAAAAATTGTACAAGCTATATCTGTTGCACTGCTGGAAATACTCACAGTTTTTGAAATGCTCTTTATCATCACTGCATGACCCAAGCTTAATATTGTAGTCCAGGTTAATTAGTTTGCTCTGTACTTTTTTTTTATACATTACATGTGTTTTATTGTTGTAGATTTTGGCCTCCCCTGCCAACCCTTTACCATCCTACCAACCATTTACTCATCACATATCCCCAGTCTGACAACTTCTACCATTACGAGAAACTTACCCACACACAAGTTATGGAAAGAAAGCGAAAATGTGCTACAAATGAGTAAGTATACCTATATTTTTATACACCCACTTTTAAATATGGGAATAACCAGCACCTTGCAAAGTCTTCCACAAGATCATAAATTATCCTTTCTCTATTAAAATATAATGTAGTAATATAGGCTAGTCTAATCACAATATTGTTTATCTTGCTCCATTCAAAATGGTACTGAAAGTCCAATATGACAACATATTTAAGGTCTTGTCATGACACTCTTCCTTTCATCAGATGCTGGTTATTCCCCTTTCCTACATTTGACATATGCTTGAAAATTCCAATTTCTATTATGTATTTTGTTTTGAGGTATTCAGCATGTGGTTTCTTATTACTTCAGTTGTTAATAATGCTATTTCAATAGTTGTAATCATTTTTTTTTTTTTTGTAATTTTGGATTTCTGTTTGATAAAGTTGATTTGGGGAAATATGGCGGCCGTCTTGGATTTTAGTCACCAATGTCAATAAATAATAATTAAAGATCAGTCTTGATCTGTAGATTGTTTCATTTAATTTTTATGCTGCATTTCTTTATGACATAGAATCAATTATTCTGCATTATTTTGTGTTATTTTACTCAGGAATGAAGCTAGATATGATAGGAAGTCAATAATTAACACCTAACTGTATTTAAATGGCAAGACAAAGCTATGAAATGCAAGCATCCATATCTGAACATCCTGTGTATCACTAAGTTATATTTATGTGATTATATTTGGTTCAGATATAATTGATCACTAGCAGATCGGAAGCGGTAGACGAACGCCACATAGCCTGTGTTACTCCCCAGTCCGAGGTACCCCTATACACCAAATTTCAGCCTCGAGACGCCCTAGTTTGATTCAGTATTGCAGTATATGACTACATTTATGATACTACTTACAGTAGTGATCATAATGTTATTGGGCTTGACTATTGTAAATCATCCATTAGTAAATACTATTGAACCTTTGATTAATGGTCTAATTAATTAGCACTTGAAACACGATAACTCTCCTTCTAATTGAGGTAGAATGTTCAAACTTGGTGTAGGCATTCATTAAGTGAAAGCCTTGATGGAGTTCGATGATAAACATTGTCTGCTTACGGTAAGCAGAGATAAGCAATCTGATTGGTTGATGCTTTGGGGCATGATAACTTTGGTTTAATTAAGTGAGAGTGATGAAACTCTGAGTATAGATTCATTATATCATTACCTTGACTAAGTTTGATGATGAGAATGTTCTGCTTAGGCTAAGGATCGATAAGCAAATTGATTGGTCAAGACTTTGGAACATAACAACTCTGCTTTTTATACGTCCGGCGGTCCGGCGTCCACAATTGCTTGTGGACGCTCTAGAGGCTAAAGTTAATATCCGATTGACTTTAAATTTATATACAGTGTTTAAGGCCATGAGACGAAGAAGCATATTGAATTTCAGCGATTTCCGATAATTACTGCCAGAGTTATGACCCTTGATCACTTCAAAAAATCTTGTGGACGCTCTAGAGGCCAAAGTTAATATCCGATTGACTTTAAATTTATACACAGTGTTTAAGGTCATGAGGCAAAGAAGCCTATTGATGATTTTCAGCGATTTCCGATAATTACTGCCAGAGTTATGGCCCTTGATCTTTTCAAAAAATCTTGTGGACGCTCTAGAGGCTAAAGTTAATATCTGATTGACTTTAAATTTATACACAGTGTTTAAGGTCATGAGACGAAGAAGTCTATTCATTTTCAGCGATTTTCGATAATTACTGCCAGAGTTATGGCCCTTGATCACTTCAAAACATCTTGTGGACGCTCTGGAGGCCAAAGTTAATATCCGATTGACTTTAAATTTATACACAGTGTTTAAGGTCATGAGGCGAAGAGGCCTATTCATTTTCAGCGATTTCCGATAATTACTGCCAGAGTTATGGCCCTTGATCACTTTGAAAAATCTTGTGGACGACCTAGAGGCTAAGGTTAATATCCGATTGACTTTAAATTTATACACAGTGTTTAAGGTCATGAGACGAATAAGTCTATTCATTTTCAGCAATTTTTGATAATTACTGCCAGAGTTATGGCCCTTGATCACTTCAAAAAATCTTGTGGACGCTCTGGAGGCCAAAGTGAATATCCGATTGACTTTTAATTTATACACAGTGCTTAAGGTCATGAGACGAAGAATCCTATTGATTTTCAAAGATTTCCGATTAATTACTGCCAAAGTTATGGCCCTTGATCACTTTGAAAAAGTTTTAGTGTATTATAAATGTTTCATTACCGAAAAAAGTAAAAATATGCGACAACACTTGTTAAATTTTATACACAGTGTTTGAGATCACGAGACGAAAAAGCCAATTGATTTTCCAGCAATTTACGATAATTACTGCCAGAGTTAAGGCCCTTGATCACTTTGAAAAATCTTGTGGATGCTCTAGAGGCTAAAGTTAATATCCGATTGACTTTAAATTTATACACAGTGTTTAAGGTCATGAGACGAAGAAGTCTATTCATTTTCAGTGATTTTCGATAATTACTGCCAGAGTTATGGCCCTTGATCACTTAAAAAAATCTTGTGGATGCTCTAGAGCCTGAAGTTGATATCTAATTGACTTTAAATTTATACACAATGTTTGAGGTCATGAGACGAAGAATCCTATTGATTTTCAAAGATTTCCGATTAATTACTGCCAAAGTTATGGCCCTTGATCACTTTGAAAAAGTTTTAGTGTATTATAAATGTTTCATTACCGAAAAAAGTAAAAATATGCGACAACACTTGTTGACTGCCCAGACGATTTAGCTGCTGTGGGCGTATGTTTCGTTGCCTGGCAACCTATCTTTATTGAGGTAGAATGTTTAAACTTGATGTAGATGTTCATTAGGTGAATGTCTTGACTGAGTTCAATGATTAACATTTCGAGCTAAAGCTAAACAGAGCTAAGCAATTTCATTGGTCGATGCTTTGGGACGAGATAACTTGATTCTATCTGATAGAGAGTGATGAAACTTAGTGAATAGGTAAATTCAAATTTGACCTATCGAAGCAAACTGGATTATGAACGTATGTTGAATCCATTTGGATTTAACTCTACATCCAGAATATGGAACACCATATTTATTATGTCTTGTACATAAACCACCGTCATTGTATATAATCTGGTTTGATTATTTTGAAACTGATTTCAATTCCATAAATACTGGTCGATCTATTGATGTAAAAGGTTTTTTTTAACATAGATTATTCCAAAACGATAGGAAAATCTATTAAATCAATATACAGCAAGTTGCTTTATGAATTCTTATACTGTTATTGACCAAAGCCACTTGGAAATTCAATACAGAAATTACAAAATATTTGATGATTCTAATTTTATAAATGATTTTGGTGAAATTCCATTTGTACTAGTGCCGATGATACTTGGTATCATCTTTAAAAGGCACAAAAGAGTAAAACAACCGGAGTGTTTTAACAAAGAAATAGCACACTAACACTATTTATGGAATAACAATTACTGGTTTATTAACATGCAACATTTCGACGATGATACTTTGGTCTTTATCAAGCAAATGATAACATGTAAACATGTACGTAAGACATCAAGTATTTATATACAGTAAAAATAAGCCAAAAATATAGACATTTTATATAACAAGCACTGATCAAAGCGATGATGACAAAGCCCTAAGTAGTTACAGTAAACCAAAGCCATAATTAATTACATATCTGAAGAACTAGGAGTAAGGGTTAATTAGTGATCAGTGTTAGTGTGTTACTGTTCAATTACTAAATGCCACTTAAAAAAAAAAAAATAGCAATTAAGCCCAAAAAATCAGAGATGGGATGATTTACATAATATGGAGGATTAAAACCAATGAACCTCATTATTAATGCCAAACGAACCAGCATAAATGATTTCATTGAAAATCAATTATTATACAGTCATGATATACAGTCGAAAACCATCAGTTGTACTTATCAGAACAGTATTAAAGATTTAAATCTACATTTAAAGATACATTATGGGAGATTAGATAAAGATCTGGGCTCTGTTTCTCGAAATCTTAACAAAAGATAAAATCCAAATTTTAGTAGATACTTCAGTTTTGATTGGCTAAGCGCTAAAATCAACCTAATATTATCCAATCAAATTACTAAAATTTGGATTTTTATCTTACTTAAAATTTCGTGGAACAGGCCCCAGGCAGTTCTCACTATAATAGTTCAAAACTAGATAATGTAAAGGGAATTTAGCGATTGAATTTGCGCCAAGCCTTGATCATCATTACTAAAGTCGGTACCATAAAAACCATAGTCTCGATTATCCATTTTTTGATTTAATCATCAGTGAGTGTTGAGCAGCAGATCGGGTTCTAATCCAGTAAATATCGCAGGCTAGCGATGATATTGAGAGTTGTTTATGGTCTGGATAAGTTAATTAATGTCTAATTAATAATTTAGATAACATTTCAGGCCTAAAGAAAGACCTGCAATTGGCAGATTTAATGACCAAATTAATGTTTAATGACCAAAAACGAAAAACCCAACCGAAAACCTTATTACTAATGCCAAATGAACCAGTGTAATGTCGAGTCTATTGAAAATAAATAGCAATCTGAGAGCAGCATGATATATACAGTCTAAAACCATCAGTTGTAATTATCGGAATAGTATTAAAGATTTAAATCTACAGCTAATGATTTAAACACTATGTTAATGACTACTTCACTAATTAACAGATGATATTAAGCCCCACTATAAACCTTTTTCTCAAGATTATAAACAGAGGAAATCTGATTACATAAATGATAAAGTACCTGTTAATAACCCTAATAACGTTTCTATTGACTGTACCACAGAGGTATTGAAACTTTGAATAATAACAATGGCTCTGGGTGTGATTGTATAATTTTGAAATCATAGAATTTGTAGTACTTGTAGTTAGACATATTAATTATATCGTTAATCTTTTTATTTCTCAAAACACGTTTCCTGGTGCACTTAAACTTGTTTAAGTTATTCCTACATGTATAAACATAAGAAAGGAACTGAAGATGACCCAAACAATTACAGATCATCCTCAATTCTCTCCACAATATTCGAAAGACACTTAAGCACCCCAAATCATTCTTATTTGGTCAAACTCAGTATTCTCTAATTTACATTTACCAATCTGTCTTGCTTTTGTGTAATGAATTGTGTGGAAAATTCCCCGATCATGATACAACATCTTGTAGAAGTAGAGTTACAGTAGGACGTTAAACTCCATTTCATTTTGTAGAAGTAGAGCACCGAAAGGAATCTGTATTATAACGGTGCAACTCCATTTACATTTGTATTTGTGCATTGAATTTCAGTTCCGATAAAAATTTATTTGTTTTCTAATTATTTATTTTAATCCCTCTTAAAATAATATTTAAAAGAGACTGCTTTAGCAGGCCAACCTTAAAACGAAATTTTTTGGGTTCCATTTTATCCTTTTGAGCTATTTGATTCCGCTAGTTCCACATCAGTATTATGGAGTTAAATTGGGTCATTCCAATTCTATTCTGTCACTGTCAAGGTCGGCCACTTGTTTTTTTTCACTTTCATTTGTGTGGACATAAACTATATTCCTTTATTATAATACTTTGTGCAGTTATCAACTGAATTTTTCGGACATTGACATGGCTTCTGGAAGCAAAATTAAAACTGTATCTAAAGAAACTGTTATGAAATGGAGTACGGAACTAAATGAAAACTACAAGTTTATGTTTGATTCTGAAAGTAAAAGCGTAATTCACACTGTGTGGTGCAGGGTGTACCGAAAGCGCTTTAAAAGAAAGAGTTACGATGAAAACGGCACAGGTCACATACTGAAGCCAAATTTAGAAAGATATGTCATCTGCAGGCCATATAAAATTCCAAGAAATGGAAATCGGAGAGCCGTCATGTAAATGTAAAAAAATTCCATCTGATTGTTTTATTTTTATCATTGTTGTTGTATTTTGGTGTTTTAGATTAACACAATAAACACAATGTTGTTTTTTAGACAGTATTATCAATTAAGATTCAGAGAATTCACGCAGATTGCATATATGAGAATCCTTTTAGATTCTCACAAAAAAATGTTGAATTTCTAGCTCTGTGGATTCATTTGGTAAGGGGTGTTGGATGGCCGAATGGTTAGCATGTGCGCACTGTATCATAAGGTCTATCATTCAGTCAACTGGCGTGATTTTGATTCCCTGATTGTACATGACAAGGAGTAATGGCGCCTATCCAACCTCGTGGGTTTTCTCTGTGTCCACCTGTTTCCTCTCACTGCTAAAGACACCTACGCACAGGCGAATTATTGAAATAGAATTGAAACGTGTGTTAATCCTGAAATGACCTAGTTTGTGCCAAGTGGACGTTAAACCCCATTTCTCTCTTAAATGTGTGGGGAGGAGGGTAGGAAGACTCAATCAGACATCTTTTATTTTTAGTCTAAGGGTGGAGGAGAGGGGCTTACTTGTAGAACTTGATTAGGATTCCACTTTTTCAATCTATCTGCCTGAAACAGTTTTTCAGAAGTTATCATTATGCTTCAAGATCTTAATCTGAAATTTAAATCGTAGATCATATTGACCCACCTTTACAGAAGTTACGGTCTTTGAATTTAGAAACACTTTTCTCGTCTCTTTTCTCTTGTATTTAGAGATGTGTAACTTAAATTTGATACCTGTACATTGTACTCCTTTTTCTGACCAATTATGTACTTGCTAAAGATGCATTATGTAAGAGCTAAATCTGCCTGTCGCTGGTCTTTATTTTGGCTTCAAATGTTGTTTAAACTATTATTTAGACATTTATTCCCACGAAAGGCCTATAGTCAACTCACTAGACCAAAGGATGGCAGCGATTTAAATAGATTAGAAGACGGTCGCCATTTAATGAATTAATTTAGAAATGGGAAAGTCTCAAATAAAAAGTACCGTTGTTACAATAATAAACAATCTATGTGACATCTTGTCAAATGTTGTTTAAACTATTATTTAGACATATATTCCCACGAAAGGTCTATAGTCAACTCACTAGACCAAAGGATGGCAGCGATTTAAATAGATTAGAAGACAGTCGCCATTTAATGAATTAATTTAGAAATGGGAAAGTCTCAAATAAAAAGTACCGTTGTCAGATAATAAACAATCTATGCGACATCTTGTCAAAACTTCAGTGATAACGTTGCTTAAAGTAATTTGAATGAAATTTTCGATGTGTTCATTTTCCATTATCTATTTTTGAACTATTATGTCAAGAACGCCCAGCTCTTTATCTAAATCTTACACAATGCATCTTTAATAAAACATTTAATTGTTTTTATCAGGATAAGCAGGGGACACGTATAGCAATAGCAATCAGAATGTGTATCCCACTTTGTGGTAAGCTAGTAACACCAAAGGCAGTATGACACTGATGACGAGAAAACAAGTTCATAATGCTGAGTTCAAATCATGTAGAAATAATAGTATTTTAGAATTAAATGAAATAAAGTTAGCAAGGGTCATACGTTGGGATGATTGATTACAAGGGAAGTACCTGCTTTTTTTCAGAATCGACTTCAGCTCTGAAGATGATGAATCTAAAACAGATTGTAATTCTGATGATTCTAGAAAATATCAGAAGTAAGTTATTGTCATTTTTTTTTTGTTGATAATCTGGAAGGTTGATATTTAATTTTTGTGTTGTTGCTTCAAGAACTTTCTAGGTTCTGCAACTTACTACAGGACTAATGGTATGAAAAACAATGGCTCTGGTGCATATTAATTATTTTACGGTACTGGTAATTCTTCACTCGTATGATACATAGCTTGTTTTAAAGGAGAAGACCAGACTTTCTCATTTGTTTTTTTTATTATATTTAAATGGTTTTAAAAATGCACAACCTGAAACAAAATTTCAACTCATTGATAAATTTATTACATTATAGTTTTTATACGCCCACATTGAAATGTGGTCATATATTGTCGTCGCCCCCGTCCGTCCAGCGTCCACAAGCAATTAAAATTAATATCTGATCGACTGTAAATTTATACACAGTGTTTAAGGTCATGAGATGAAGAAGCCTATTGATTTTCAATGATTTCAGATAATTACTACCAGAGTTATGGCCCTTGATCTCTTCAAAAAATCTTGTGGACGCTCTTCAGGGAAAAGTCAATATCCAATTGACTTTAAATTTATACACAGTGTTTAAGGTCATGAGATGAAAAAGCCTATTGATTTTCAGCAATTTCCGATAATTACTACCAGAGTTATGGTCCTTGATCACTTCAAAATATCTTGTGGACGCTCTAGAGGCTAAAGTTAATAGCCGATTGAATTTAAATTTATACACAGTGTTTAAGGTCATGAGACGAAGAAGCCTATTGATTTTCAGCAATTTTCGATAATTACTACCAGAGTTATAGCCCTTGATCACTTCAAAATATCTTGTGTATGCTCTAGAAGCTAAAGATAATATCCGATTTATACACAGTGTTTGAGGTCATGAGACGAAGAATCCTATTTATTTTCAACGATTTCTGATAATTACTGCCAAAGTTATGGCCCTTGATCACTTTGAAAAATCTTGTGACTGTCTAGAGGCTAAAGTTATCATCCGATTGACTTCAGATTGCTACAAAGAATTTAAGGTCTTGAGACGAACAAGTATATTGATTTTCAATGAATTTTGATAACTTGAACAGCTAAATCCATGAAATTAAATGTTTCGTATACTAAACGTTAGCATGGGGCACAACTTTATAAAAAAACAAACAAATTCTAATGATTTTCTGATAATTACTTAAGGAGTTGTTACTCTTAATCAGATTTTAGTGTATTATAAATGTTTCATTACCGAAAAAAGTAAAAATATGTGACAACTCTTGGTGACAGCCCGGACGATTTACCTGCTGTGGGTGTATGTTTTGTTGCCTGGCAAACTGTCTTTAAATTTATTTTTATACACTCGCATTTTCATGTGGACATATATTGTCGAGGCCCCTGTCCGTTCGTCCACAGTTTGTTTGTGGACACTCTGCAGATCACAACTCTTATCCGATTTTGATGAAACTTGAAATATAGGTATATCTCCAAAAGATCTTGGTTACTTTTGATGTTGGCGTGTATCGGATCAAAAATTTATGGATTATACGACACTCTAGAGGTCACAATTTTTATAAGATTTAGATGAAACTTGAAATGTATGTTTATAACCCAAAGATCTTGGTTCCTCTCAATATTCGTGCATATTGGACCGCAACTTTCTGGATTATGGCCCCTGATGGTACGAATAATCACGTTTTTAGCTTGTGGTTCCCCTAGAGGTCGTAAAAAACATTCAAATATATCACTGTTACACCATAATGATAATTGAATTCGAATTTCGTGAAAATCAGACCGAAACTATCAGATTTTAATGAAACTTAAAATACATGTTTATATCCCAAAGATCTTGGTACCTTTCGCTAATTGTGCATATCAGACCATAATTTCCTGGATTATGGAACCAGATTATACGAAAAATCACGTTTTGAGTTTGTATTTTGTGAAAATCAGAACAAAACTGCATGACAAAATTTCCTCTCCTTTTACGCAAATAGTGTAGAAATATGTAACACAAAGGTTTTGGACCCTCTAGAGGTCACAATTTTTATTGGATTTTTATTGAAACTGCTTGATAAAAAATTTCCGCTCCTTGTACCAAATAGTGTAAAAGTATGTAATACAAAGGTTGTGGGTCTTCCAGAGGTCATAAATTTTATTGGATTTTGATGAAACTTAAAGGGCACATAAGATGGGCGAGAAAACTTTACGGCAAGTTCACACCAATCTGATTGAAATTAATTCAGCTATCTTCATTCAAAGTCCAAAAAGAGATCACCCGTAAAAATAACTTTGCCAATTATCGAAAACACTCTTAATCCTCTCAGGCGCCGAATGCATATTCGGAATGTTTATTCCCACATTACCTATATACAGCTGGCGTGTGTATTCATCAACGCCTGACTGATTCCTTAATCCCCTAATTAGATAAAGCAATTGACTACGGAATAATTTGTTTTGTAATTTATTTTAATTTGTTTTGTAATGTTCTTCACTCTCTTCTCACGACAATGATTTTAAAACTGTGTTTTAAAGTGAATGTTATAAAAAAGATCAATCGTGACCACTTTGCTGTATGACGTTATGGTGACTACAGTCAACAAATACCAGTTAAGGGTTAATTGTTTAGAATAATTAAGTTTTACTCATCAATTGTTTATTTACCCAATAATCAATCAGCTTTGTTCACCGATGTTTTTGTAATAAAGTAGCTTCATATTATTTGTTGATTGATGTTTAGACAACATTTAATTGATTTGATATAAAATCTGAATATAAATTATTTGATGGATAAACGTTTGTGATTAGATTAGGTTATAATATTAGGTTATAATGTCTAACATCGTTTAACTTCTTTATAAAAAGGTATTTTACAATTACATTGACAGTTTAATCATTCACCAAACGGCATCAGGAACTCCACATATGATCAGGTGTATTTGATATTCATGTCCATGAATCCCATGCAATTTGCACGTCAAAATTTAACCTCAGTTACTATGCCTGTAGTATGCATTGAACCGTACATGGTAATAAGATTCCCAGCGTTGATTGGGTGAGAAATGAGGGCGATCTGTTGTTATGCATATTCGCTGTGAATTTCAAATGGAGTTACGAGTAAATATTCACGCAAATTGGACAATAACTTCTTGGATTATGGCCCCTAATTGTACAAAAAAATTGATTCTTTTTTTGAGTTTCTCTGTCCATCTCTTGCAAAATGTGAGTATATCTTGCATAGCAACCGCTTGTTTATCCAGCTTTAGAGAATTTATTTAAAGTTTATGTTTTATATTTATTCTAGGCAAAATCACAGTGAAATTGAAAAACGACGACGTGATAAAATGAATAATTTTATTGTTGAACTATCTGCCTTGATTCCAATGTGTAATGCCATGAATAGAAAATTAGATAAATTAACAGTTTTGCGTATGGCTGTACAGCACATGAAGTCAATCAAAGGTTAGTATAGATATATATATATACACAAAAATATAAAAGTTTTTTAAAAATAGAACTACATTATTTGTCCATTATTAGCACTTCCGCTTATTTTATTAAGCTCTTCAGGTAAACAACATTTAGATAATTATCGACAAATAATGTAGGGTTTTATTTTCAAAAACTTTTATATTTTTGTGTATTTAATACATACATTATGCAAGAGCCAAATCTGCCTATTGCGGGTTTTCCTTTAGGCAGTGGCGGCGCAAGGGGGGAGGGCATTTGCCCCCCCATTAATCTGGTCTGCCCTCTGTTTGCCCCCCCCCCCAATATTTTTAGAAAATAAAAAAAGTATTTGTGATACGTTTCTGTAATCAATACCTTCTACGGTGAATAAATCCAAAATCCCCACTCAGTCATAAACTTGCATGTTGTAGAGCATTTCCGACAGTCTATTTTTCAAAATTTTTTGGCGAGGTCCTCAATGGACTCGCTACTTTGGCGCTCACAAGGGGAATTCGTTGAGGTTCGCAAGTCCGTTTGTTTGACATTTTGTTTCTAGTTGGATAAACTAGTGATCAGGCGACTGACGGTATCTGGTCAGATCTATTTATCTCGACGATCGGTGCCTGGGAATACTGTAAGATAGCATTTCCGGGAGTCTATTTTTCAAAATTTTCTGGGGGAGGACTCCCTACTTTGACGCTTGTGAGTGGGCTTCGTCCATTTGTTTGACACCTTACCTCATCGATCAGAGCCTGAAATACTACCAGTCTGCATTACCGGCAACCTGTTTTTCAAAATTTTCTGGGGGAGGCCCCCTACCCCTAGTTGAAGCTCGTGCCTTTGCCCCCTTAACCTTGGACTTTGCCCCAGCTTTGCCCCCCCCAATCACCGGCGGCTGGCGCCGCCACTGCCCTTAGGCCGGAAATGTTATTTAAATTATTAATTAGACTTTAATTAACTTATCCAGACCATAATCAACCCTCGATGTCATCGCTAACCTGCAATGTTTATTGGATTAGGTTCCGATTTACTGCTCGATTTCCATTCATGATTTAATAATGAAATGGATAATCAAGACTATGTTTTTTTATCGTACCGACTTTAGTAATGATGATCAAGGCTAGGCCAAAAATTCAATCGCTAAAATCTTGGTTCAGAGTGGATCAATTTGACTGAAATTTTCAGCAAATTCCCTTTACATTATCTAGTTTTTAGCTATTATAATGAGAACTGCCAGCTCTTTATCTAATCTCCTATAATGTGTCTTTAACTTTTCATATATACATGTATATATGTATATATATGCCCACATGTCCAATTTATTTGTGATTCTAAGTTACAGTAATCTCGAGCATTATCAGTTTTATGCATAGTCCCTGACCCTTAAAATTGAAAGCTACCTTATAAAATACTGCTGGTAGGTGTATATTCCTTACCTAGCAACACTGTATTTAATATTTAAGATAATGACAAACTACATAAACTCTAGATGGCAGAGATTTTGAGATTTTTGTTCAAATTTGCTGAGATTGCTCGACATATAAGGAAGAATCCCATTGAAATGCACATACATGAGCTTGCCTCCTGTCAGAAAGCTGTGTTATTATAATGGTATACACGGGACACAATTATATGGAATACAATTACTTAAGGACATTTCATCTACTATTCTCTAGTACTTATCAAGCAAGTAATGCAATTATAGAAAGTGATGGGATGTAAATAATAAACTTAATTAGTGGGGTGTCTCTGATTGGTCATCAAAAATTAAAAAGTTTTTATTGCTATTTATATGTAGATGATGTCGCATCTTTTTATACACAAACATTACTAAATGTTATTGAAACCATTTATGAGTCCAAAAAACCCACGTATAATTTTCTTTAATCCCTACCATTGTTCAGCTGAGTATTTCACAATTATTTTAAAATACTAACATCAGGAGATAATTAATCTAAGCATGAATCATGACCAAGAGATTTGCATGGGAATGGGAATGTTTTACTAATGAAGTAAGAAATGTGATAGCTTCCCTAGATTAATAACAGCTTATTTTTAAAGATCCCTCCTAATATTTCAACTGAAGCCATTAACTTCACCTACATATGGTTGGGTGCCCAACCAGAAATAAATATCTCCAAATATCTTGACAATTACACGATAATAGTTATATATAAATACCAAGCCTTAAATCAGTTTCGCACATTTATAGTCACTAAATAAACGGTCATGTTGTACTTAATAAGCTATGACCATTTAACCATCCATAAATAATAGACTGAAAAATGGTTACAAGTGTCGGCCATAACATTCGGCACTTTTGAGTAAAACAGTCTCGCTTAACCAGTCTACTGACCATTCTCCGTCTGATTGACAGACCGGGATAATCAAGACTACTTTTTTACGAGCAGAAGGCTGTAACAAGAAATTGAATTTAGAAACATGCACATTAGGCAACTCAACAATTATTTTAAGAACCTTGTAAAAGTAAAATGAAACTCTTGCCTAATCTAAGAAGATCTTTATGATAAAAACATATACCGATAAATGTATTTAAAGTTTCATCCAAATCTGATAAAAACTGTGGCCTCTAGAGGATCCACAGCCTTGATATACCATATTTTTTACACTATTTGCGTACAAGAGGCGGCCATTATGTCTGTCAGTTTATGTCTGATTTTCACGAAATTCAAACTCAACCATCATTAGTGTATAAATGTGGGCATATGAAAATGGCATGTTTCCATTTTCATAATTTCACATGTCTCACAAGATTTCTACTTTTAGTTTTCAGTTAAATTAACCAATCATACTATACTGCGTTATTTTATTCTATTTATAGTAACATACTTTATAACTACGTGTAATTAGAAACAAAGTCTGCAGTGTCTTATATTGATCGGATATATTGAAATAAAAACTGGTTCAATTAAACCAAGACCACAACTTCGAACATTAATCAAGTTAGTCCTACATTTAAAAACTGATTACTTTATCGTAATTAATATTATGGGCCAATGTTTCATGGTGTACACTGGCAGAGTATTAGACTAGGATAACAGTCCCAATAGATTGCTACTGTGGAGTTGAAAAACATTCGTCTTGTACTGCTTTGACTTATATATGGATGGAGGTCGCAAAAACTGTAAAATAGGACGATTTGACTTATGCTCCACATCAACTTATACCCCGTAAAACATGGTAGTCACAATCAATTTCGAATATAAGGTTGGAATTGACAACCAAGTCTATATGTATCCTGAAGTGGCGATCTTATGAGTTTGTGGGCATGTATTCCAAATTGCACATTAGCTCTGGGTAATTACTACTGAAAGTTGGAACTCGACACTACGAATGTGCATGCTTCAGTAGCTTGTCTCAAAGTTAATATTTAACTTTTTGGTTATAAAGCCGCTTTAGAAATTATGTTCGTTTTATTTTTTAGATTGCTTCATCATTAACTATACCGTTAGAAGTGGCGTCTTTTGGTTTAGTACAAAAAATATCTCTGAAACGGCACAATTTTTATCCGAAAGTGCATCTGTCAACTTCCGATAAATACTGCCAGAGTTATGGCGAGTCGAAAAATCTTGTTGCCACTCGGAGAAATGGGGTTTCAACATCCACGACACAAACTAGATCATTTCGGGACTAACATATGGTTCAATTTTATTTCAATAACTCGGTTGTGCGTAGGGGTCTTTAGCAGTGGAAGGAAACCGTAGGACCCAGAGAAAACCCATGAGGTTGGACAGGCGATTCTACTCCTTGTCACGTACAACCAGGGAATCGAAACCACGCCAGTTGACTCAATAACAGACCTTATGATATAGCATGCACACGCTAACCATTCGGCCATCCACTCCACCTCACAACAAAGGTTGTGGACCCTCTAGAAATCACAAATTTAAAATATACCTTTATATCCCAAATATCTCAGTCCATTCCAATATCCGCGCGTTTCAGACCATAGCTTCCTGGATGATGATGAGATGGAGAGAGAGATAGAGAGGGGGAGGGGGAGGGTTAATGTCCACTGACACAAACTAGGTCATTTTAGGACTAACATTTCGCTTGTGCGTCGGGGTCTATGGTAGTCCGAGGAAGCCGGAGGACCCGATGGAAACCCAGTGGTTAGACAGGCGACCTTTTTTCTTATCGAACATTTTTACTGAAAATAAAGGGGCATAACTCTTATTATTTAAGCAGGCGGTTACAGACCACAATTAAAAATCAAGTGTCAACAAAATACTCAAATTCGTACATTAAAAAAAATGGGTGTGCGTCTCGTTATTTTTCATATTTATGTCAGTAATATTCTTACAAAATTACGTGTTGTCGTAATACGATAGAATGAAAGCGTGCCGACTACTGTCGACCTGTACTTTTGTTCAAAATCACCTGCAAAATTACTGTATTTTTCGGGGTATAAGTCAATACTTTTTTCAGCAGAAGTCTGGCAATCGTCTTATACTACATTTTGACTTCTATACGGATGGAGGTAAAAAAAAAAAAAGCCGAGCCAGTGACATCATCTGCTAAATAATAGCACTCGCACGCACTATCGTGTAAACAATTAACAACTTGCATGTACACTATTCCAATCAAAATATTTGTCGACATTTATCAGCTTGTTTACTTCTTTTTTTTTTTAAACATAAACCCCATTCAAAATATTATCATAAACCCGAGAATATGCCATCAAAATAGAATCTTTCCTCCCTTGTGATAATTGTCACATTTACATCTCTTGTAATTTCATGCGTCTCGCGAGATTTCTACTTTAGTTTTCGATTATTGTATTATAACTACGTGTGGATGTTTGTGTAAAATAGCTTTATGTAACGTCTGCTTCCACCGAAGTGATATCGCAGACAAAATAACGGATATATTGATTTATAAGTTAACGTGATAATTGTCACGTTTACATCTCTTGTAATTTCACACGTCTCGCGAGATTTCTACTTTAGTTTTCCATTATTGTATTATAAACATGTGTAGGTGTTCGTGTAAAATAGCTTTATTTAACGTCTGCTTCCACCGAAGTGATATCGCAGACAAATTAACGGAAATATTGTTTTACAAGTTAACGCATAATATATTGATTTGGGGTGTTATATACTTTTACAATATGTGACATCTTTGATTAGTTTATATATATTGTCGACTCACATCAATGGGATTAAAATGTTCGACAATGGAGAAACCACAAGGTTAACACGTAGATTAAAATGATAATCACTCTTGATTTAGGTCGGGGAAACCTTCTTGTTTGCTATAAGTACATCATCTGATTTGTATGAAACTTTAAGCATTATTTAGATTAGTAACATGAAGAAGCTTTCTAGAATTTCAACCATTACTTCTAGATTTATGGCCCTTGTTTCACTTAGTTGAACCTTGTAAACACTCTATCAGAATGAAAAACTGTCCGACAAAATGGCCCCTCCACATTCGCAAATTGTGTAAAAGTATGTAATACTGAGGTTGTGGACCCTCTGGAGGTCGCAATTTTTATCTAATTTGGATAAAACTTAAAAATATATGTTTATATTCCAAAGATCTTGCACGTATGCACCATAACTTCTTGTTTTATGGCCAGGGGTGGGGGGGGGGATGGCCGAATAGTTAGCACGTGCGCACTGTATCAAAACGTCTGTCGTCGAGTCATCTGGCGTTGTCTCAATTCCCCGGATGTAGTGTCGCCTGTCCAGCCTCGGGGGGGGGGGGTCTTCAAGTTTCCTCCGACTGCTAAAGACCCCTGCGAGCAAGCGCATTATTGAAATAAAATTAAACTGTATGACCTAGTTTGGTGTCGAGTGGACCTTAAACCCCATCTCTCTCTCTCTCTCTCTCTGTATTATGGCTCCTGATTGTACATAAAATGGCATGTGGATGCTCTATTTCCGATAATTACTGACAGAGTTATGGCCCTTGATCACTTTGAAAAATGTTGTGGACACTCTGAATATCCGAATATCCAATTGACTTCAAATTTATACACAGTGTTTAAAGACGAAGAAGCCTATTGATTTTCAACAATTTCTGATAATTACTGCCAGAGTTATGGCCCTTGAAAAGCTAAATCATGATATTAAATGTTTTGTATGTTTTGAATGCATGGGGCAGAACTAGAAACCAAACAAATTCTATTGATTTTCTGATAATTACTTAAAGGAGCTAAATCCCTATTCTTTGGCACCTAGAAATGTACACAAATGGGTAGCAACGCATTTAATAATGTAATATGAATGTATATAAACAGATTTAGATTCAATTGTTTCTGTTTTTACTGTAATTTCTAATCAGTTATGTTCGGCGAAATACGCGAAGAGTCCAAATTGAATGGCAGTTTTTGGCATCTTGTTATTACAGTCTGCACTGGTAGTATTCACCTGTGGGTTATGTTTAGCCTTGTTCATTGAGTCGCTTCATTGCAAATGGCGCTCGAAAACTTTCTGGCACCCGATCTGTGTGCCAATTTTAAAATTTTCATTTCGTCTTGAGTATTGGATATCAGAAGCCCATCTTTTCACTGTAAGATAACAACATCAATGTTGATTTAAATTGACCAATAAATCTTGTTTGCAATTGTTACTCTTTATCAGATTTTAGTGCATTATAAAAGAAAAATTATGTGACAATTTTTGTTGACTGTCTGGACAACTTAGCTGTTGTGGGTGTATAGTTCGTTGCCTGGCAACCTATATTTGTTAGTTGTGTGGCAATAGTTGCTAAACATACAAATTTATACGCCCACATTGAAATGGGGTCTATATTCTCTTCACCCCTGTATGTCTATATCGGTCTGCAAACTATTGATCTGTTAGATATAAATAAAAGATCTTAGTTTTATGAAATCAGAATATTTCAAATGGACAAGTGATAAAATGGTCAGTGCTGAGTAATATTCAATAACTAGGACAATTTAATATGTTGATATGCATCACATGCCGAGAAACGTGAATATTAAATGGGTTGAAGAATGAAATCAAGATAATATTTTTGACCATAATCATCCTCTGGCGACTAATGGATATTTTCATGGATACCTCTTGTCAATTATAAATCAATAAATTGCAAGAAAGTCAGTAAATAAAGAAAACTTGCAAAAAATCTGTGTGTTTTTTTTTTTTATAAAGTCGGGTGTCATGGAAACTATGCGAATAAAGATTACCGCTACTGTGACATTGTGTTGAGAGACTAATAAATTAATACAAAAAAAAAAGATAGTTTCAGGATGATTACATTGTTTGGTTTCGTGAACAAATCTCATACATCTTGAAAGATATTACAGTTGTGGGGATAAATGAGGTGATACATGAACTAATTTGTTCTAGGTAGAAACAAACCATTAAAGGGGCTAAGTCGCTAATATTTGGGACCTAGAAATTGACACAAATGGGTCGCAATGCATACAATAATGTAATATGAATGTATATAAATTGATTTACATTCAAACGTTTCTGTTTTTACTGTAATTTTTAATAAGTTAGGTTCGGTGAAATACGCCAGTATTCTCAATCGAATTTCAATCTCTTGTGTCTGGTTATTCCAGTCTACGCCGATATTATTTATTGGGCTTGCTCTCCAGATAAAAATATAGCGTCACCGTTTGACATGACTTGTGGAATATGCCTAGCCTCGTTTTTCGAGTCCCTTATTACAAATAGCGCTGAAACGCATTATGGTACACGATTTGTGTACCAATTGTGAAATGTTTATTTTGTTTTAAATATTGGATATCAGAAGGCCATCTTTTTCCGGTAAGATCCCAATATCAATGTTGATTTAAACCGACAAATAAATTGTGTTTTCAATGTCGAAGATTTTGGATGATATTGAGTTAGAGACTTAGCTACTTTAAATATATGTATGTAAGCAAACTAGACAATTTTTCTATCAAAATAGAGATTTGTAAACACTTTCTACATATCGGGTGGTATGTGCACATGATCATGACTGTCCTGATCAGCAAAACTTTCATGGAAAATCATTATATAGGTGTCATTGAGTCAACTGGCGGAGTTTCGATTCCCCGGTTGTACGTGACAAGGAGTAGGCTCGCCTGTCCAACCTCGTGGGTTTTCTCCGGGTCCTCCGGTTTCCTCCCACTGCTAAAGACCCCTACGCGCAAGCGAATTATTGAAATAAAACTGAACCATGTGTTAGTCCCGAAATGACCTAGTTTGTGTCGAGTGGACGTTAAACCCCATTTCTCTCTCTCTCTCTCTCTCATAATATAGGTGAAATTAACTTTATACAAAAAGAAACGGCTGTTTCAACCACGTTTTCTCTGCAGATGATCGTGTGCAATGTGGTTGTACTTTATAGTTTTATAGAATGGGATGAGGTTTAATTTCTTGTCTTCTCAATACTTTGTCATTTTGATACAAATATATAGTGGTTTACTAGTTTCTGTGATTAGTGTGCAATCTGAGGTGGAAGAATTTTGCCTAGACAGTAGTTTAGGGTTTACTACCCTACCTCCATAAGGGACAACTAGCAAGGCTAACCGGTGCATGGCATCCTGGCTCAACAAGAGTCATACTCAAGCCAGAAAGTAAAAATACTTATCGAAGCTGATTGAACCAAGCTTTTGCTCTGTAGAATGTACTTTAGTATATTTGCTGAGTAAAAAAACCCCCAAAAAACAATCATTAAAATGGAGTTTCTCAACCAACACACAAGGGTGGTCACATTTTACATTTAGTGATAACCCGCCCCAACAGTGACTTGATCAAATCTTTGAAGGTTGAAGATAATCTCATCTCAGATCATTATTGTGTTATTAGTGACATGATTTTCTCAAAACCAAAACAAACTTTAATTTTCTATCACAATACAAAAAATTTGACCCTTGAAGATTTTAAAACATTGATAACTAGTAGTAAACTTTTGGATCGTATCCAGGGAGTTCCCGATGTTGATAATCAGATTAAACTTTATAATACAGTACTAACAAACATATTTGATGAACATGCTCCAGTAGTGCAAGAAATATTATTTTACGACTGAATAGAAAAGGGTTTTCAGATAACATTTGACAATCAACTTGGAATTGATAGGGACTTATTTAACAAGCAAGAAATGAAACTAACAGTCTTATCTCTTCGTCAAAATGCAGTTAATGCTCGATTGTTGAAAATTAACATCTGATATGTATGAAATTTATATACATCATTTAGATTTTGTGAAACGGAGGTCTATTTAATTTCAACAATTTCCGTCAATTATTTCTAGAGTTATGGCCCTTGTTTTACTTTATGAACTTTGTAACGTTCGAATGACAAAAGTTATCATCAGATCTGTATGAAATTGATATGCATTATTTAGATTAGTATAACGAAAAAGCCTGTCAAATTTCAAAATTTTCTGTATATTACGTCCAGAGTTAAGGCCCTTGTTTCAGTTTGTAGAACCTTGTGAACCCTCAGACGACAATAATTATAATCTGATCTGTATGTTATTGTCTTGTAAATGCCCTCATTTACCTACAAAAGAAGAAATATGCGACAACCCTTGTCGACCGCTTGGACGATTTAGCTGCTGTGGGCGTATGTTTCATTGCCTGGCAACCTATCTTTACAAATCTTGATCTTTACAATCTTGTGAACGTCTTAGAGACCAAAATTACCATCCAATTGTCTAAATTTATGCACAGTGTTTAAGCTCAGAATTCAAACAAGCCTGTGTTCGGACAACTCGAAAAACTAAAATCATTATACGAGAAGAAGAGTAGAAGTTAATAAAATTTTCGTAATTTCCAATAACTTACTCTTAATCAGTTTTAGCATCTTTTAAGATCAAGCATATTAACGTTCTTTCAGCAAAACAATTCCCGGTATGTGTTGTCCAGTTTTTTTCCTGTAATAATTTGCATTTAAATTGATTTTCAGGAGCTAATAAATCCTATACAGAAATCAATCTCAAACCATCTTTTATATCAGAGGAAGAATTAAAACATGTTATATTAAAGGTAAGCATTAGCAGATTAACGTATTATGCAGTCACCCCTGTCTCTGTGTGTGGGTGGGTGGGTATGTATGCTAGTGTGTCTGTGGGTCGCCTACAGGACGCAATTCTTAATGGATTGTCTTGAAACTTTGTATAATTACTTATTCCTATACCCTAAGGATGATCCCTATTGTTTTTGGTGCATGCCCGACCCCCAGGGGCAGAGCCACACCTATTTTTGTATTGTTTGTCTTATACAGGATGCATTTCTTAACGGATCAAGGGACCCTCTAGAGGCCACAATTTAGATCCGGTTTTGATGAAACTTTAAATTTAAGTTTATATCTCAAAGATTTTGTTTCCTTTCGATAATCATGCATATCTGAAGTAACTTCCTGGATTATGGCCCTTGATTGTTCGAAAAATCAAATTTTTGGCTCATGGACCGGCTTGAAGTCACAATTTGTATTCAATTTTAAAAATGTTTTAATATATCACTGTTACACATCAGTGAAGTTTCAGTTTAAATTTCATAAAAATCTGACTCTAACTGCCGGACAAAATAACCACTCCCTGTACGCAAATAGTGTAAAAGTATAGACACTAGAAGTCACAATTTTTATACGATTTTGATGAAATTTGAAATATATGATTATGATCCCAAAATCTTGGTTCCTTTCGATATTTGTGCATATTGGACCGTAACTTCCTGGATTATGGCCCCCGATTGTATGAAAAATCACGTTTTTAGCTTGTGGACCCTCTAAAGGTCACAATTTTGACCCAATTTTAAAACACGTTTAAATTTATCACCGTTACACCCTTATGACAGTTGAGTATGAGAATCGGACCAAAACTGTCTGACAAAATGGCTGCTCCTTGTGTCCTTGTACGCAAATACTATAAAAGTATGTAATACTAAGGTTGTGGACTCTCTAAAAGTCACAATTTTTATCTGATTTTGATGAATCTTAAGATATATCTTTATATCCCAAATATCTCAGTCTGTTTACATATTCACGCTTTTCAGACCATAACTTCCAGGATAATGGCCCCTGGTTGTGTGAAAAATCTGGGTTTTTTTTAGTTTGTTCTCTATCCTTCTCTTGCAAAATGTGGGCGTATCTTGCCTGGCAGCCACTGGTTGTCCGATTTTATAGAAACTTAAAATATATGTTTATATCCCAAAGATCTTGGTTCCTTTCGATATTCGTGTATTTCAGACCATAACATCCTAGATTATGGCCGCTGATGGTACGAAAAATATATATTTTTTTTGTGCTAGCTTGGTCTCTGTCCATCTCTTGCAAAATGTGGGCGTGTCTTGCATGGCAACAGCTTGTTAAAGAATGATGAGGTTATTGTATTATTATTTCAGGTTTCTGATGGTTTTTTGTTTGTAGTGAGTTGTGATAGAGCTAAAATATTATACTGTTCACAGTCCGTTAGTAAAATACTGGATTTTTCTCATGTAAGTTTTTTTATACCCCCACATTTTTATGTGGACATATATTGTCGTCGCACCTATCTGTCTGTTGTAGCACCATGGGTCGTTTGTCAGACGTGGGGAGTGGACAACACACTAAAACCGGTTGCCACACCCGCCGTATAACCCATGCATCGTTTCTTAGTACATATTTTGGAACAACCCTTGATCGTCTAGTTAGGGCTGTACGATATTCTCGATATAGTCATTTATCGCGATATGGTATTTTCAGACCCAACTACAATATCATGTGGCCAAAAGTCATCGATATAGTCATTTATCGAATATCGCCAAAAACTTCAAATATCGAAAATAATTATTAAAAAAATAGATAATAAATACACTATACAGCAGTGGAAATTAGCCGATGGCAATAAACTATAATAAAACTAATGTCTTGAGAATCGTTAAATGTTGAAAACATCGTGTATGCGTTACTTTTACTTTGCTTTTAGTCGACAATAAATTGTCAGTTGTTACTACATGTAAAGCTTAGGCCTACTAAACGCCTGAAATTTCCCACTATCGCGGCTAATTACCAGGCTATAAATAGGTTGTCATATTTTTAAAAAACAAATATATTTTTAGAGAACTCTACGAAACTTAATTTCTGAAAGCAAGAATAAAACGATCTATAAATAGATTACTGTCACTGTTTGAACTTACAATACAAGACTTGAAGACCACATCTACTTACTTCCGCTGCACGTGATTTTTGAGAATTTTCTTACACAAGGTCACAAGCAGATGCTTTTTAAACATCAGCGGTTGTATTTAATTTAATTATATGTACAGGCATAAGTAATGTCTCCTGTTATTGTGTTAAAAAGCATTGAAACGTTTTTATCCAAAAAGGATGTTGTTTTGTTCATTTTAATAAATCTATATTATAAAAAAAGCAATGTTTAAAGTGTATGAATAACGCAATTCTTACCCACAATTCTTACTCACACTGTAGTCGGCTTTAATGCATTTATATTTAATTTATTTAATAGCAAAGTGACATTATTATTAAATATCGCGATATTTAACTATATCGTTGAAAAAAATGCCAATATCGATATCGCCCCTTTTTGCAATATCGTACAGCCCTACTTCTAGTATTGTCTCTGGTTGCATTTGTAATTCTTTAACTGGTTAGGACGTATCTTTTTTAATATCATTCTGACATTCCACATTAATGACAACTTCACATTGTGATTGAATATACTATCCATATTACTACACTGTCCGTCAATCCACAATTTGTTTGTGGACACTCTACAGGTCACAATTTTTATACGATTTTGACGAAACTTGAAATAGAGGTTTATCTCCAAAGATCTTGGTTCCTTTCGATATTGGCATGTATCGGATTGTAACTTCATGGATAATGGCCCCAATTGTACGGAAAATCACGCTTTTAGCTTGTGGACACATATAGGTCACAATTTTTATCCGATTAAAAAAAAAAAGGTTTAAAAATATCATCGTTACACCATTATGATGGTTGAGTCTGAATTTCGTAAAAATCGGACCGTAACTTCCTGTCAAAATGGCTGCTACTTGTACGCAAATAGTGTTAAAGTATGTAATATCAAGGTTGTGGACCATCTAGAGGTCACAATGTTTATCTAATTTTGATGAAACTTAAAACGTGTTCCCAAGGATCTCGGTTCCTTTCGATATTCGCGCACAACGGACTGTAACTTCCCTTGATAATGGCCCCTGATTGTACAAAAAAATCGCGATTTTAGCTTGTTGACACTCTAGAGGTCACAATTTTTATCTTGTTTTTAAATATCATTTTATTTGATTTTGATGGAACTTAAAATATATGTTTATATCTCAAAGATCTCCGTTCCTTTGGATATTTGCACATATCAGACCATAACTTCTTGGATTATGGCCCTTGATTGTACGAGAAATCAAATTTTTAACTTGTGGATCCTCTAAAAGACAATTTTGTTCCACCATAATGAAGGTTGAGTTCGAATTTCTGGAAAATTGAAACGAAACTGCCTGAGACAAAATGGCCACTCCTTGTACGCAAATTGTGTACAAGTATGTAATACGAAAGTTGTGGACCCTCTAGAGGTCACAATTATTGTCCAATTAAGATATATCTCTATATCCCAAATATCGCAGTCCCTTTCGATATTTGCACATTTCAGACCATAACTTTGTGGATTATGGCCCCTGATTGTACGAAAAATCGCATTTTTGATTTTTTTTGTTTGTTTTTGTTTTGTTGGTTTTTTTGGTTTTTTTAGCTTGTTCTCTATCCATCTCTTGCAAAATGTGGGCCTATCTTGCCTGGCAACTGCTGGTTCTTTTTCATACTGGATGGTCATATTTATCATTGCCTTTAAAGACGGTGATTATTGGGTTTCGAATATTTGAGACTAATGTCAATGAGTTGAGGCTGTCATCATTATATGCCCACTTCAAAATGTTGTTGTATATTGGTGTCACCTTCATCCATAACTGTCTTTTATTAGCCCACATTGATCAGCCGATCTTTTTCAAATTTCTATACGTTGTGAGAAAAAGACGAGTGAATTCTACATTTCCCATTAATTACTTCTAGAGTTATCACCCTTGTCTCACTTTGTAGAATCTTGTGAAAATTTATCTTGGTCATTCAAATTAATGAAATGAAGAATCCTATTGCTTTTCAACAATTTCAGTTAATTACTTCTGAGTTATGGCTCTTGTTTCATTTTGTAAAATCGTGAATGCTTTAACAGCAAGAGTTATTATCTGATCTGCATGACCAGGACCATACCTACACTTTTTGGCCCCTGATTGTACCTACAGAAAATTTAGGAAAATAGGGTTTGCACCTGAAAATGACGGAAAATTTCAATTTTGAGGCTGAATTTGCCATATTGGCGTATTATGATAATTTGATATGAACATTATAAAAATTTGAAGGAAGGAACACGACTTTAACGGTACCTGTAATAATTTATGAGAAAAACGAAAAGTTCGGAATCGGGTTAGAATGCAACTTGTTTGGATCATGGGTTCCAGCTCAGGTCATGCCGGTATGCTGGTCATGTCAGCTTGTTCTCGTGACCCATTGGTCAATTTACATTCAAATAACTATTAACTTCTACAGCATATATAGAATATTGCACACGTATATAAAGAATAGTTGTCAACCAGTATCGCAGCGCAATTTGCAATACTAACGTTTTTGATTCACAGTAACTGCAAATCATTAATATGCCTGTCATTTTGGATATTGACACGAAGATTTATCCACATTTTGAAGACTAGAAGGCAGGCTTTCTCAACACTTTAAATGTGTATAAAATGTCAAATAAAATTTTATTAACAAAACTGAATTCTCTGTCTGACATTTTCTTCTCGAACTAACCAGACACAATTCATTATACTATATAATACAGGGGCATAACTCTATGAATAGGGACTATTAAACTGGAAATAGGGAATCAAGTAGTGCCACTCATGTTGCGAGACAGGTCAATTTCAAGTAATTATATCGGTATTCAATTTGAAAAAAATAAATCCAGTGTATTCCCTACGTATTGTAAATAAAATATAAAAACTAAATACATGTAAACGTATTGTAAAATGGTTTATCAAAGTAAGAATTCCTATAAAATGTTGTTTATATCGCGTGTGTCTAGTTAATCAAGTTTATTCGTTAATTTGCTTGTGTGTCCGATTGAACAAAAGCAGACGAAATTGTTTACTGGTGAAGAAATGACAATTAAAATGAGTGGGGCTGTGGAAGCCACTGCCAAGAATTGTTTTCAGACATAAGACCTAACCAAAAGTCTTCATCACATTCACAAACTGTCAATAATTTCAAGAGTTATGGCAACTGTGAACGTTTGAATGACGAAAGTGTTCATGTGATCTGTATGAAATTTATATGCATTATTTAAATTAGTAAAACGAAAAAGCCTGTCAAATTTCAACAATTTCTGTAGATTACTTCCAGAGTTGAGACCTTTGTTTCAGTTTGTAGAACCTTGTTAACCCTCAAACGACAAAATTTATAATCTGATCTGTATGGAACTGTCTTGTAAAGGCCCCCAATTACCTACAAAGGAATAAATATGCGACAACCCTTGACGACCGCTCAGACGATTTAGCTGCTGTGGGCGTATGGTCTGTTGCCTGGCAACCTATCTTTTATAATTTCGATGGCCTACACTACATGTAGATCTAACAAGTTATAGTGGGAGTTCACGTTCTATGACGTCAGGTACCAAGCAAGCGACATTTGACCAGATTACGTCAGTCATTCGATTAACCAATTATTGACCGCCATGTATTTTTTTATCTACTTTTGCTTTGTTTTGATTTCTATTGCCGCTAAGGTCTACCCACAGTTCCGCGCAAAAAGGGTCAAACGCTCGATTCGACTGACCATTTGATTGGCTAACCCCTCATTTCAAGCAGAACACGAGTTAAATAACGCTTCCAGATCCAAGTGTAGTAAAGACAAGTAAAATCGAAATTTTGAACTATAAAAATGAAACGAAATTGGATCTGTGTTTTAATCAGATTGCCCGAAAATCGGACCGAAACTTCCCGTCAAATAGTCACTCCCCTTGAACAAAAGCAGACGAAATTGTTTACTGGCGAAGAAATGACAATTAAAATGAGTGGGGCTGTGGAAGCCACTGCCAAGAATTGTTTTCAGACATAAGACCTAACCAAAAGTCTTCATCACATTCACAAACTGTCACAGCTACCTGTAGCAGTGCTAAAAAATCTAAGTGAAATCTAATCATTTGTTATGAATTAAAGTAATATCTTGTTATTTAATTGTATGTTGAAACTGAAAACTGCCAATCAATTTTTAAATTTGCTAATCAAATTTGGCAAAATTGGACTTTTTGATTAGCACTACTGCTAATCAACTGTGAAAAATTACTGACAGTCCTGGTGTTATAAGAATTATCTAGAGCACAGCTGCTATACCTCGATTACGTTCACACAAGGTGTAAATTTCATCTTCAATC